ATTCGTCGTTCCTTTTCTCCGGTTTTTCCCTTCGTTCATTTTTCAAATTCTGTCCTGTAATTCGTCTTCTGTTAGCCACGGCGACGAAGAAGTTGGAGACGCCATAGTTCATTCGCTGGCCAGTGTCAACCCGTCGGTCTGCTTGAGCCTCTTGGAAGATCTTCAGCCTTATCATGTAGGCGTGCCTTCTCTTTTTGCTACCGCTACTTTTATTTTTTATTATACTTCTTCAGGCTTTGTGTTCCACTCTTAAATCTGAGAAGAAACGCTTGAAGCTGAGAATAAGAATTATCAGAGTTTTAGAATTGAGGTATGCTTTGGCAGTTTGCTTTTCTTTCATATTTATAATTCCGGCGCAGCACCGTTTGCTTCCGCCAGCGCAGCTTACTGGAAACCAGTTACTTTGAGGCCTTTTTTTCGGAGTACGTCCACGAGACCTACTCTTTCCTCAGCCAGGTATTCGATAGCTGCCTGACTTCGCTCCTCGCGCTTCTATCTCCTGTATACAAGGAGCCAATCACTGCTCAGACTGGCCGCGTTCTGTCTCACTTTGGAGAATACTTATACTTTATGATGAAGCACATAGCCAAGGCGAATCTGGAGGACCACTACTTGCCTGCTGCCAAGAGGTAGGCCCTGGCGCTTTCCCTGCCACCTTCCTTACCGTATCTATTCTACATTCAGAAAAAGCCTATACTCCCTTTTTTTGAAGTATTCTGGTCTCGGTGGGAGTATCGGTATACTCTATATCCTTATAGGGAATTTAGCTTTACAAAAGCCTTGTAGCGACTTCCGGGACCACGTTCAATTATAAGGCGCAGCCTCCTAGCGAACCGCAGAACTTAAATTATTCGGCCATCTGTGGAATGGTAATCGCATAATAAAATCTTCCCCGCAGAAGTTTATATCTAACTTCTGAGGTCGGTACTCTCTACGGAGAACTTTTCGCACAAAGCAACACGCTCAGGCTGGAGTACACCGTATTTGCCGACGTTACGCTGATGCTCTCATTTCTAAGGCGCGTTACACCTAATGCCGTATCCAACTTCCCATCATAAAGTCGTGGTCCTCTGCCTTTTTCTTGCAGCTCTCTCCCTTTGGGCCGTGAGGCAGTCTCATGCCTTCTAGTCTATAACCAGTCGAGCGCGCACGCATTCGTAGGCCTTATTTTCGTCTGCTCTTTTTCTCGGCGCTCCTGACCTCTTGAACTTTCTGTCGTCATAATGCACGCCGCCTTTTTAATGACTTTAATTTTTGAAAGGAAAGCGTTCTTCACTTGTGCTATTCGTTAAAACTGCTGCCTCCGAAAGGTTACTTTGTGCCCTCGTGGACTTTCGCCTCGCTTTCGTAACTGGAACGGCAGGATATTTTTTATCATTAGCCGACGTTTTAAGTTCAGGCCAACTAGTGGTCAAGCAGGAATGGCTGGCCAAAATCCTATGCTTGGTGCTGTACGAGATAGGCAATCCGGATCAGGTGGCTGCACATGGTTCCCGGTAGTGCGCTTTTTTTAGTAGCATTGCCAATCAGGAAACCAGGAAAACCGCGATCACGTTGATGAACGATTTGGGGAGAAGGTATCTTGGAGGTCAGGTCTGTATTTTCTATGGGCCACTGTTCAGAAGCTTGTGGTAATATTGAGCCTATCCACTCCAAGGGGTCGGCGCTCCACCTGTCGCTCACCTCTGTGCTTTCTGCAACCTACACGCTCTCTCAGAAGGAGCTCTCCGCCAGTCTGGCCGACAATCATCCAGAACAGGCCCTAAGTATGATAGAAGAAATGGCCAGATGCATACGGATGGTCCCTCATGGGGGTTAGTACCCCTTCCCCCACGCGTCTCTTTTCCTTATTGCCGGCATGCGAAGGGCAGAGGAGACTGCTCCACTGTCTTACTCCGTGGGTTAAGAAAATTGTCTTCTTTGATGACCAGCAAAAGCTTATAAACGAGGATGTCCTGTGCCATCTCTTCTGCTTGACTGTCCAACAGGAAGAGAGCCACCCCGAAGTCTCTGCTAGTACGCTCTTGCTTGGCTGGCCTGTACTCACCTTTTTTCCTGGGAGGCCTTGGAAGTTCTCTGGAAGGCTGTGGCCTCGCGAAAGGACAACATGAAGCTGGCAATTGATTTTCTTCTCTATTTGGGTTATCCTCTCTGTAGAGCTGCTCATGTTTCTTCCTGACCCCCCGACGGCCCCTGCCCACATACACAACAGGCACCGAAGTGGCGGACACGGCCACGGTGGTCGTCCCTCATGCTCAAAAAATAGCTGTTTATCTTGGCCGTTACGATGGTAACTCGGCTTTTAGTGAATTGGTTCACGCCCTCGACGTTACTCCTTTTTTCCCACGTGGATGTCATGTGTGTTTAAACTTTCTGCCAGTTATCAATAGAGCACACGACCTGGGTAACGTTTGAAAGGTCGAGGCCGCTACTGCAAAACTACCTGGACTACCACTACGAATCCGAGTACACCCGCTTTATTGGGTACCGTAGCCTTTTTACTAAGCCTCCACGGTTAGGTTTGTAGAAATGTCACGTGCGGTTTTCGCCATGTGCACATGTGTAGAACTAACCACTGAAGTGCCGGTTGAGTTACTTGATAGGCACCTTCCAGTGATCCTTCACGCTCTCTTTGTCAACATAGACAGCGACTCTATTTTGGTGTTCCGACTTTCAAAGGTCGGGCACCTCTATGTATTCACCACTGGCCTCATGTTCTTTTATGTCATCGTGTAGACTCTGCTGTCCAACGTGATCCACTCGTTTTTTGGTCCTGCCCGTCTCCACCGGCCTAAAACACATGAGACATCGCTGCAACTTATTAACCGCCTTCTAAAAACTGAAAAGAGGATGTGGAAAAGTTTCGACTACATGTCTGATAATTATTCGGCAGATGTGAGAGCCCTACAAGATTTGGTTCGAGAGGTCAAAGGCATACTTGAATCTGTGGCGGAAGGTTTCGCCTTAAAATGGGAGCTCAAAGTTACTTTTACAGTGCAATAGTCTTATAATCTTCCAACTGTTTGTGATAAAAGGCTCACGAGACAGCAATGTTGTGCGTCAATAGCCACGTGGCCATCCGTTCCTTGCAGATTTGTCAAGCGCTGGACTTAAAATTCAGAGATCAGGTGGCCCCGATCGCCAACTTGCAAGGCTGTCTAGATCGCCCAACTCTCTAAAACTATTGTTCAGGTTTTTGTCGATATTATCTCTCGACTGGCCACCTCCGTAGCAGATGAAGTTCACATAGTGCATTGCTATACTATTGAACTTCTCAAATACTTAAAAGCCAGGTGATTGTTATTTTTTTAAGTGGCGCATTAAGAGACTGTATGCGTTAATGACCCTTATAAAGAGTAATGAGCCTTTCTAATGAAGTAACTGGGGACCCCTCCAAAGTTCACATTAGTCCAGTCGCCTTTCATTAGCTGTATTTACTACCATATTCACAGATTTTGTGGACTGCATTAACTATTTTGGACCTTGACGAAGAGCAAGAATGGAAACTCGGCGTCGAGCTGGTGGCTTGCTGTCTTAAGAAGGTTTTCTATTGAGCGATTCCTTCACGCGCACACCCCCTTTTTTACCCCAAGGCGCTTTATTAATAGTTTCCATTGTCAATCTTCCGAAATTTATCACGGGAGATCTGCTGGGGCGACTTTCCGGGGCTTCTGGTGCTTGCCTTACCAGAATCTTCGATATCTACCGTACTTAACGCTAGTCTCTTGAGGCCTTACTAACCAGCGGACTGACCTCTTCAGTTAATTTAAGTTCGACGGTTGACACGCTTCTAACCGTTGTTCCCCTCCTCGCTGAATTTAACAATATATTGGACCCCCAGAGGAACGGTTCGCTACCCATTTGTCATTGCAGAAGCTTTATTAAATATATTTTGCTTTAGGCTTCTTGTACTGTAGCCTCGCTCTTCTCCCGCAGTTACTTTACTGCTTTCCGACGCCCAGTGAGCTTTCTTTGGCAATTGCATCCTCTTTAGCGAAAGTTTTTCCTTTGTGTGTTTATTTTCATTCCACTGTACTCGTATCTCCTTGCAAGCAGGCTGCTGCACTACTCAGTTTTGTGAACTTGTCTAAACTATTTGGTCTCTATAATAGTAGAGACTCCGCAGTCGTTAAAAGCGGTATGAGTAGCATCCCCTCTTTTCGTGACTTGCCACTTGAAACTTTTCTTGTAACTTCTTTAGAAGAGCAGTGGTTGAAGGATGTTTGCCGATACTTAGCGGAGGCATACTTCCCTCAGTTTGAAACTTTTGCCCTGCATTTGATACTCGTTCTTTTGGAATCATCTTATAACAAGTATCACGGTTAGCCTTTTTTCATGGTTCCTTTTTAAATAAAAAAAAGTGGGAGCGAACACGAGTGTCGCATACATCAGATTTTAGTCTTGTCATGGGACAGTGTGAGCTCTGCACTTTCTTTGTGTTCAGATCAGTCTGGGATGGGGCATTTTGTAAAGAAACAGACGAAGCAATTCTATTCCCCTTTCTTCTTTCGTTACATAGAATCTCTCTACTCGATCCTGAACGGGTTGCTCTGTGCCATCCGAAACGATCCATCTTCGTTGTCCCTTAGCGAAACTGATAATGCTAACCTCGTTCAAGTGCTGCTGGTGCGCATCTTCCCGCTCTTCCCTTCGGTGATTGGAATGTTTATATACTATTCCTAGCGGACTTTGGACTCCTGCGCGTGGAAACAAGCCCTACTGACCATTAACGCTACTATGCACAAATTTAAAGTAACCCGTCCACTAGCGCCTTTCGATGCAGCGAAAAGCTCGGAGACGTCCACTATTAGCTCAAAGGCAACTTTTCCCTTGTTAACTTTTCTAGGCACCGCCACTGATGACTGCCCCCCTTCGAATCAGTCGAACAAACAGCTTCTCATCCGAGAGAGACTGGCTCGCCTTTCGCGATTATTTACTGGACTACCTCAAAAGTCTAACAAAATAGTTGTCTTCAGAGAAAAGTATATTTATATTTTACGTATACCTCAGTAGATTTATATAACCGCCATAATTTTACTGCATTTCTGTGCAGTTCGTTTGGTAGTCGAGTTTGTTCCCAGCCCAAATCGAAAGAGTGGTCCAACGACAAGGATCGCTTGAGTGATATTATCCGGCGCGAGAACGCTGAATGTTCTGTGAATCTACTATCGAACCGCGTGGAAAAAAGTAAACTTCCCTTTCTAATTCTTTTGTTAAACTGACTCCTTTTCCTGCTCAGCCGGCTGGGAGGTAAGCAGACCACCCACCGCGGCTCTGCAGCAGGAACACGTGCGTTCTTGATCTTGCTTAAATGCTATTATTATGTTATTTTTTAATTTCTTTGGGGGCCGGAAGGCAAATTCTTTGAACACTTATGTGAGTAAACACGAGCTTGATTTGTTCTTTAACGACTTTGATACTTTTCTGCAAGTAAGTTTCTTTTTCTTTACCGGTCATAGCAATTATTTTATGCAATATTTTAATTTAATTTTTTTTAATAAAATAGCTCATACTATATCTATCTTCACTAGGCCATGTCAAACAATTTGCAAACTTTAATTTGAATTAAACAGCTCAGTAGCGCTACCGATTTGCTTAAAGAATATAAATAGAATTAGGAATCTCAGTTAATCTTTAGACAGCGGACAATGAAAAACCACCGATAAGTTAAAAGGAGGTGCTACATATTCTCGCCAACAAGCCTTTAATAATTGCCTCAAACTATCAGCATATAATATAAAGGCCGAGAGTATACGTTATCTTTTAATGTTTCTTTCTTATTAACTTATAAAACACTTAGTTAGTTTAAGAGGACTAAAAAAAACTGGGAGGAGTTGTTAGCAGTTAAGTGTAGCGCTTTGCAGTAGTAATTGTTTAAAATTCAAGCCATCAAAGATGCTATACGAGGCTAAATCTCTCTAACTCAGGCTAAACTTTCGTAAACCATAAAACTTAGCCAAAGTTTACATTTTACTGCAATTCCTTCCTTTCATTTTAAAACCACAAAGCTGTAATCGTATTCCTGTAAATTTAAACTTTATCTTTAACAAGAAATAAGTCAGTTACCAATAGTTTGTTAGACTTCACATTTCATAGTAATAAAAAATTTCTCGTACAACCTCAATAAAAAACCTTTACAAGTAAGCTACAATAAGTTAGAAAAATAATATTAGCACTAAACAAAAAGTGAATGAGTTCTGTGCTTAACTTATAATATGGTTTAATCAAAGTTACAAACTTTAGTATCTATACAATTCTATAATCCTTCGTTAACAAGGCTTTTTTTAAAGTAAGCAAGTTTATTATGTATAACCATAACAGTAGAGAAAGAAAAGCTGCGCAGGTTTACATTAATATATTTTAAGCACTTGTACACACACTTTTACTACTATAAGAAAAGTATAAGTTAATAATCTTGAGTAATATGATCAACTTCAAGTAAACGCAGAAAGTCGGTAATTAAGATTTTAAAAAGATCAAGAGAAATCAAAGTTTTTTAAATACTTCAAGCATTTTTTTTACGGCCTAAAAAAGGTGTCAAAAAATAAAGTAAAAAAAAAACCTAGTATTAAAAAAATTATTGGAATTAAAAAAGAAATAACTATAAAAAAAAAATCTACTTAATATACAAAGTAAGTGCCACGACAATGGGGAGATATATTCCGATCCTCATATAGATACGAAGTCATTATAGTCAATATAATGAAGGCAATATTTGATTTTGGGTTTTATCGGGTTGCCTTATAAATCCCAAGTCAGTGTGTCGTTTATTGGTTTGACAGCATTTAGTCAACATAAACGTCTCAAGCTATTCAGAACAATAAAAAATTTGAATTGGTGAGATTGTTAAAGGTTTTTTTTAAGGTTCAACTGCAACCGAAAATGAAAAAGAGCTAGATTCAGTGTAAGGGAACTCTTCTCCATCGAATACGACGGGAGACAACGCAGTGGACGAAGTAACTATGCCAGATAGAAAAAATCCTTGAAAACGTTTTGACCGATCGCAGTATAAAAGTGAGAAAGAGAACGGAGAGTGTAAGCATTTTAACAAAATGAATACGTAATATTTCACTTTAAGCATTACCTGAGATGAGTGCCGCGTTTGCTGACGCCTCGCCCAAAACAACGTCGAAAGGACATTTCAACGAAAGTTTGGCTCTTTATAAGTGCAAGCCGACCAAAATTTTTACGTCAATCCAATTTTATTAGTGGAACTGGGATTCATCACTATACTCCTGAGGCCAAACATCAATGTAAACAATGGACGCAGCTTCAGAGAAGGCAAAGATAGTTGCATCGGCTAGCACGATTAGGGCGAGTAGGCTCGTTTTTCTTATTGATTCTCTTCAAAAGGAAAAACCGTTCAATGAGGAGTTTTAAGCGAACTTATTATAAAAATTATACGAAGCGATTAAAAAAAAACGCCCACAATTAGCAAAAAAAATACTATTTCGTCAAGGCAATGCACTAGTTCACATGTTACCCTTTGCAATAGCTAAAATCCATCACTTAAGGTTTGAAATGCTTCGCCGCCCACCACCCTACTCATCAGTGTGACTTCCATCTGTTCCCAAAGCCTAAAAAGTGGCTTGGGGAAACTAATTTGCAAACGGCAATGAAGTCATCGAAGCTGGAAACCACTATTTCGAGAACCCCGCCAGGCGATCTATCTAACGACCTCCCAACATCGTTGGAACAAGTGCATCGGGCTGAATGGAAACTACACAAAAAAAAAAATCCAAATCAATTTAAAAAAATGTTATTTTCTTGTGCAGGCCCATTAGTGCGCAATACGTCCACTTGAAAGGTCTATTTTTACTTGGTACTGAAAGGTGGGAATGTTTTTTCTAAGCGACCTGCTTATCTAATCATTTAGTCTAAATATTAATTGATCTAATTAATATTATGAAGCTTATGTTAAGCAAACATTTTAGCAAACCAAAAGAGGTTGCTCTACACTTTTTAATAAAATATTATACGTACGTTGGTTGTGCGTGATGAATCTGCACAACTTTGTGAGGGTGACAGCTGGGCTTTTGACAGTCGGGTTTACCAGTGAGGGATAGTGCGTAGTAAAGAGTTTGCAAGGCTTAGGTACATTTGTTTTCTCAATAACACTAATCCTTATGGGCTATCAGTTTAACTTTATTTGTAGTAAAGGCCAGATTTTTAGTATAAATTTAAGATAAATTCGCCCAGAGAGCTCTTACATAATCGAAGTTATAGTCCTTTAGAACATGTTACACTTCCCCTGCTTTTATAACAACTTTTTAGCGAGGTGCACGCTTTACATTAAAGCCAAAAAAGTGTTTTGGGGTGATAAGATTTACGCTTTACTTTTCTTAAAAGTTCTCTGCTGGGGGACAGGTGTCAAGTCCTCTTTAATAAACCAGTTATTTAGCAATGCTATTTTTACGATGGGTGAAAGGTAAAAACTCTTTTTATAAAATTTTTTTACATTATGTTCTCCGCCATCAAGGAAGTGAATTTTTTAACTCGAAAACTGCTTATGTATCCTCACAAATTACAAGAGAATCGGATACTTTTTTATCATAGCCCCGACAAAACCTTTTGTTTTACCCTTCCAAATTTTATTACTAATATCGATGACCAGCTCATAAACTATGTTAGTCTACAGTAGTTTATTTACCAGTTTTTGAGGGATCAAACCAGTGCATTTACCAAGGCCAAGTTGTGCTGAAGAAAAGCAGGGCTACAATTATAGTAGAGAATATACATATTGCGAACAAGCAAACGAGGGTAAAGTCTCATAGTTACAACCTTACCTGTATATCCGCTTTAAATTTGATTTGTGGGTGATCTTATTCTTGATGAGCCTAAGGTGCCCACAACCGCTAACCCAGCAAGTAACAACTATTATATTATAATAGATCTTGAATGCTCAAGTGGCTAGTAAATTTTTATTAACAAAATACGGATACACTCGCAATATTGCCGTAGACCGACGCAATCATACTCTTCCTACGTAAATTTTAAACTAAAAAGCGTGATTATAATTCATGAAAAGGTTTGAGGCTAGGTTAGCTTTAAACATAGAACTTAAGTATAAACGTTGCGACTACTTATGTAAAAGTTTTAAAAGTTTGACGCCAAGCAACTTGCCCTGGTGGCAAATGGGAGGCCTTTTTAATCATAAAAAGAAAGACTGCGAATATTTTTTCTCCAAGACTTGCCAAGTGTGTTTCTTTACGGATAAGTGTGAATCGGATTTTAAAAAAAATGATAATTCGTTAGAAAAAAGTTCCAGAATTTTTGAAGAGGTAACCTTTAAGTATATTTCCCAGCAAAGAGCTATTAGTAAATATGGAATTTGTGAAAGTGACCTGACGGGTCTGCAATGTTGGAAACGGTTGAGTGATACAAAACCAGTAGCGTTAATCATTTGTTCAATTGTCCCCATTTTTAGGATTCCATCCCCTTTTAGCGAAGACAGGAAGCCTGTTATAAGATATAGGCTAGCCGACGTTGAAGAAAGAGTTAATTTTTTGAAAAATAGAGTGAGCCAAAATAAGGGTTTTACACTTTTAATACTTAACTATATACTACTTATATATAGTTGCCTTACATATAATTTAGATGACCTGACAAACTATAAAGCGAATTGCAAACCAATTCATTCAGCTCAGAGCGTTTTTTTTCACCCTGCAAAGTTCAGGAAATCCAGCAAACTGAGGGGGTCAGCCAGGTTTTACTTTTAGAAACAGTCTATAGAATTTTTATGAAACTTCCTACTATAAGCACCCATAATTCTCCTTAAACTTGATTACGCAGATACTACAATCATCCTGTTTTTCTTTACTAGGCTCGTTTTTATTGCTATGGCAACCAATCTTATTGTTACCTCTGCTAAGTTTATTGGGTTTCTTTATACAGGTTCAGCGAGCATGCTCTCGGAAGGTGGCATAACTGAAATTAATATAAAATAATTCTGGTTGTGAAAGTACTACCTAGGGATCCACTCCTTGGCTGACGCTGCGAATCAACTTCTACTAGCCATAGGAATCTCCCGGTCTCTACGGGCTCCCGACGACGCTCATCCTTATGGCTACGGAGGCGAGAGGTGATCGACATGCGCTATGTATGCCTCTCTAATTCCTACTTTTATATTATAATTAAGCAAGGTATGCCTGGGCCCTTATTAGCGGCGTCGGGATTTTTTTTGTGGGCTGCGGTGTTTCGGTGTACCACGGTATTATGGGACTGATGCATCCGCACCAGCTCGACCATCTAGAATGGGTCTCATTTCGTGTGACCTCCTTGACCCCGATTTCTTCTAATGCAACGCAGGCCTTTGGATTAATTGCCTTCTCAGGCTTGATCGAGGGAGGCTCCCTTGCTATCGCCTACTGCCAGGTGAAACAAAACGCAGCAAATTTCGGATTTACGGTGAATATAATCTCTTGTCGTGATCTTTTTATGTCTTACTATTATTGTCATAATTATAGATAAGAAGGTATATTAAAGAGGGCTCTGATCCCAACGATGTGGCCGTTTTGCTAGAAGATGCCGCTGCTGTCTTTGGATTAGGAATTGCTATGAGTACACGAGAATATGAAAAACGGGGAAAAAAACTTTTTAGCCATTATTCCTTAGGTTGTCTCGGTTTAACGCTATATTTTAACGATCCTACGTACGATGCTATCGGGAGTGTGGCCGTGGGAGGGCTGCTGGGGATCTGCGCCATTATATTAGTCCACCGCAACAAGGATGCCCTCATAGGTACTGCATAGCATTTCGCGATTCACTAAAGACGTTATGCACTTTAGGCCGAGCAATACCGAAGCAGAGAGTCAAGGAGATCGTCCGGGCACTTAGCAAAGATCCAGTGGTGAAATCGACTCACGACATAAAAACTTTATTAACAGGTTTTGCTATTCTATACAAATTACTATAACCTTGTAGGTCTGATCTTATACTTGCTTAGGCGTGAATTCTGCTCGGTTTAAAGCAGAAATCTCATTTGAAGGGCAAATCGTCACCGAGCGTTACTTAGAGAGAATATCCATAAACACAGTTTTGCTGGAAATTAAAAAGGTCGAAACGCCCGAGCAATGCAGGCAGTTTATGCTCAAGCACGGAGCAGGGATAGTTGATGCAGTTGGCAAGGAGGTCGACCGCATTGAGCAAACAATACAACGAATAGCCCCTGAAGTACGCCACGTTGACTTAGAAGTCTTGTAGATTTGTAAATAATTGAGCGTAAAAAAAAATTTAATTTTAAAATTTCACAATGTCAATCCCCAACAACAAAAATGGGTGGAGAAATGCCATAACGAATATAAATTGCTAAAAAGGAGCACATGACTTGTAATAAAAGAAGACTAGCCGTTACCTGAATTTTGAAACAGTAGTAAATTGCCGGTAAGAGGATCAACTATAATAATAATAATAATAAAAACCTTGTCTTCCCTCTTGCTGCCAAATACGTATATAAAGAAATTAATTAAAGTGAGATTGCTCATTCTGACATGGCCTATAAAACTTTAGCGAAGAAAATTTTAACTAAAAGCTGGTAAATTAAAGAGACCGCTGCCATCATCGATAATTTTGGCGAGCCTTAAAAATTTCAAGACATTAAAAATAAATCTCCCACTTGGGCTTAATTCAAGAGGCTTAAAAGAAGTAAAGCTATTTATCAACTTTCCCGTGCTCTCATCAAGTCTGTTACAAGTTTATATTAATAAGCATTCGCATTCCGGGGATGTACAAGCACCTGGGCATCCGATGACGAGGGCAGGGAATTAGGCGCAGTAATTGGGGCACAGAATAGATGAAATTTAAAAGCTGAAATAAGGAATAATTTAAAAAGTGTGACTTTATAAAATTGATGAGAAAAATTTTTAATAATTTTTGCTTAGTCACTCAGTTAAACAAAGGGCAAGTTTTCGGATCAAAACACAATGCTAACGCGCAGAGTTTTTCTAAACCACTAAGTCACTGCACTTTTCCAACTACAATTCAAAACAAATGCATCAATAAAAACCTGCGGGATAAAAAAAAGCCAAAGAGTTTTAGTAAAGTGCCCAAGTATACCTGCAATAGCCTTATTACGAATTAAGACAGCAGGCAACTCACGTTTTGTACCTGCCACAGCAAAAGTCATCCCAGCAAAATAGCAAAAGGTATCTCCAACAAAAACTTCTGCAGGAAACCTTTAAAGAATCTTAATTGTGTCAAAAAATAATTCAAGGAAAGTGAGAATACCAATTATAATAAGTCAGCGCCAGTGTAACAAAAACAAAAGGCATCATGAAGAAAAGCGAAACGTAGTGCGCCCTGTTTTCCTGTCCCCAGACATTTATAAGATTATTTAGTACTACAGATATTCCTATAATGAGCTATCACATAGAAGGGTGGTCTTCAATAAGCAAGAAACTAAAGGATCTCAAAAATACCGACTGGCCTGCCTCCAGTCCGTTAACTCCGGAAAGAATGTTTATGGCATTAGTGCAAAATACGCCCATCACCGAAACACATAGGTAATAGAAATAGCCTAAATCAACGGCTCCCCCAAACCAAGGTCTTAATAAAGACGGCATACTAACATAAGTAGAACCTGAACGAAGTAGCCCAAAAAATTGAAAATGGAATATATAAAAGTAATACCTCCATTATTATGGTATACCAATAAAAGTGGAAGTGTAGCGATAGCTGGTAATACCAGTTTATCCCGCCAACGTAATTCTAAAATATCGTCAACAAAACCAAGCAGGACCATATAACATATTGAAAGCAATCCACAAACCATTTCTACATACTTATAAATAAGTTAATTACAAAAGTTATAATGAAGTAAAAGACACAACCTCACAATAAAAAAACTCCTTATTTCCAGCTGGGGATTCCTTGAAGGGAAATGGTAAAAAACAACCCATGCAAATAAAATAACAGCAGGCTACAACCAGTCCGATACTTTCTGGACTGAGTTTATAATAAAGATATTTATACGACTATTTAAATCTCGTGAAGCACAGAAAAAAAGTACATTTGTGGCTTGTTTAGTTTATTCACGTCAATTCCCACGCAGTTAGCTTTTAAGAACAAGGATTTGCTAGAAGGTATTAACTTCATGGCTCCCAAAAAAGCCAAACTACTTAATATTAAGTTTACAGTAAAGGTGGAGCGCAAACTTTTAGCGACTACAATTGTCAAGAGTAGGGAGGTAACACAAAAAGCAAACAGTTGAAAACCAAAGGTCATTTACACTTTAGTCTCGTTCAAAACTATTTAGAAAGTGAAAAGGGCCCCCCTTCTACTCTTCGCTTCAAAGTTGCTCTTATCGGTTAATGTGTTTTTTGGTACATTGTGACTCACTACCCTTTTAGGCTGTCTCCTACCGCTTCCGTTGGGTTTATCTAATATATATTAATAAAGTAAACTTTCAGGTTAGCTATTTTATTTTAAAAATTGTTTAAATTTTATTGACTCAATACCTTAATAAATAATTTTTTATCTTTTTAGTTGAGCATCTACTTTTTGGCATGTTGTTAGATCTAACAAAATTCTGATGGCTTATAGGCCGTATTTTCTTGTTGCTGTTAACTACATTTCTACTAATTTTTCTATTTTAACTTTTAACTTATTTTATAATAATATAATCTTTATTTTTTACCAGCATAAATAAATAGCAAAAAATATTTTACCAGTATATCAATTTTAGTTATATTATTCCTTTTTACTTTGTACCCTTTAGGGATCGGCCGCATATATATAAGTATATTGGTAAACAACATTATTTAGTTCTATAGCCACCGATGCAGTTAGCTAGGTCGATCGTATGACCATAGAGCCAACGCTACACTAAAATTGTACGTGGCCTCCTATGCAACTTAGCTTATAGGGAAAGCCCCTATTTTACACTTATGACGAGGAGGTATAGGTTAAGTAGTTTAATCAGTAGCATATAGAACGGATGTATAAGTTAAAACGAATAATAAATAGTTAATGTATATAGAAACTAATCACTTATTTGTAAACAAAAAAATTGATATAAAAGAACATTTGTTATACTAAAATAGGTATCTAACAATACTATATAAAACAGCTTAAATATGTAAACTCATCTACCGGGATTGAGAAATGACATGGTAGTTCAGCGGTTAAAAACATTAACGCGCAATCTTTGATGGGTTGCGTATTTCTCCTCGCGCTCTTAAGCCCACATATACGTAACCGCCAGCACAAATAAATTAACCCAGCATCTTATTTAGTGTAATATATATTTTAAAAAAAAATTTGTTTCAATATTACAGGCATGAATAAGTCGCACAATTAAGGATAAGCAACCAAACTTTTGCTCTTACCAAGAGTTAAAGTCTTCGCAATTTTTATTATAAATCTATCTACTACAAAACCTCAGAGATTATATAAGTACAGTAATAAATATAGGAGTTAGAAGCCTGCCATTTTTTTATAGAAAGAGACCCAAAGTTAGCTGGGGATACACCCCATGGCCCTATCGCCATATTGGCCAAAGAGTTTTCATGTACATTACTGTTCGACGGTAATGATAAGCGGTATCTATTTTTATAATTATAAGGGCGAGCTTTTACTAAGTGAAAGTTTCGGCCCTTTTGATCGAAATGTGACAAGCTTAATTCGCGTTAACGTCATTCACGCACGCCGAGAGGTTTCTGAGCTCTTACTCTTCAAGTACTATAAGATCAGTTTATTTTTATTGCTAGGCGAAATCACCCATATTTACTATCGGAAACTCTTCTATTCTCTTTATGCGATATAAGGATATTTGGATTTGTAGCGTATCCAAAACTAATGTAAACGCAGTCATGGTCTTCGAGTTTATGAGAAGCTTACTTAAAATTTTCGAGGTTTGGTAAATGGTTAGCGATGGGAATCATTAACTTATTAAATTTCTGCACAGAGTTACTGCAATTGCGTAAACGAAAAATCCTTAAGAACTAACTATTTAGTTTTTCAAGAAATACTAAACGGTATGTATGTACCACCAATTTGGCTGGTAAACTATATTTTTTATTAAAAGAAATCTTCGAATGCGGTTATCCACAAAAAACTGATTCCGATATATTAAATCTAATAATTTTACAAGGAAAAGAAAAAAAAAAAGTAGTAAACAACGGTAATTTTAGGGTTTTTATTTCATATATAAATATATTTATTAAGGAACAAGAAGATATTGGCACTATCGCTTCCCACATAACAGGAGCAACTAATTGGAGGCCGGAAGGTTTAATTCCTTCTACCGTTGAGCCGTTTACTATTTTTCTTATCTACGTTGCTACCGCTTTGTTACTTAGGAATTAAGCATAAAAAAAATGAAGTCTTTTTAGATGTGAACGAAGAAATTAATCTGTTCGTCTCTTCGCAAGGCTTTTTTATAATCGAAGTTAATAAAATGTACAACTTTTTTATTGGCTTTTATATATAAGGTAAAGAGCTTAGTGCATCAGTGACGGGTTGTATTAATTTCAAATGCTTACTTTCTGGTATGCCTGAGTGTAGGTTTGGGCTCAACGACACGATTCCTCTAACAGATACAAAAAGGTTTCAAATTATAAATTTAAAGAAACTAATATCGGTACAGCCTTTTAGAGATAAAAAGAAATCCGTTGAAGTGGATGATGTTACCTTTCACTCTTGCGTCAGAATTAATGGTAAAACCGAGCGTGGAATAAGGTAAAGCTTTAATAAAGACAGAAACTACTCTTAATTACTGTAACTTACGCCTAACTTTATAGTTTCATCCGCCAGATGGAGAGTTCGAACTTATGAGATACCGAACGAGTAAAGGAATCAAAACACCTTTTCTTGTTTCTCCTTTAATAAGAAATATAGGAAGCACACGCATCGAGGTTAAAAATCAATTTGAACGCGCTGAATGATAGTTCTAATCATAACTGGAGTTACTCTGCGCAGGCAAAAGTGGTAGTCAAGTCCGATGTTTAGCGAAACATTTACAGCTGGAAACTTTTGTTTAATATTACCGGTCCCCCAAAATTGTGCCAAAGTCGGTCTGATTACTACAAAAGGTAAAGCAAAATATAAAGCGGAGTCCAACGCAATTGTGTGGAGGTACTGCTACTATGTACTTATTTATTTTTTTCAGAAGCTCCCTTCTTAGTGTAAAGAATTAAAAAATTTTCGGGAAATAAAGAAATGCAGATGAATGCAGAAATAGAGATGGTTGCTACCACTTTTCACCAAAAAAGCATACAGACCAGTAGAGCGCCGATATCGCTTCATTTTCAAGTATATAGCAGATAAAAATTAGTAATGACCATCCATAAAAGCGCAATTATTTTTAAAAAAGATCCCAATGTACGCGGCATCTGGCTTGACTGTGCGCTACCTCAAAGTGCTTGAACCCAAACAAAATTACTCCGCAGTTAAGTGGGTACGATATATAACGAACGCCGGACAATTTGAAGTGCGCATATAAGCTAAATTAATAATAAATCACAAAAGATCATAATTTCTTATGTTATTTCCATAACTAAAGGTCCAAAAAATTAAAAAAGTACTTATGTAATAAAAATTTATTGAAGCTATTATATAGATATATGGCTCGCAATAGTGGTGCTTCATATACCCAACTTAGTCCTTCGCCAATGCCTTCTTTTGGCATTGTACCTTGGAAAAAGATAAGGTAACAATTATCAAAGAGGTAAAAAATAAAGATTTTTAAAAATGTTATTTCTAATCATAGATATAGGGCGAATACTAAACGCAAACAGAGTAGTTTACTATTATTATTGGGGTAGTGCGTACACTTAGCAAATAAATATTTAAAAGTAAGAGAACTTTCAAAAAAAGTAGTTATTTTTTATATAAACTGGAGAAATTTAGCAATAGAACAGGCAATATATTTTATACGCATAATTAAAAATATACCGGATACGGTTTTTTGTTTTTAAACGGATCCAGTGCGGAAGTGGCCTATTCTGTTTTTGTTTCTTGGCCAAAATAATTTTTGTTTTAAAAGATTTATGGGAAGGCTACAAGGTTTAAAAAAATTTAAATTTACTAAAGCGAAAAAAAATAATAGTAAAAATATTATTATATTTAGTGTTTATAAAAATTCAAACAGAAACAAATAAAAAGAGAGCAAGGACAAAAAAATTTTGTTACAATAAAAAAATTAAACTATAAACTACACTTATAACTATGCGTAAAAGAGCACCATAATCCACTATATAAAGGATAAAAGGAAAAAACTTCAAGGGAGCTTGCGACTTTAATTACGCCTCGTGGTAATACTAGTTTAAAAAAAAAACATGAGTATTGTATAATAAACTGGTTTTCCTCGTGATCCAATTTTTATAGTTTAAAAACTAGTACGATTTCGTGTGGATTACCGAAGTAGCCTATAGAAGGGTGTGGTGAAATGTAATACTTTTAACGGCAGCGCTTTACTTTTTAGTTAACATACGAAAGAATGTAGTAATTTTTATACGTTCGTCTAGAAAAGTAATAACGATAAAGGTCCTTTGTCAGGTGTTAGCCATAATTATGGCCTTTAGGCTACTTTTTTTTTTTTCAGTTTTTTTGGCTCGTTATATAATAAAAGAAATTCTGAAGGCCAAATGTATAGTTCTCGGCTCTCAAACAAATATTATTACTTTCACCAATATTTGGATGGTTGGAATTTTTTTTAGCTTTTTTAAATTTTTACCTGGGCCCACAACTGACCTTTTACGTCTTATAAATAATTGATAAATTTAAAAGGAGATAAGCTGTCCTTAATAAAGTTTAAGTTAACAAAATATTTACATATGACTTCACTTCCTTTTATCTTTCTTTTACCAACACTTGTACCACTCCTTATATAGCATTTAATAAGCAACGCAGTAAATTAATAAGTTACAGCATTAAAAGGCTATTACGAAGAGGAGTTACTTTTTACAAAGTAAAGTAAATAATAACAGGTACCTATTTACCTTATATAAGTTAATTTTATTGCTTGCTTAAACAAACGAACGGTTGTCAAGCCAAGTTAGTTTTCTCTGTAGCTATTTTTCTTATTAAATTGCTTTCGAGACTTTAACTTATTATATATTAATTAATTTTTAGACTACTCAGTAATTAAATTTGTAGTCATAAAAAAAGGAATACATAATTTAAGCCAGCCAGTACTTTAATTCTAACTTTAACCCTTTTTCTAAGTTTTATTATTAAGAAAGAATCTTCCAATATAAACAAAGTGCAAAGTTAAACTTAATTTTTTTTTTTTTCAATTATATAAAAGAACAAACCGTAATAATTTAGAAGCAGATACACTGGGACTTACAAGCTCGTTCCCAAGAACTACTACCAGAAATTCTGGTTGTCTTTAATATATAAGACTTTCAGCATACCACGGTCAGGCGCACCTCCAGGGTCAACTTGTCACTCGACCTCTTTTGCAACAATTAGTTCAAACTATTTTCTTAATGTAAGTAAAATTATCATGACTATAGCAAGACACTAAGAGGTAAGAACTTTATATCTGCCTTCCCACTACGCCCTACAGAAACAGCCAAAAAGAGCACTACAGATAAGTGTCGTCCGCTATTGTGGCTCATGGAGAACGTTGAAGTATATAAAAGGGGGTTGACCAGTACTTGGCGTGTCTATCGCGTGTTGCCAGGATGGTCTGCCACTTAACTAATTTTTTCTTTCTCGTTACTATTTTTTTATCTAGTTTATGCTAATAAACTTTAATTATTATAGCCTAAGCACACCAAAAAGGTGGGAATTGTCGGGAAGTATGGTACTCGTTATGGCTCGTCTCTTCGAAAACAAATGAAGAAGTATGAAACCACACAACACGGCCGTTTCACTTGCCAATTTTGTGGTAAAGATTGTGTTAAAAGGAAGGCGGTTGGGATCTGGAGTTGCAAAGCTTGTCGTAAAACAATCGCTGGCGGTGCCTACGTTGTAACGTCAGTAACTCCTACTATTATAGTGTTTTTTTCAAAAAAATTTGCTTATCTTTTTTAGCACAAATTCGGGAAATACAGTTCGCGGGACTATCAGACGCCTTCGGGAGTTACAAGAAAGTTAACTGGGCACTCGTTAGAAATATTTACGATGCAACCTTGCATTTTAGTTATTGTTTTTCAATAAAAATTTTATACTTTAGCTGTAAGCTTATAAATGTTATATGCTATACTAACTTTAAAGTTGTTATCGAATCTATATGGCCTCGTGCTGTATAATTTTTTTTATTATAATAGAATACTACACGTAATTCTTAATTTTTCCTATTGAAGTTTTTAATAATTGCTTATTTTGGGAAGGGATTAAATATTCTTAGCTGGGCACGAAACAAAATTATTCTAAGTTATGTAAAAGCTTAATAAATCTTTTATTAGTTGAGTTTTTAATTTACGTTTTTTTATGGTGAAGTACTTTGCTTGATTTAAACTAAACTTTTTGTTTTGCAAAATAAAGGAATTCGTTAGTTAAAATCGAGCAGCATTTCTTTCTTGAACTTTCATGCGAATGACATAAATAGCAAGAAAACAAGCAACCAGGAGGGCCCCCAGCAAAAAGATAATCTAAATTAATTTTTTTAAGTAGTGTTTTAACAGCTTCTTTATCCAGAGGACCTTTGTTAAACCCCAAATATGTCTTAAGATTTTTAAAAATATATTTGATTCCAACTCGGGCTCGAGCATTATTACGCCCGGTTTTACTTTTTGCAGGGGTGGGATGGGCTGGATAAGGAAAGCAAATTAAAACAAAATTTTTTAAAAAAGTAGCTCACTTACGCTTGCTTTATTGGAAACCACTTCGTACGTTGCCACCCTTAATATGTAGTGCTCAGCCGTAACATCACCAGTAGCGGCTGAGAAGCCAAAGAAGTAACCAGTGGGGAGCTCTACATCTACGCCCAGCCGGGTTATAGTAAGAAGGGGTCAGATTTTAAATATGCGTAACCTTTTTCATAAACACAAAGCTTGTAGTCGTCATGGTCTCCGTTTTTGTGTTCTACCTTTGTTATATAGAAATTGCAGTAAAAAAAATTAAGGATCCGCAAGGCTGTATGTACCCTTAACACACGATCAACGTAAGAGATTTTTAGCTCAGTCAGCGTTTTTTTTCCAAAAACAGGCAGGTGGCAGCCAGAACGCTTTAATTAGTTTTATAACAAGTTACCAGCGGCTGAAACGAGCTGGTCATACCTCATTCACGGGACCGTCTGAACTGTGTTCATAAGAAATAGAGCCGTCGTTGATCCAACTGGAGAGGTAAGGAAACAGAACCTATGAAAGTAGTTTACAATATGTAATTGATTATAGCCACTAAAAGAAGTGTAAGATTGTACCGAACTGGACGGATTATTGTTGTAAGTATCCAAAAACACCCCCAGGCCAGTAAAATAGTTTTTAGAGCCAAAAACACGACCTTTACATATTTTGAGTAATTAAAAAAGGCTTCCGAGTATTTGGAAACGATGTACCTACAACATTCTTTTCTTTCGTATACCAAAACGCGAAACCATCAGCGTAACTTCTACGAAAGATGAAGCAAGTTTAATTTTTTATGAGTTCTATAATAACTACCTTGGGCTAGACCCATCAACCATAAATTCAAACTTGACAATCCAGCTGGGGCTTTGGTTAGGCTGAGAGAATTTAAGTAAAATAAAATTTAAAAAAAAAAAGTAAGTAGGCAGACATAAATGTTCCACAGATGTCCAACTTTAGAACGTTGATCAGGCGTCAGTAATATGTGAGTTCTAGTGACTTTGGTACTGCCAGATATGAACCACCCTGGTATACTTAATCGCGCGCCTGAAAGTTTAAAAATATTTGGTAGAGATTTCGATGAATAAGGAAAAGTTCACTATAAAGAAGAGGAGCTTAAGCTATGTTTTAAGTTATTAAAGTTATAAATTAATTTGAACGTTTAAAGCTTTATAGCGCGCACTAATTATAGCTATAAAAGATAAACTTTACAAGTGGGATAAAGTTTGTAGAATTTAAGAAAAACTAAATTATATTTAATAATTATATTAAAATTTACTATTAAGGAAAAATTTTAATATTAAAGCCTGTTCAAATAAATTATTAACACAAGAAGCAAAAAGGCTATGCATAGCAAGGCAAGTAATAGTAGGTAAGCTGTAAATTGTTATTGCATTTGTCTTATGAAACCTATGTAAGGCTTATCCAAAGAATGATACTCTCGAAACTTTAATTGATAGTCTTTTTCTTGAAATGGTTCAATTTCTTGGGGTGCAGTCTTAAGTATATATGTCCAAGTTTAGAAACTAAGTGAAAAGATAATATACCTTGACCTTTTGTTGTGCCAAAGATGGTATAGATACTAATAGATGAGTTGAAAAGGTAAAAATATTTAACAGGTTCCTTTAATATTTATGAATCAATAAACAGCCTAAAAAAATACAAACCAAATTACCTCATTTCCTCCCCCTTAATAATGAATACTTTTACTAACGAGAAATATAATGGAAAGATGACCAGCTTAAGTGAAAACAATGTTAAGGTACTTCAAGTACACCGAGTGGTGCTTGAAGCCTCACTAACCTAGGGTTGTTGAAGCATCGTCCTGCTCCACTGTTAATTAAACTAAAGATAAGAGCAACGATAGTAAAAAAAAATCACTTGGCATTAAAAGCAATTGAAAAATAGGGAAAGAAAAACTTTATAAAAGCTAGCTCTTTAAAATTTTGCGAAATAAAATACTTTAAAATATAAAAATTTTTTGTGAAGCATTCACAAAACAAAGAAACCAACGAACTGACACAAATTATTTTAACAGAATTTAATGGATATAAGCATAAGGAATATCATTTTCGTTATTATTACGGGTAACGCAGTGGATGGCTTCTGTTAACCCTAAGTTTGATAGCCTTTAATATATTATTCTCGACTTTTGCTCATCAAATCTTTGCGTTATATTATCTAACGTATATCGAGTTGAGGGCTACTTCAGGTTATTAAAGATTTTTGAGATAATTATGGTTAGAGCAAGAAATAGCAGCTTAATGTAAGCAGCTTCTGTCTACAGAATGCTAACTTATTTTCAAGTTTAAGAAATTGACATTATTGTGAGTGAATAGTTACAGCTCAGTAGAGTGTTTTCCTAGCAACTTTTTGGATAAATCCCGGTAGGTTAGTTTTATTAAAATTAGGTATCTTCGTCGGAAGATAGTGACATCTTATTTTCACGCTCTAGCAATTATCACACCGTTTTTAAGTGGGGAGATGGCAGGTACCAGCGGTTTTAGTTCGTTTGACAAAGTTTTTTTTAGTTTGGTGGTTGTCCTTAATCTGCTACCTTTAGACACCTGTCGCAGTTTTGCTTGCCAGCAATGATTACCAAGTGAGCAGTTTTTCTGTATATACGAAGACGGTATAAGCGCCGCAGCCAGGCGTATTAACAGGTGGTATTGAATAACAAAGTTTATTAGGCGCCCTAATGGACAGCCGGTGGCGATACAAGATCGCAACTAATTGGGAAGCAGCATGGGCGGTTGCTTGTGCGTACTATCAGGTATTGACTGCACCGTCTAATAAAACGGGAGTGGCAATTATTTATAAGATACGTTTGCTTATGTTTGCTTCCACTGTATAAATGTTGTATATAAAAATCCTTCTATGACTCGTCAAAGGAGTTACTGCAATTTTGATTACGCCTAACTTCAACTGGACAGACAGAAGGCCCGAAAAAACTAAACCAGCTTCGCGATCGGTGTAAAAACTCCAACGGAGTGTAACGGGCGAATCGCATTGCAGCGGCTTATGCAAATCATTTGTGGTAAATTAATTTAAAATCATAAATTTCAAGAAATACTCCATGATATTTTATATAAAAATAACATTAATTTTTCTAAGAGTGGCAAACTCTACCCGTAAAAAATTGGATTCATATGTTAGATTTACCCAAAAAGTGAACGACAACCTGGCGTTAAAATTTTATTTAGGTATTAAGTCCTAAGTACTAATAACTTAGCAACGGAGAGCAACACGTCTTATTCCGAAGAAATACCCAACGCTACTCATAACCCTTACGGCGTGTATATTTAGTGGTGAGTTAAAAGGATGCGACGCATAAGCTTTAAGAATAAGCCCCTTTTATTCTGCCATCCTTCTGCGTGGGCAATCGTGTTACTTGACTAAGTTTTGTCGAAAAAATTCCTAGAATTGCCTCGTAAACAAAGTAGTACAAAAAATTTTCATTTGAGAGCTATGAGAAAAGAAGAGGGTCATTTAAACTTTAAAAATTTAAGCTGAGCCCTAGAAAAATATGTGAAACTATAAAATAAGGTAACAGACTTTTGATTAAAAATTGTCAACGAAGTTGTCCAAACTTTAGATATGAAACTTTTATTGAAGATTTATATGGAAAATTAGAAACCAAAGAAAAAAGTTGACTAAACGCTTTAGTAGAAGTGCACCTCAAAGCTTGTATAGTTAATTTTCCGTGGAAAGCGTAATATCTAAAAGTTATAAACCTATATCTAGAAATTAAGCTTTTAGTTAAATTAGGCTACGCTAACCTGAAAAAAAAAATTCAGAAGTTTGCTATTAACTTGTATTCATTTACAAATAGAATATGATTTACAACTTAAAAAATAATTTGAATAACAGTTGAAAAACAAGTGTAAAATTTTTTTAATGGGAGAAATTTTGTTATTTTTAATACAACCTGTCACACTATAAGGTTCTAAAAAAATTTTTTAATAATAAATTAAACCTGAGTAGTTTAATTAAATAACAAGAAGTACAACCAAAATCAATCAGAGCAAATAGTGCTAAAACTTCGAAGCTTACGGCGTTTTAAAATTCTTTACGAAATAAACCTTTAGACGAGTTTTCAATATATGGAGAATAAAATGAAAAAGCCGGTAAAATCAGTTATAATGTTAAATAAAAAAGGACAATTAAAAGATTCAGCTAAAATAATATTATCCAGCTATAAAAAAAATTAGGTTTCAAAGATAAAAAGTTTGTAATATGAACTAGTCTATAAGTGAATATTTGTGTAAGAAACCCCGGTGTTTATTGCAAGTTTATATTTATTAAACCAGATTATTATTGCTTTAAATTCCAAAATACCTTAAGTTTTTAGCATATTTTTCTTAAAAAATATATTGTAGTGCGCCTAACGAATTATGCTAAACTTATCGTTAACGTTTGACAAAGAGGAATACGAGCCTTCAGGGATATAAATAACCTCTAAATAAATTTTGTGACTTCTAATTGGTAGAAACAGTAGTGGTTCCTCCTGAAGATATAGCATCTTCATTAACTGTTTTTTAAGGCGTATTATACTTTGTGCTGTACCTGAGGAGATAATGAACAACCGCGGCCTACAAGATCTTATCCCTGTAGTTAATAAGTTACACGATGTTTTTTCCCGTTTAGGTTGGTTAAAATAGTTTTAAAGTAGAATTGTTACTAGTACTTTAAATTTTACAAGTAAACACCTTTTGTCGATAGGAAGACCTTGTCCGATTAACTTACCTCAGATAGCCGTAGTTGGAGGCCAAAGTGCAGGTTTATAACTTTAAGTTTTTATTTATTTTTTATGGCAATTCTACTTTTATCATAATGCTCCTATGACTCGCCTTATAAGTTCTAGTAGTCAAAAATTTAGTACATGTCTACTAACTATAAATTTTTTGAAGATTTTTATATTAATTTAATTTAGGAAAATCTTCCGTTTTAGAAAGCTTTGTAGGTAAGGATTTTCTTCCTCGAGGCGCTGGGATTTGTACCAGGCGGCCTTTGATCTTACAAATGTACTATCAAAGTGGAGAAGGTTTCCCTTGTTTAATATTTTCATAACCTTTTCTTAATAATTAAAGTATGAATACCCTTTTTAGAGTATGGCAAGTTTCTTCATACTAAAGAGAAGAAATATTACAACTTTGAAGACATTAGAAAGGAGATTGAAGCAGAAACCGACCGAGTTTACAGGGAAAAACAAAAATATCTCGCCTTTACCAATTAACCTTTCGATATACTCGCCTAATGGTTAGCATTGAACCATCCTTTTGGAGGCCTCTTTGTAAATTTAATATTTTCTTTTCTGTAGTACTGAATTTGACTCTTATTGACTTGCCCGGTTTGACTAAAGTAGCTATAGGGGGGCAGCCTCGCGATATTGAGAAGCAGATTAACGATATGATCATGGATTTTATTACTAAAGTTTAATTATTTAAAAAGTTTTGTGGATTCTATTATCTACAAAGGAATTCACCAGGAAAACTGCTTAATATTAGCAGTATCGCCGGCAAATATAGATTTAGCTAACTCTGACGCTCTTAAGATGGCGAAATTAGTAGACCCTCAAGGTTTATAAGTGATATTGTTTTACTTTAAGCAGAATTATTTTTTTTAATTACCAAAGGACTTAGAACTATCGGTGTTCTGACCAAATTAGACTTGATGGATCAAGGAACAGACGCAAGAGAGATTCTCACCAACCAGTTTTTACCTCTGCGAAGAGGGTACGTCGGGGTCGTCAATCGTAGTCAAAAGGTTGTTCTAACAGCCTGAGCTCTTCTGAGAGTGCCCATCGTTTTTTTAGGAAATTGATGGCAAAAAAGGCATCCAAGCCGCTCTGGAGGCCGAAATGGCTTTTTTCAGAGCTCACCCGGCTTATCGCGATTTGGTTCATCTTATGTCGCTATCGCCACTTTTCTTTCAAGCCAAAAAAAAAATTCCTTTTTGTTAGAACAACGTGGGTACAAAACGCCTTCAGTGCGTTTTAAATCAGCAACTTACAAACCACATTCGCGATTCGCTGCCCGACCTTAAAAAGTCTCCCATGTATAAAACTTTATAAACCCTGTGATTTACTTTTTTTAAAACTTCAGAGCGCTAGAGGACGAGATAGAGAAACTCGAGGAAGAATGCGAGCAATATAAAGGCTTAATGTTCTCGGCTTCGGAGGTACTAGTGGAAATCTAAATTAAATAAGTAACTTAAACTTTTAAAAACTATAACGAAAAGCCTACGGTCCGGCTAATGAAAATGCTTAACAAGTTTTCCTTAGACTTCTTTTCTCGGATTCTCGGTTTACAGCATCACTTCGCTCTAACTTTTTACGCTGCGACATAAAAAAATTAGGCGGGCCGGACATAACATGTTTTTCGGAATTATCTGAAGGAGCAAATATAAACGGTATACTTAGCGATCGTCTGACCTACGAGCTTAGCAAGGTTGTGAATTTACATAGCTGCGGAGCATCCACTATCTATTTTTTAAAGCGCAGCGCGAGTACGATGAACACCAGCTCCGCAAAGAAATTGCCACTGCAGTACTTAACGTTAAAGGTAAATTCTCTCACAGTTGTAGATTCGACACTGGGTATATCTAAAAACGTAAAAAAGGCGTTCACAGCGGAGTTTTCACGCCCGATCAGGCCTTTACGGTTTCTCTCCAAAGACAAATCTCACACTTTTTAGATCCCTGTATAAAATGTGCAGATGAGGTTTTGGATGAGTTGATCGAGGCTTTTCACAGCACCTCTGAAGCGGTCGCTCCGTCTTTTTTTTTTTAATCAAAGAATTATAAAGCGCAACAGTTTTTGCACTATCCTGTGTTTAGAGACGCTCTTGAGGATGCTGTGCTTTCTCTTCTTAGAGCCGAACACGAAAAAGCTGTAGAACAAATTAAGATATTTTTTAGTAATGAAACCGCCTATATTAACACTAATCATCCTGACTTCATCGGCTTTAAAGAGTGCGTAGTTTAAGAAACTAAAACACCGTTGTGTGTTCTACAGTTCTTCTTGTACTTGGTTAGAGCCACCCAGGTTGCTGAAACTACTGATCCCTACGATAATTCCGCAGACTTAAAATGTACATCGGCTAATGTTATTTTGCGACGGGTAAATGCTCTCAGTCGTCTGTTTTTGGTACCTGGCGTTAACCGCAAGTTGCTTTGTAATTTTCAGGGTTTCCTGACCTTGTCTTCGGGTTTGATTAAGAATCAGTTTTGGTTTGTGCTAACTAGCAACCACGTTTCTTGGTATAAAAAGGAAGCGGTAGCGTATATAAGTAAATACACAGCCCTACTTTGCACTTGAGAAGTTCATGCTAAATAGGATGTAAAACCTGTAGAAACACTAAGACTAAAGGGTTTTAAAATTCGGGACTCAGGTCAAGTTAGTCTTTAATGTATTATTTTTTCTGTTCTGTTGACAAACTTTCTTTAAAGACTCTCATTCTCACCGCAAAAATGAAATTGAGCTTTTTAAACGAGATGGTGAGCAGAGAACAAGCGACCGAAGTTCACTAATTTTATCATGCAAAGCGGCTAGCGACCTCGATGGTTGGAAGGTGTTCGTTCTCCTCTGGCATTTTTTCATTATGGTCATGGAAGCTTTATTTATACGGCGTTAGGCGGCATTTTTAAGGGCTGGCGTGCTCCCGTGCAAATCAGATGACTCTAATGACGATCTTCGTCTAAAAGAGCTTTCCCCTCTTATGGAAAAACAGTATCGCCTTCTTGACGTTCCTAAATAGTCTTTGGTATCATTGCATCTGCTTGACTCAGAGTTGAGGTCATTCGCAATTTGGTGGACTCATATGCAAACATCGTTACTAATTCGGTAACCTAATTAGTAACAATGTAATTAGTTCTTTACAATCGCTACAGGTGAAGGACCAAATCCCCAAAATTATTATGTATCAAATGGTTGTAACTTTAAAGGACCGTTTTGAGGCTCTACTGGACAAAGTAAGTTGCTTTTTAGCCATTTAAGTCAACAAAGTAAGTGTAAGTTACCAGCTGCTCGAAGGAAATTCGGCTAAAGTTCTACTTCAAGAGAGTACAGAGAAAAAGGAGCAACGGGAAAAAGAATTTGCCTCGCTTCAACTAGCTAGAGAGGTAATGTTAATTGTTGTAGAGCATTTATATTGTTTTAACTTGGGTATTTAGGCCATGGCCATTATCTCTGAAATTAAAATAAACACAAAATACGAGTCTGTGCCGCCCCCCATCCCCGATGAAAATGATATTCTTTCTCGATTGGTTCAGGGTACACTGCTGTTACTCAGTAATACACCATTTTGTTTCTTACCTTAAATTTAGAACCCAATTCTTCTGCTCATTTTAATAAACCAGCGGTCCCTCAAAGACCACGAACCGCTACGACAAGTTTTTTTCTATTATTATTATAATAACTACTTTAACTAAACCTACTTTTCCTTTCTCAAGGTTATGCCTCCTAATGAATTACTTTTAATTATTAAAAATTCGGTTATCAAGAAAAATAGCAAATTCTTAATATCTATAAATAAATATTAATTATTATTGCTTATAATATATATTTATTATCGTTACTAGTTTGGTACACAAAGTTTTACCATAAACCATATACAATTTAGAGTTTTAAAAATGGAGGTAGAGCACAGCTTCTCATTAAAGCATCAAATAATGTCTACAACATTGGTATTCATTAGCTTTTATTGGGCCGCCCTACCACTCTTTGTTGCGTATAAATTAAATATTGCTATACAGCTGATTGTAATAATTGGTTGTTTCCGGCTTATATGTATTATTTGTTCGGAGGTCAGTTATGGAATGCTCTTTTGAATATCGTTTGTAGCTACAAGAACGTTTCTTAATGGCCCGGTTTCGTCTCCATAGAATTATAGAAGTCATTATTACAATTGCTACACCCAAGGCTGTTAATATGAAATAAATGTTATCACCATTCGCACGTACTGAGTTCTCCTTTGCAATTGCCATTTTACTTCCCTTACTCGGTAAATTAAAAGTGGGTGGAGAAGTACGGTCAAAATATTCATCGAGCCTTGTGCTAGGTCTTGGTGGAGTTGCTGAAGTAAACTTTGGAGATTTTTTTGTAATAAGCCCTTTTTTCTTCTTCTCTTCTTTTATAGTCCCCTCATGTATTAATAAATCGTCATTATAGTTATTAATTTTTAAAATTTCATCTGGAATCGGTTGTGGTAAAATGCTTTCTGTAGGCTGACTGTTATGTACTAACTCTTCGTATTCATAGTCTATCCTACATTCGATTGAAACCTCTATAATTTTTCCCATAAGGCAGGCCTTTGAGGGATCATCTACAATCAAAATATCGCTTAATTCCCCATCATTTAAGCATATGAAATATTCTTGTACACCACATTCATCCTCATCTTGCTTATCTTGTATGCAGAATATTTGTCCTACTTTATCTGAGTCACAAAATGTTTCAGCCCAAAGGGTTTTTAAAGAAATTATAATGATGAGAGTAGCTTGCATAAGAGCCTCTTTTATGAACGTGTTAATAAGAAATGTGATTTTTTTAAAACAAAATATAAACATTTTTAAGTCAAATAATTTCTTACCTCGTTTTTAGAGTGATGCTCTAACCAATCTGATTGCAATGAATTTTGATAATAGATTAGATCTTTTTAACCACGCATGCTTTTCAAACGTTAATTTAGAATTCTCTACCTTGCATTATTCAACGATTACTTAATGAGGTAGTTACATTAACTTCGGTGAAAGCTAAACTAAGTTTCTTCAAACCTTTACTTATTAAATTTATAAAAAGTTTTAAGAAAACAATTTTACAAAAATTTGTTTTTAAATGCATATTAAAGCTGTCTTAAATAAATTAAATTAATTCTAAATATGAGGTAAATAATGTGTAAGTACGTTAAATATCAGTCCTAAATTTCCAACTTCTAATATAACATCAGTAGACCTTTAATCTTAAGAACTTTTATCTTTATAAGTTTTTGTTAACAACACATGGGTTTTGTGTCTTACTGTTTTTCCCGTAAACCCCTTGATACTTTTTCATAAAAACTATCAACAAGGACACCACGATAGCCCTTATTAACACATCTCTTTTTAATGGTAACTGGTACCTTTACAATTTCTTGTGTTAATGATTGCTAGCCTCCTTCTGGAGGGCGTCATTTTTTAAAAAAATTAAATTTAGCTGCTCTTAATTGGTTCACGCCACCCCCAAGAATTTAGTTATTTTATATAGTTGATAATTTAAAGGGTTAATACAAATATTAATTAATATTTAAACTATGAAATAACAATTTTTTAAGGTAACAAGACTTGTTAGGCCAAGGTAACCTTTATTAGCCCTAATTCTCTAACTTTCGATGTGGTATAAGACCTAAATGTGTCCTTTGCAATTCCTTAGTATATCTAAGAAATATTTGACTAACAGATCTGAATTTTATGCGCCTTTATCCATGTTACAATCCTATCAATATGGTTAGGTAAATAAAACTTTTCACTTTTCATTCTAATTCTCTTCGTAAAGTTAAATAACTTAAAACAAAAGGAAAACCTGTCTTTATACTTCCCTCGAACCCTATCTTTAAGGGTATTAAAAGTTAATAATTATCGATGAAATAGCTTTTACAATGGGCTTGGACGAACTTGAGTAAACCCGAATAGGTTTATTTTAAGCTGAGAAAAGTCTAAGTAATAGTTGTAACTTTGATAGAAGTACAGGAACTTTTATTATTTTTAAATTCATTCGGGCAGCAATAATTGTAAGACCGGCCTCGTCCCTCCCTAGTAGTAACTCAAAGTAGCGGACATAAGTTAGCCATTTTTAGTCAACCATTCACAATTATATACACTGTTTAACTCTCTCGAGGAGAAACCCTAGATATTTTTATATTCTACGTGGCCTGGCGCCCTTTTTTTGCTAAGGGGTTCTGTGTCCTAGTCTTTTAATTTCGTTTGATCTGTCGGTTTGTGTTTTTTCTAGTCTGTGATCTTGTTTGTTCTACCATACCTTTTTACCTTTTTTTTGTTTCATTTTCAATAAAGTTGCATACATTTATTTATCTGTAAATATTATTCTTATATACAGAGCTCAGTCATCTCCATACAAGTGATTTACCTTCTGATGCGTTACAACAACTGTAACTTAGGTCAACAGATAAAATTTATTTAAATTTATAAAAAAAAGCTAAAACTATTTTTTAGGAGCGCCAAGAATCCTTGAATAACTCTAATAGTTCTTATATATTTATAATTTTGAAATTTATTATAACTTGAACACTATTGAAGGTTTTCAATATTACAATTTTATTAAAATTATACTAATTTTTTAAGTTTGAGTTTTTTTTATCTGATTATATATTACACTTGAATTTCATAAAGGTAGTATTAATCTTTGATGAATAAATACATAGGCTTATGACAAAATTCTTTATAGTACGTCAAAGTATTCATGATTACAGGTCACGTAACAAGTAGCAAAATACCACTTATGTAGACGTTTAATGTGCGAACATGTATAAATGTTCTGTAAATTTCGGGTTTGAATAGGTATGAACGTATATTTAACGTGCCGCGACTTAGTGGATTATGTATAATTTAAATTATATAAAAAACCCTACTGAAAAAAGTTTGTCCAATCCCAGAGTTTACAAAATCTATATATAAGTTCGTACCAGTTCTAAGGTAAATAGTAACTCTTTATTTACTAAAGCTAATGCCAGTACAGATTTTTTCAAATTTCATTTTAAAGACGCTTGAATTTAGTATTAGACATACTACCACGCCAAAAAGAAAACGCTAAATTAATAGTTACATTAATCTAAAAATGGTCATGACTTGGTTACATGAAAATGGAAAGTAAAATTAAAATTTAACTGATATCACAAACATCTCTAGGTGTGCGTTAAGATTTGATACCTAAATAAATAATATTATATCCATTTAGTATAGACACTTCTTTTTAGCAATTTTTATTATATTAACTGTGTCTGGCGTACGTGCACGTAGGGAACTTAGTTGCGCACAAGTACCATATTTAGTTAATGACCTTTGTATGACTACACGCGCCAATAATTAGTTAGTATCATTATTATGAACCACACGCAGGGTTCCTCTAGTTCTCGTCTTCTGGTGCAGTCGCATAGTAGTTTAGTAAACTTGCTAACCATTTTTATATCAATTGAATTGTCATAGGCGCTACAGTCAACTCAAGGGAACGCGAGTGGGGGCCTCTCTAAGATTATTATATGTATTCCTAGCTGTACGCAACCAAACTAACTAGAGCTTTCTTTGCTTCAAAATGCGTACATGTGTTTTAATTATTGATTGACATTCAGTCTAGATATTTTGTATCTAAAAAAAATATATGGTGAAGATTCATTGTTTTCTCGTAATCTTTTATTATTTAGTCATTCTTTTTTTAAATTGTTTATTAAAACGAGCAGTAAGGCCATGAGATAGATGGGTAACAAATAATAATTGGTCCGATAATTCCTTCATATATGTGGAGTTTATTTTCAAGATTGAAACAGCTTCCTTTGCAAAAGTTATATTTTTTTTTAATTTTTTCAACCTAATTAATATGAGGCTTCCAGTTAAGGCTAGTCAATAATATCGCAAGGTATTGTTCTTAGTTGCATCAAGGGATAGAATGTTTGCGAGGGGTTTAATTTTTCCCTTTTTCCTTTTTCTTAAGACGATAATCGCATGCGTTGGGTAAAGTTTATCGTAATTTTTCACTTTGCAAACCCTTTTTCAAGCTTATAAAGATAGGCCAGCGCGTATTCAAAACTAATGCAGTTGATTTCGAATTACAATATATGGGGGTAGCAGCAGCGTAAAGACTAGGAAGGCTTTGTTGGTAGGGGAGGGGAAATCGCATGCATCTAGGGAGAATAATAAAAGGTGGCAGTAGAGAGCCCCAAGTATTGGCTTGCTATAGGCGTGATTTATAATTAATTGTTGCTCAATCTACTTTCCCTCTACAAGCTAGGTGGTGGGGAAGCCACAACTTCCCTAAGACCCGTTGCGCCATCAATGAGTGGAACGTATGCGCATTATCATCACAGTTATATAGTATATATAATAAAGGCGTAATAGCAAAGTAATAACAATATTACATGTAATAAAATAGTTAAATTTTAATATCATTACATCATTAAAAAATATATATTAAGCTATAAAAAATAAACTATAATATTAGCCATATCCCCCTTCTTCTAGACCAGATATGTTTTGACACACAGTGTACTAACAAGGTGCCTGCCCAATTAGTATGTTGTGGTAAGTACTGGCTCTAATAAACCAGTTCCGTGAAAATTTATATTTTTGAATGGGGTCGAGGTTACGTCAAGCATCCTACATGCCCTAGAGAAACCTCGCGGCCTAACAAAATATAAAGGGTCTTAAAACAACGATCTTTATTGCTCAGTTTTCTCACCTTATTTTACCTTTAAGAAAGGTTAAAAAATCATTCTATGTTTGTAAAATTAATTTATTTTTGACAGGATTAATTTCTTTAAGTTTTACCTTGTCTAATTTATATTAAAATAAAAAAAAATGGGATCAAGTTAATGCTTCCCTGTTTGAAAAAAAATTTAGCCGTTTTGTTTTATATTGGTTAACGTACTGATTACTCATTGGATTATCCTGCGAAAAATTTTAATTGGAGGTTTCTGTTTTGTTATATTTTGTTTTTGTAATTATTGTAATTCGGTAGTCTTTAGTTTATGTTTATTAGAAACCATTTACATTTCATGATCGTCTTTTCATTGTATAAATTTATGAGTTTTTTTTTAGGTTGTGATTTTTTTAACTATTTGATGTAATATTATTTGATTTAAAAAAATTGTGTAGTGTTTTTTGTTTTGTTGTTAGTTGTTTCTTGTTACAGCCATCGAGAATTTTGGTCTTAAACTTGCGAGTAGGCGCTGCACTGCCATCGCCTCACTACCTCACAGCGAGGGTCCCACAAGGCTCTCTTCTATCAACGCTGTTATTCGCGCCTTATGTGAGCGACATTCTTCGGCCAGCCCACCCTCACACGCGGGTCGCCATATAGGTCGAATGATACTACGATTTATTTATCGCCAAATTCACTCATTTTACTATGTCAGCACCCACAATTTTATCTCGACGCTTGCTAGCTGGGGTTCTTAATGGAATCTCTCTTTTAACGCAGAAAAGAGCAAGGTGCTTCTTATAACAAAGAAACACCATGCGCTGCCGACAAACTATTAACGAAATGGAAATTCGGTGGTGTACTCAGGTAAATTACGTGGGGACGAGGATCAAGGCTGCGACCCCGATGCTACATCCTCTATTATGCAGCAAAAGTAAACTTTTGTTGTGCAATAAGCGAAAGCTTTATTGGTTGTGCATTCAGTCGATTATGACAGGCAACAACCTCGCTTCAACTTCGAACAAAACAAACTGCTGCGCCTTTTAACAAACGCGCCGTGGTTTGTGCGCACTTCATCATAAACTACGGATTGAGCTGATGACCACACTCTTTATAAATGATGCTGTCGCCCTCTCCGAATGGAGAGCTGGACACGCTAATCGCCTATTAGCGGAAGAACTTTCCTACAAGTTGTGCGACGGCGCACTCTTGCCGTGACGGTTGAAAGCTAGGTTGGGTGTTTAAATTGAAAGTGAAGGAAACACGTGAAGATAATAATTATACTTGCGCTTGTGGACAACTAAAATCGATCGAGCACCAGAAAATCCGTTAACCTTACAGTAGTCGTAGGGGTCTCACAAATCTGGAAACTCTAAATCCAGATATATCTCGGTAGTCATTGGATATCACGCTAGGCGTTTTCGACACCTTCCTATAAAGTACTCTCTTAGCATGATAATTCGCATCAGTTATGTATTTACTTCGGGGTTAGCAGCACTAAAATTCTGAGAGGCACCCTGCGGCTACTAACAGCGTTATTGTGTAACTATTGTTTTATTTTTAAAATTAGTTTATGAGGTAAAAATGTAAAACTTTTGTATAGTTTTTTTGTAGAAAATTATGTGGAGTTATGAAGCAGAACAAGTTCGTCTTTTGCGTTTGCGTTATGTTCAGATAGACGAAGTAACATTACTATAGATAATTAGTTACCAGTGTTAAATTAGTTAATGTCATGTTACTGAACTTCTACTAACTATTCTGGGTACAGTCAGAAAGAATAAATAGGAAATACCTTGATTATTTCTCAATGGTAAAATCCGTCGTGTGTTTGGATTTCGAACTGAACCCACACCAGTTCGTACATCCCCAAAAAAAGCAAGTTTGTGGTTTTATTACCAAGTTTGCATGAAACTGACAGCATTGATAAGAACACTGGAGAAAAAAGAAACCTGAGATAGTAACAAGCTACAATCAAACCAAGGGAGGTGTAGATATGGTCGACAAATTATGTGCTTTGTATAATTGCATCCGTAACACAAGGCGCGGCCAATGGTAGTATTCTTCAGTACTCTGAACGTGGCTGGTACAAATTTTAAATGAAAGAAGTAAAACTTAATCTTTGGAAAATCTCATTTGCACTTATTGACGAAAATTTGAGATAGCGGGCAGTAAACAAATATATTCCGCGAAAAATAACTGCTAGGAATGAAACTTTAGGTATTCAAAAACCGGAAGAGATTCAAGAAGAGACAACCATAGAGGAAACTGCTTTAAGCGCAAGGGGTGAAAAGCGAAAAACAAGTATCGCGCAAAATATTTAATATACTTGTGTTTAGAACATTCCTTTGTTATTTGTAACGATTGTTGCAAAAAATTAGGTAATGTTTAGTCAAGTGAGATAACCCCCTAAACAAACTGCTTTTGATAATTTTATTTTTTTTACCTTTAAAACTATTTTTATTTTTTCAGCAGTAGCACATGGCGATTAACATATTTGGAAAAAAATTAAAATGTAAGACGATGTCATGAAAAGTATTCACTGCATTCTGATTTTGTTTTCTTAATTTTCAAAATAGATAGAAGTTAAAATTTAGTGTGACCCGTATCCTAATATCTTAATAAACAACAAATGTTCGAAAATTAAAGGAATTTATATTTGATATAAAAGTAAAAAATTTAAAACCCAAGGGGTCTGAGAGACCTGCTGCGAATACTAATGTCTAAATAAGAGGTGCGACTACTGTAGGGTTATAAGAAATGAGATCCTTGCTAACCATATTTTTTAAATTTAATTTTTAAATTTTTAATATGAACATTTTTCTAAAGTATTTCAGTAATCAAATTTTATCTTAAGTTCACTACTTCATTTATATAAAATGCCCTTTAAGAAGGTGATATCATAATTTCTTTATGGTTGGTTATGCAAAATATTTTAAATTAATAAATTTCTGCGTTGTTAATTTATATTTTAGACCTGTTAATAGGGCGCCTCAAATACCTATTTTCATTGATAATAAAATTCGTACTATTCCCTCCTTTTAAAATTTATATTATTAAATACGACTTAGTGTAGTATCTGACTTAAATAAAATAGCTATGCTAAAATACGTAATCATATATAGTCCAAAATTTTATAAAACTTTTACTTAAGGCAATTTATAAAAAAGATTCAGAAATCTATATCCCCAATTTAAGGGAGTATAAATAGTAGTTGTGATTACACTACGTTTATTATAAACTTACGGCCAGTGTAAATATATGCACCTAGCAACTTTCTTTAGCTAGAAATGAGGCGCTAACAAAAATATATATGTAGAAAAACACGTCCCCCCTCCCAATATTTAATAGAGCAGAAAGGGAAAAGGGCACAAGAGGGCAGAGAACATCACATGTGCTAGCTTTGTAAACAAAGTATTCATGTTAGTAATAGTTTTTTATAGAAAATTAATAACTCTAGGTATTTTTTAAAAAAGTTATGGTGATGAAAATAGAAAGCATTAACAGCACTATTCGATCTGAGCGCGTTGCTGCTCACAGCCATATTAAAGGTTTAGGCCTCGATGAAAATTTCGTTGCCACCAGTGCAACCAAGCCTTGTGGATTAGGTAATTATAGTTAGGTATTTATGATACACTCCTTGAACTTTTTTTTTAGTTGGTCAAGAATCCGCTCGGGAAGCAGCCGGCGTTGTCGTTGACTTAATAAAAAACAAAAAGATGTCAGGGAGGGCGGTCTTGCTGGCTGGGCCGCCTGGCACCGGGAAAACTGCTATAGCTTTAGCCATAGCTCAAGAGTTGGGCCCTAAGGTCTTTCTACGGTCTTTCTACTTTTACAGGCGTGTAACCTTATAAGATTTAATATGAAATAGTAATTTTTGCTTTACATTTGATTATAAATTATATTTTGAAACCTTTATCATAGGTGCCTTTTTGTCCCATGGTTGGTTCTGAGGTTTACTCATCTGAAATTAAAAAAACTGAAGTTTTAATGGAAAACTTTAGGCGCTCTATTGGTATATCTTCTTATAATTTAGTTTATGTACATCTGACTTTTACAAGGGCTGCGCATTAAGGAAACCAAGGAAGTATACGAAGGAGAGTTAACAGAATTGACACCGGAGGAAACGGAGAATTCTTTGGGAGGCTTTACCAAAATTATTTCTCATGTCATTATTGGTATCTACAAGTTTTTTTTATTTTAAGTTTAAATAAATTCTGGTGATCTTGTTGGTTTACGAAGCTTATTTGCATTTGAGTGGGTTCTGTAAACAGCACAGTAAAGTTTACCTTAATAGAAAACATAATTTTTAAGAGGTTTTTTTTTGTGAGCGATCACGCCATTTGCTTGGTTAACCTTTTTTATATATAACCGATAATTTTTTTAAACAGTGCGTTTTATATGTTTTGTACTCTTTAAATCGGGTTATTTATTGACTACACTTTTCTTTTCTATTTCTAGTTTATGGGATTCTTTTTCCATTTTTGTGTTCTATATATGACTCAATTTTTTACTTTTTAGGCTTAAAGACTGTAAAAGGCGTCAAGCAATTAAAGTTGGATCCCGCCATTTATGAAAGTTTACAAAAAGAAAAAATTTCTGTAGGGGATGTGATCTATATTGAATCTAATTCAGGCGCTGTAAAGGTGAGATTTCTCTTTTTTTTAGCCTAGAAAATAACCAGTGGATCGACACTATCGTTTTCTGTAGCGCGTTGGGCGGTGCGACGCATATTCAGGGGAGTACGATCTTGAGGCAGAGGAGTATGTCCCCCTGCCGAGGGGTGAGGTACACAAGAAGCGTGAGGTCATTCAAGACGTTACCTTGCACGATCTCGATGTTGCGAACGCTAGACCGCAGGTACTTTGCTTTTATTTCAATGTTTAATCGAGATCAGGTTTCGGTTGAACGTTTTTAGGGCGGGAATGATATTATGTCGATGATATCTCAACTTCTTAAGCCCAAAAAGACCGAAATTACTGACAAACTACGAAATGAAATAAACAAGGTTGCACTGTTAAGACCGCTCTCTGGGCCCGTTTTTAACGTTTCATCAGGTTGTGGATGGGTACATTGAACAGGGAATCGCCGAATTAGTTCCGGGAGTCCTGTTCATTGACGAGGTAACGGGCAAAAAAACGTTGCGAGGGCTGAAGCGTTTACCTAGACCCTTTTTTTTAGGTGCACATGCTAGACATTGAATGCTTCACGTATCTTCACCGGGCGCTGGAGTCCACTATTGCTCCTATAGTTATTTTAGCCACTAATCGGGGAGAGTGTATGGTCAGGTGCCTTAGCTTTGCCCGCTTACACCACCTTTTCCCTAAGGAACGCTGTTACAGAGACACTGAGACCGTGGCTCCACACGGCGTCCCTTCGGACTTGCTGGACAGACTGCTGATAATAAAAACACTTCCTTATTCCCCCCAGGAAATGGTGTACAGCTCTTTTGAGTCCGTTAGCTTTCTCCTCATGCTTACTGGGCAACTTTGGGGGGGGGAGTAGGTGGGCATTATAAGGATTCGGGCCCAGATTGAGGGGCTTTCCATCGAGGACCAGGCCATCGTGCGACTGGGAGAAATTGCCTGCCAGACGACTTTGAGGTCCCCTTTTTTTTTTCCTGTTGCACTGTTTGAAATATCACTGCTATTTGTTTGGCTCAGATACGCTGTACAGTTGATGACACCTGCTAACGTCCTCAGGCAGGTATACAAAAAGGAGAGCATTACAGTTTCTGAGGTTGATGAGTTACGCGACGTCTTTTGGAATGCTAAACGATCTGGACAATTTCTTGCATGCCATGATAGTTCTTTTATGCATTAAAGATATCTTTTATATTACTCAAACTTGAATGTTTATTACGTTTGTTGTTGTACACATTTTATTTTTACTTTCCCACCTCGCCGAGCATTCTGTACAAGTCCTCGATCCCGAAATCGAAGTCCACTCCCAGCCCTTGATAGCATCTTATAAAAGCGGAGCGATTCTGTTGCTAGTAGTGACGGCGTATTGAATGATTCGTTTACCTTTCTATGGTAGACCGGTAGAACTTGAACTGCTGGACCAATTCGTCGAAGAGAAGCCGCCACACCATATGGAACAAACTGCTTTCCGCGTTGAAGTCTCGCTCAACCTTTTTATATACAGTGGCGAGTTGCTGTAGAGGAAAATCTTCTAATCTGGCGGATGCGCGATTTTTTCAACTTTACACACTTTTTTAACCAATGAAGACGGGTAGGACTCAACGAGCTTTTTCAGGTTTTGTTTGCTGTATTCCGTTTGAAAAACAATTTCAGTCTCCGAAACGCCCATGTCGAGACTACGCTTGATGCCCTGCGATCGAGCGCGTTAATAATTTTTATAAGCAAGTCAAAGGTTACTCACCGCCATGAATTTACCAACTTTTTCCATGGGCATTTCTAATATCATAGTGATGTAAAGCTGAATATGCTGTTTGTATTTTGCTGCGATTATAGACAATTAGTGAGAGGCAGGGAATGGTGGGGTGCAGACAGCAGATACCTTGGGCCTCTGTGCGGAAGTTTTCTATGAATTCCAGCTTGACGGTCGTTAGAGAAGACCAGAGATGGTAGTAGTTTTCAAACAAACACACCTCCTTGGATTTGATTTCCTGGTATAAAGGAGAATACAGAGCAGGCAGGATCAAACAGCTCCTATAATCTGAAAAAAAAAAAAACCTGCGCGCAGCGTTCAACGGCGTCAAATACTGCGCGACAGTACGTTACGACAGGCTCTTTCACGAATGCCGTACTGCACTCGCCGGTTATCGAGGACGCCTTTTCCAGGGCCTTTTTGACGCGAAGCAAAAAAGGCTCGAACTGTAAACAAAAGGAGAAGACGTTATCCTTGCGCTTTGGGTCTTTTCTTGCGCCCCTTTGGGGTATTTCGGCAGTCTTTTCTAATACCACTCGGTCAAACTCGTGCTTCAATGCAACCTGAAGATGCTTTTGTAAACAGGAGACTCGAAGACCTCACAGGAAATTATTAACTTTAAACTTTGCCAGCTGCTCTGAAAAAAAGTTTTGCTGGCTGAGCTTGTCCTTTTCCATGATCTCATGCACGACTCGTTCCTGCGCACAGCATCATAAGCGGGTGGGTATTGCGTCTGGCGTGTAACTACCATTTGGATACATATCATCTGGTCTCTCGCGCTCCCGAATTCTAATATGGTGTTCAAGTTGGTTTCTATTTCTTTAAAGAGGATCCCCCGCAACAGTTGTCTCAGCTGTATGGGTTCGACAACTTCGGCCTAACGACTACCACGACGTAATACAAGTAACTAACATATTTATCAGAACTCTCGCTCGACACGTGGAGGCCAAAAAACGCTCTGCAGAACTTTATCTCTTCGTCAATCACTTTATTATACTCCCTGAGAATGTGAGCAAAGGCCTGCAGTAACACATGTTGTCGACGAAGTGTACGTTCAGAGTTGATGTGAGCTCACCTCATTGAATTTTTTCCACTCGGAGGCGTCTGTAGAAGGGAAGAGGAGAGTAAAGCGTTCAATACAAGGTTTCTGAACGAGTACCATCGCAGCGTATGGAGTGGAAAGCTTCGAAGAGATTGTTGGTGCATTGACGCAGCTCTGCTTGGTAGATACCCGCCGCGGCCGACTCGTAATACTGACACGAGGTCAATATTAGTTTATTGCGCGGTCTGTGAAAGCAATGACTTACTTTTATTAGCCAGTAATAAGTTTTTTCGTGGGACTCTCTAAGCCACATGGAAAAAAAATCAGAAAAGGGAAGCAGTAAATTGTAGGAGTTTTCGTGGACGGGAAGAGTGTAATGTTCTACTTTTCCGGAGGCTGTTTGCTCCTATAAGGAAATAATATAATATATAGCAAAGAGAACAAATTAGAAAACGGGACCATCTTATCCACTAGTCCCACTATTTTCTGTTTGAAAAGATCGAGAAAAGCCATTTCCTTTTCGCGAAGTTTTTTTATGCTGTCTTCCACGACCTGAATGTTTCCCATCCCTGCTAGCAGTCAGGCGTGGCTTGTACAGAGGAAGTACAGCTGACACAGCCGACCTGACTGAAGGGACAAACGGACAGCCGCTGACAGCTTACGTATGGCCTCCAGGCACTGCAAGCTACCCTGCTCGTTGTCAAGAGCGCTGTGCCCCTCCGCTAGAAGTGCGTACTTCTGCTGGATTTCGTTGGGATTGAGGGCATCCTAGAGAACGGAGTTCACTTTGCTTAAAAGAAAAAGGCCGGACACTAGATGACGCCAAACTTACAACAAGATTGGAGAGTTCTAAGTGTAAACTCTTATAGTTCCTAGTTTGGATTTCACTAAGAATATCGCGCTTAGACAGCTTTTGTATATCTCTTCGGGCGTCCTTTGATATTATGTTGCACAAAAAGTTAAAAAGTTATGTGTTACGTTATTAACAATATTTAAACCTTGAGATAACTGTTATATAATTTCAATTGTAAATCTAAACGGTCAATTTGGAATAAAAGATCGTCAAAATATTGGTTCATCAACGAAGTTTGAGATTCTGATTGCAGCAGGATTTCAACAACTTCCTAAAGTAATTTTTTTAAAAATGTCTTTGAAAGTAAATTTTACTCTTTTTTTACCAACTCCAAAGTATCTCTGTTGAGTTTAAGATTTGAGGAGGACAGCTCATAATTTTCAAAAATAGTAGCGTCAGAGCCAATGGTGAATTCTGCATCGGTACCCTCTTGAGCAGAGAGCTCCTCATAAGTTTCAGGCTCAGCTCCTGAACCTAGTTGGTTGTACGTAAAAGCAAATATGTACTTTTAAAAATAGATAACCCAGCGCTTCACTTCTCTCCTTTAGAGTTTTATATTCAGAATGGGCTAAAGAAACAGGAACTTTCAAGTAAATGTTGCTATTCTAATTTTTTTAAAGTAACTATTAAAGTTCCTTTAATAAGCGAATGTTATTAACCATTACAAAGCCTTTTATAAAATTTAACTTGGCCCTATACTCAGTAGCTGCCCAGTGGTGTACTTCGTCATCTAACTGAAGAGAAAACTCAAGATTTTCCTCTCCATTGATGTTGAAGGATTTCTAACCACGTTTTATTATAAAAAGTAAATAAAGAACTAATGATATAAAGGAGCTAAATTTGAGCTTTATCAATACACTTACTTGGGTTGGGTTTTCGTCAAGGACAATGATTAGATAGCGGTCTAAGTGTATAGTTTTAACTATTGCGAAGGTGACAGTGTCAACGTTAAATAAGAACAAGGAGGATTCTTTTACTAGTGTTAAAGATTGTTGTCAGCTTTTATTAAAAAAATAACGTAACTTGTATAATATCCAATTACGAAATGATAAAAGAAACTTACGACATACACAAAAATATACTTTGCAATTTTCTTCATCATCTGAGGCATATAAAGCTGATATACTCAGGAGAAGATTTACACCCGCTTTGCTAGAAAAATCAGTTTTTAATCTATACTCCACCTGGTCCATATTAGAGTAATATTTGCTCTATTATATTAAAACCTTAAACACTGCACATAGAGTTAAAAAAGTTGGTTAACACAAACAACCCTTTTAAATTTTAATATAGGCTCAAGTTCACAGTTGATTAATTGTGTTAATTTAAAGTAAAATATAAAAATTTTTTGTGCAAAATAGAATTTATTATTTAATATTATATTTATTTACACCGTACTAAAACCACAATTGTAGGTTGCTATAATTTAAACTACTTTACATTTGTATTACTCTTATTGTCTGGGAGGGTAAAGAAGGGTAGTCTTCCTTGGAAGGCTACGAATTTCGTAGAACAGCAAAGCAGAAAGGACGTCAGCTAATTTTTACGAGCATGTTAGCCTTTGTTAAGTTATGCTTAACAGATGTCTAGGTTGTTTGTGTTCATAATAAAAGGTCATCAAGGGTATTAGTTAATACATCAGTTATATTTTCTTCAAATTGCGTTAAAACCATTCTCGGCGATACGCTTAGAAAAAGGCTGAAGTGGTTTGACTTAACACTTCTTTTTCAACTCGAAACACTGTACAAAACCTAAGTGCGCTAATGTATATTTAATAAGTTTAGGTCAAAGTTAAAGAAAAAACAGCGCCATGAACTTAGAAGTTATAGTCTTTAGTCATTAATTATTACAACTCCCTTTAAACTTTATCTAATACCCTTTCACCCCTTCTTTTTTTATCAACCCTGTGAATAAATTATATTCGCGCAATAAACTGTGGACTTTGCTTTCATCCTTAATTATTATTTTTTTTTTTTGGCACTGATATCTAACGATAAGGTATCATAAAAACTTTCAACACTTAAGCTGTATTTTTGTTTTAGAAAAGGTCGAAGTAAGAGTGCATACAAATAGAGTTCACCTTTTCAGATATCATGACTCACAAAGAATTGATAACTAGCAGAGTAATATCGGGCTAAAACTATAACCGTACGGCATTGTGTGGCGAATCACCTTAAAAAATCCCGCTTTCTGATCAAAGGACGGGACCTACTTTTTATAAATACTAGTATATAGAGATTTTCCTTCCTTTAGTCAAGTAAAGTTCATCACTTTAGAATAACAAAGCGTTCGCCACTAAGCCTAACGTTAAGGAAATTAACTTTAAATAAAATAACATTATTTGGGTAGGGGAAATCTTGACAAATAGTTAAAAATAAATAGTTATATTATTGGCAACGCCAAAAAAATTTTTAGAAAAAGATCAGAGGTTCTATTAGCTTTTTCTAAAAAGCCGGGAGAATTTTCCTGCACTGTAGCCGCTTGATGCTCCGGAGGTTGTCTACCCCCAAGGGACGATAAGGGGGTTGGTTTAAACGAAAATTGTAAAATATAAATACTGTGGTCAAACAGAACTCTGGGTTATATCAAATCTCCTTCAGTCAATTCCGAATTGGACAAAGTACTGCCTTCAACTATCAAAAGCCAGCATAGTGAGGCGTCTATGCCATTCAGCACTGAGAATCATAGTAAGAAAAGATAGTAGAAGCCACAGTTCAACTCAACTTAAATAATTGCAAAACTGTTGCCGTAAAAGTGAATCTCCTGTAGTTTAAGTGCCTACCTAAAGGATACCTTTACTATGGAGGGAAATCTATATACAAGCTTATACTTATGCGGCGTAAATTCAGAAATAACAGCTGATTCCATTCCTGATCTTGTGGAAGACACCAAGATATGTTGTCAAGACTCTTTAAATTTTAAACCCGAGGGGAGTCTTATCAATTTATTTTTGTAGAAACCTCTTTAAATTTTTTTTTTAATCATTTAGAACTAAAATTATTGACTATAGGTCATAAAAAATATTAATTTATCAAAGAAGGGCTTACATTTCGTTGATCTCATCCAACATTTTTGTTTTCCTTATGGAGTCTCCGTCCTTTTCAAGCGAGTTAAATTATTGTTAGTTAATTGTTATTGTTATTATATTTATCTATAAACAGTTTTCTGAAGAAGTAAAAAAGTCATACTCTCTTTATAGTTTTACCTTGACTCAGGAAACCGGTGTCTTTATTTATGGTTGTCTTATCAAATTTCTTCCTTATCTTAGTTTCATAGCTTTCTCATTAATCAATCTATTAGGTACAGTTATAAAATATTTGGTTCTTTTAGAAGATAAAGAAATAAAAGCTTTAGAAAACTTTGCTAAAGAACATAATAGTAAAGCTCCTGATGGTAAAATTTCAACGCACAAGAAGCGTTTGTTGTTATTTGTATAACTCTCCACTTTTGGAAAAACTATTTTTACATCTTTATTAATAGAAAAAGCATACATTGAACGTGCCCTGTGTCTTCTGTCACCTTTGCCTTTCGTAGAAGAATCTAAAGTAACTAAATGATTTTATTTTGTAATAATAAAATAATATTTGTGATTTTTAGAGAGTTTTAATAGAACTTTACAGTATTCTAGTTGAAGGCGGAGAATATTCTTTGGAGGCTTATATATGCTCTTTGTTTTCTAAAGTTTTCTTTTTTTCTTTAAAATAATTATCAAGCGTAAAAGCTTATTTTTATTGAACTTTTGCTTACAGAGTTTGATTGAGTGCTTACTAACTTTTTATATTAAACTTTTATTTTTTAAGGACTCTTATTCTCAATTTAAAAGCGTCGTTACTGTTTACTTTCCGACTCCGATATCATTTTGCAACATGGAAGATGGTTCCTTGTTATATTTATATAAATTCTCTCTGCTGATCACTTTTACTTCCTTTTAGAATTTCCTCTGTTTACCTTTAGTCTAGTTCCAGTTTTTAGGCATCTTCCCCCGAAAATGTTTATTAAAGTTCTTTCCTGCTGTTTGATGGACGGGCGGGTCAGTCTTAATTAGTAACTGTTTATTTGTTGTAGTTTAAGTTTTTTATTCATCACTTAAACTTAGCAAGTTTCTACATCTTTTATTAATCTTAATTTACTACGCCAATTTTTTTTTACTTTTGAAATTACCCTAAACAAGATTTTAAAGTTACTAATAATTACTAGTAAAGCGCGACCCCCAGCATAGAAATTTTTTTTAAAAAAAATTGCAGTATCTTACGGGATTAATGACTTCATGGTTAAGCTTCTAGTACTATCGAGTGATATGGAGCTTCTTGGCATCTTTAGCGAATCAGTCTTGGCAGCGATGTATCCTTTTCGATGGTGCCACGCTTATGTTCCTGTACTCCCTCAAAAGATGCTTTACTTTCTGGAGGTAATTTTAGTAACTCTTCTATACCATTTTACTCCGATCGACAATTTATGAGGCTCCCGTTCCATTTATTATGGGCGTCGCTTCTACATTGCCAGACACTTTCGACAAACTTTGCGAGGATGTCGTGGTGGTTGATCTTGATCGAGGCAAGTGTTTATGATATTTCATTTCTTTATAAATGTTTGCTTGGGGGTTTAACTTTAATAGTAATTGTTAGGAAAATTATACCTTTTTTTTCTTGTTAGATTTTAAAGCTAACTTACAAAAAATTTGTTAGAAACTCCTATTCATTTTAGTATTATTTATTATCTATTAATATTATAACTAAAAGGAGCCATTGTGAAAAATGAAAAGTCCGTCTCTGTTTTTCCTGAACTACGGTCCGTCGCACGGGATATACAGCAACTTCTACTGACGCCCACAACCAACGCGGACCCCACAAGTACGGCATTTTTATTCTGGTTGTTTTTCGAATTCTTATACTCTGCTACCTCAGAAAGCATTCGCACCTTACTAGCGGAAGCATTCGCCTCTCTTTTTGTCGGGTACAATAATCCCTACTATTATTATTTATTTTAAATTTTTTTTTGACCAGCTACGAGTGCTACTTGCTGGACAACAGTGGCGAAAAGGGAAAATTAAAGTTTGATTCTGTTTCATTTCTATCTGATCTCGGAAAAGACACCGCAGAAATTATGCAAAAGTTTCTAAAAGTTAAATATTACCTTTACTCGCACTGGTTCTCTCTGAAAGCTTTTCTTCTTTCGTGCATGCCAGACACAGTCTTTCGCCTATTGGCTGGATACTAGGAGACAGGCCTCAAAGGCGTCCCCTGCCAATCCGTCTCTGTGGAGTATACAGTACTTTGAAGGGCTCGTGAAGCAGAAAGAGGTCGGTCTTTTCATGGTTCAGGAGGTTTCGTGCCCAGCTGTGGTTAAAAATAAGTTTCCACAGCAAAGGCTGCAGCCATGCACCACATTGCGCTCGAGTCGGAAAAAGCGTGCTTGTGGGAAGCCCAGCACACAGTCAAACGTCTATCCTCAATACTATTCGTCATTCTTTGGGTACAGTCTTCTTCCTTGCACTACTACCACGTGGGATGATTCACTGGTTCAGCGAGGGCCAGGCAGACAGGGTTAACGACTTTGTCGACATCAACTTCACTAAAATACTGGACTTGACCTGCACGTTTTTTCTGTGTATTGCTGTTTATTGACCGTAGTTTAATTAACCATTCTGGTTTTAATGCACTGCAGCCAATGAGAAGCACCAAGAGCATTCAATCATGTCCACTCACAAGGAAGAACCACATGGCCAAGGTTATCGTCATCACAATCTTTTGATTTTTTTTTAAACACCCATTTTTATATTGTAGAGCCTTCAGAATCCTTTTCTGGTGTTTCTGCGGAGGAATTGTTTAAATTTTTAGGTGAAGGCTTCTTATTTATTAAAAACTACGAAGTTACCCTTTTCCCTAAAAGAATCAGTGATTGCCGATATTTGCTTTTCATATAACGAACGGCTTGAGAATTCCCGGAGAGTCGGTGATGCAACCAAAATAGAGACGGACGCAGTCAGTTCTTCATCGAGTCTTTCGCTGAACCCTGAACATTTCGGGTAGTTAACTGTTGTAAATGTTGATCAATGACGCAAGTATAAAGTAGACACGCGCTACCATTTTCTCCACGTGTACAGAAAGCTTATATTTTTTCATTATCTTTTAAAGTCTTTTATTTACTACAATTTTCATTTGTCAACGGCCGTGTTGCTTTCAGCCCACCAGCCAATTCAGGTCTTCTCCTTAATACTTAAGGTAAATACTTCTTCAACTCTCTATATACACTTCTCAGAATTAGATTACGTCACATGCTTTCAAACAAGCCACGAGGAGTCCTCCTCGCTCTGCGACTCGCCTCGGTTTGCTAGGCTTACCCTTTCGTTGCACTTTCCGCCGGCTTATCCTTGCTCACTTATAACCAGTACAACCTCGAAAGGTGTCCTGCCTGCAGAAGAAGAGTATGCGAGCTTTAACAAGAAAGTTCAGAATGGAATCGTCAGGTGAACTTCGTGTCTACGGGGCCACGTGGTCTTCTAAACCCTCCAATGAAAGGCTTTGCGTCGTAATAGAGTATATATTCAACCACGGAAAGATCGGAGACTTTGACCAATCAACTTTTGGCCAATTGCTGTGGAAGTGCTCTTTATCTCACGCCACCGAGCTTAACGAAGATATCCGCAGAATACGCGTGCGTTACACCATTATTTATTCACTATGAAGCGTGTTTTCGGTGCACTACTTTTATTAGTCCTTGCACGAAGTCACTTCTTTTATCGGGCGGGGAAGGGCGTTTATGAAACTCAGTATAGAAAAAGGTCGTCTATTATCATTAAGTCCTTCTTTATGCGCGAGTTTCCATATTCCAGGCATTCTTCATAACCATATGAACACGCTGCTTCTAAATATTGAGCTCTTACAAGGGCTTTATGAACCGCATGCTATGATTTTAGATAAAAACTTAGTGGACAGACTAATGGGTAGGTTTTCCTTAGACTTTACCTTAATGGCCGAAATTTCGTTAATTTCTGCCCAGCAATTATTAGCACCATTCGACTCTGCGACTGCTCCTGCTTTAGTGAGAAGTACTACGCTCGTGACTTGACTTCATGGTACTGCCTACACGTGACTACTGGCCGAGGATTGACGGCCGCCACGACCGCCGCTGTTTTCTGTGCTCTTCAGGGGGAAGGCGGGAAAGGTTCGGAAGTTTTTCTGTTAAAAAGGTATTCTTTCAATAACATCCGCTTCATTGTATATATTGATAGTTTAAGGAGATAACAAATTATAAAGTTGAATAAGTTTAGCTGTAGTAAAGCATGCCTAGCCATCACAAATTATATTTAGGGCTCCTAAATCCTTTAAGCGAGGGGAAACGAGTCAGTTTATCATACACACCCCTTGGCTCGGTCCCATAAAGCGACTTTTGATCGGCCACAATAACGGCGGCACCTTTCCGGGTTGGTTCCTGGAGGACGCCTATGTAGAGCACGTGGTTACAGGTGCTTAATGGTAGACAGGTTGATGTCCTTTAGTCTCGTGACTATAACCACTACGCGTAGGGATAGTCTATTATTTTCCAAACAAAGAGTGGCTTGCTGATGATGAGGGAGACCGCAAAATCACTAGACGTCTCCGCTCTGCAGTTTATGAAGTAAAGGACAATGAAGGGTTAGTACTTATAGTATTCAGAAGAACAAAATATTGCAATTTTTTGTATTCTCTTTCTGAAGACAGCCTTAATAACTTTTTGCACAAGCTTTGTTATTGCAAGGATCCCACTCCGTTTAACATCTTTTAATCTCCAGAAGTCTGGTTTAATTAGACGTTTGTGGATTCCTGGTTTTTCAATTATAAATTGTTTTTTTTATTATCTGTATGTCCTATATTGTAATAGTAATATAATTGGCCAGGAAAAACCGATTTTCCTCTGCGCTATAAATCCCCCGACTTTGATTTGAAAAGTTCGGTATACAGCAAGTTAAATATTCCATATTGTCGTAAGGTTACAAATTGTAATAGTGCCGCAACTTTTAAAGTAATCCATTTTCTTTTTCAATCTTTAGACGGCCTTGCACGTATGCTCTTATAAGCGCTCAAGTAGTGCCGAAGTAACGTTATCCTCTAGAGATGAAATGTAATTATAATATATAATTTAATATATGCAATCAAAATAAAAAATATATAAAAAGTTCTGAACAGCGTAAGCCCTCTTTTCAGAAAGCCCTTCTTAATCTTCGGGACCTCAATGTTACTGTCTTCCAATTACTGGACCTAACTTCCCGAGTCTGTCTCTCTGGCTTTATTATATTCCTAGCTAGTGTGTGCAAGCGAAAAGCTTTCGAGTTGCTTAAATATATTAATAATATATGCTTATTCTCAATAAACCCTGAGACAGAGCGAAGAACTTGAGTGGAGGGCCGAATCCCTTTTTTCTGAAAAGTTATTTTTGTTCCTTCTTCTGGCTAATTTTGCGATTTATAATTATTTTTATTATAGTCTCTTGACTTCTTTAGTAAGCATTCTGTACACCTGCCTTTCCCAGGGGCTCATTTCCAACAGAGGCATTTTCCGTTCAAAATTATATTTATGGTAGATTAATAAAGTTTATCTTCATGGGAATGGTAAGTAAAAATAAACTCTGAGGAACTTTCTTTGTGTTTTAAGTCCTGAAAACTGCATTTTGAATAATGCGGAGATTAAAGCTTGCTGGGAGAAGCTTTCAATTCTGTTGAACGCTTCTTCGGAAATCAAATCTAAGGACTGCTGCTACAGTCTGGTAAAAAAAAAAGATTTTTTTCTAGCCGTTTTTGTTTTAATTTTGCTACTGCAGTTTTCCTGGACTATTTACTACTCCATAAAGAAAAATTGGCTTCGCTGCTGGTTGATAATTATCACAAGCGATCCTAAAAAATTTGATTATTACGATCAATCAGTGTGAGCTTTGTTTATAATTTATTTTCTTTTTCCTTTAAAAGAAAGTTGATTGTTGCTTTGTAAACCTTATAAAAAAAATCCAGCCATTGCTTAATGCTTGATAAAGCAATGTGTAACGATTTAGTAAATTCTTGCGGGAAGCTCGACAACCGAAATATCCTTGTTCCTTCCGATTTAATTGATATAATAAAAGAATTTATTTAACTTCTTGTGTTGCAATTTACTCTTGACGAGATGGTAAGTATAACTTTTTCTTGCTTCTATGCAGTTTATTTAGAAATTGAAACAGAGACTCTTCTTTTCTTATTTTGCGGTATGTAAATTCTAAACCATCGACGCGTAATTCCTACGCTTAAGCAACGCTCGTAAAAGTAATGTTTTCCAACGGAATGCGACACACATAGGTTTAGTGGAAACGTGAGATAACGTATTTGAATGTTTACAATGTTAACAAGCAAGAGCAGTAAATTAATCCTACTAAAAAATTAAACCGAAAGGCCGAAAGTGAAATCTTAAATATTTTTTACTATTATATAATATACGGCGTGGCTTTATAGTAAATAGTATACGATGTTAAAAAAAGATTATTTTTATTATTCAAACCCTTGTCAGTGTCCATAAAAAGAATCGAAGGTCTTTAAGTTTTAAAGTTTTGACAGAAAGAGGTAGAGTTATCATCTTTATACATTTGGGGAAGAATTACAAAATGTGGGACAAACATGAAACACGTGAGATGACAGGCTACACAGACAGTGGTGCACCACGTGGTTTATCAGTTAACCAGTCCCCTACTATGTTAATACCTGAAGACATATTTTAGCCCAATGACTTGCCTAATTTGAGGTACGTTTTTTTAGGAATTAGTAATAACGTATACCTTCCCTAATGTGCCCCCTTTTTGGAGTACTAAGCTAACACTGTGTTCGCACACGGAGTGTTTACTAACATCTGGGCATCGGCTCCTTTTCCCTATCTACCGGGAAACCCAGGTTAAAAGTTGGGACTCTGAACTTTAAATTAAAAAGTTTGTAGGTACCAGTTCATTCAGAAATTATCGTGTTTTCTCTTGTAAAACTTATAATCAATTATTACTTCCTAGAGGTTAATGAACTAATGTGTTAAGTGAAGGTAATCAACAATTATATAAAAATGTAACAGCAGTTACCTGAGGTGACTACGAAGCTTTAAATCTGCCTACTTACCTTGTTATTAAACCAATCATTTGAGCTAATGAAGATCTCCATCTTGTGCAAATCAAGGAATATATTGTGGGTGCGACTTTTACCAATATACACTTATCACATTTACTGCAGTCGCCTTAAATAGGAAAAAATGTAGTCATAGTTTATAATTAATAGGGTAACCTAAATTCTTTAAGGTTGTGAATTGATCATACTAGCTTGCGGTAGGTTCATAACGGCTAATATCCTAACTGTTAACGTCAATATAGAAAAGAAAGCGTCGAAACCCAGAGTAGACTAGCGTAAACATCTTAAATGGAGGTAAAGAGATATACTTTAAACATAATAAATTTCATACAAATCGTCAGTTGTGTACACAATTTTTCGCAATATTTTCCGTAGAACACTAAAACATTTGGTAACCCCGGTATTTTATAATATGAAGTTATTAAAGTCTGCAAAGGAAATAAAGAAAGAGAAATCTTGGGTGAGATGTAAATTTTGGGTCATCTAGGGAGACAAGATATAAGTTGTAAAATTGTTCATTTTTTAATAGTTAATTGCTTAGACTGAAACCAACCAGTGTAGTGATTGTGCATAAGTTTATCGATTTGGCCAGCATAGCAAAAACCTTAAATCACCAAAGGCAAGCTACTTGCATTCGATTTGCCAAGTTTATCTACCAAATTAATCCTTCGCTGGACTGCGAACCTCGCAGCCCGCGTTATTGAGGCTTTCAAGGGTGGTGTTCTGGTGTGGATCAAGCACAACCCGTCAAGGGCGAAAACTTCTCTATTTAGCTGCCCTACACAAGGTTGATCTTAGAACCTACTTGAAATGTTTCTCTGGGATTTAAATGATGTTCCGACTTGAAGAAGCTACCGCTACTATGAAAGGCCTGATGCACTATAAGCAGAGGACTGGATTTTCACCTCCCATGCGAAAAATATATATATATAAAGTTAAGAAACCGCATTGAGGCGTAACTTTTTAAGGTCAAAAGTTTGTGATCCAGGCCTTATCCTATTTTTAAGGCTTCCTTTGTTGGGAGGGGGGGGTTAAGTAAATCTTGACCTTTCATTATTTAGAAATTTCTGGCCCACCCGCCAGCGATCTTTTTGTTTCAAATGAGTGCCATCAAATCATCTTTTTCTTAACCGCTGTATAGGGAGAATTTAAATTTGGCTACATGAATTTTGTTATCCAATCTATGTAACACCCAGTGATTATTGTAAAAAGTAAACACCTTAGAGTTTAGTTTTGCTTTAAAACCAAGGCTTAAACAGTACTTAACGCTCCCTTGAACAACGTGCGTTTTAATACTTTAACTGTGAACCAACTCCTGTTATTTAATTTATATAATTATTAATGACTATTGCAGATGCTGGGTATCCTTAAGCGCAGAGTCTGCTTTACTCTGGACATGACGCACAAGTGCTCATGCATCTTCCTTTTTAGAAAGCCGATAGGCTTAAGTGAAAACGATTAATATTACCTTTAGGAAAGGAGGTCCCAAGCTTATCACTGGCCAGTGTTGCTACTACTCTGTCAGCCAAAAATTTCGGCTGTTTGTCATAACGTAGATATATAGGTATATATAAAGCACAGATCTCGTTTATATTTAATTCTCTGTCTTTTATATTTTTTTTTTTTTGGAAAAATTATTGTTAAAATGCATAAAGAATTGCATGGGCTCGCCTATAATTTGGATTATCGTTAAAGTAGGATGTTTAAATTACAAGTACGTCTCGCAGGGGTAACATTTATTAACATTAGTTAATACATGGTGATTTTTCTCTCTTTATTTAAACGCTCAAAGTAAATTACCTTGGATCAATATTTTATTAATTTTTTAAAACCATTCCAGTGTTTAATGTCTGACTTTTCCCATTGCTTTTCCCACATAAACAGTGTTCCGGTTTTAATTTTTATAGTAAGCTAGCATTTTTGATTGTTTGACCACTGTACTATCTAAACTTATATATAATTTCCTTTCCACTCTAGCTTTTTTAAGAAAAAATTTTTTAACTGGTTTTGACTTTAATCGTTAAAACTTTACTGCTTTATAAGCTCTCCACTTTTCATTTGCTCTGTAAACATTAAATTAAGGACTCACCTGAAAGGCTTTGAGCACTCTGTTGCCTCAAATATATGGAGTCATCTACAATATTTTCCTTTGTAATTACTTATTGCAATCCTTTAGCTACCATTTGAATAGCTGTTTTTACGGTATCAAAGAGTTGATTTGATTTTTAGAACATTCAAGGATTTAGTTAATTGGAAGAAGCGTTTAGTATATCGCTGTAGTAACTGACAAAGTGATCAGATGCTCAGCCAGCAGACGCTTTAAATACCACTCAAATAGAAACTGGAAACTATACTATCATAGAGAAGTAAACAAGAATATTATTGTATGTCGATTAATAGTATTATTGTATTGGTAATATATAGCTATTGTAGTTTGTTTAGTGAAAGTCGTTAGATAACTCGATCTTAGTAAAATAACGAACTCGGGGATCATTTTAATTTACGTAACCTAATGGTAAGCCCACCAGAGATAAAAAGGGGTACGTTTAACCCTAAATTGAAATAATGTAAAGTTAAGATATTTTGTGGGCTGAATTTTTTTAACTAAAGTCGTCAATAGAGTTTACTCCAAAAAGGGTTGGTGGGACAGTATAGTTTTAAAGTGTATTTCCCGAGGCCTTAATCGTAGTGCTCCTGCCCAAAAAATATTATGATATTATAAAGTAGGGTTTTGTTTTACACACCTTTCGATAGACCTTGTACGCGTTTCTACTATACTTTTTTTTTTCTTCGGTTGCAAAGCATATTATTTTTATAATAAAATGCTGTTTAATATATATTTTTAATATATTCGTCGTTATACTTCTTTTTTATTAAACAACTCGCTTCCTATTAAAAATCGAATTGTGTTTCTACAAATAAGGTTTCTCAAAAACTTAAGATTTTCTATAAAGAATATAAGAAAGTAAATATTTGAAAAGAATCAACACATTAAAAAAACTTCCATATCTTTAAAAGATATGGCAATAAAATCCTTAGTCGTTAACAACAAAACTGCAAGGTAGTCTAATAACAAAAAGTATACATAAAAAGTAATATCTATTTTTGTAGTATTATATCTTTATTTTGGAGAGGTCAAAGTAGCTCCATCAAATCTACTTTTAATAAAAAGAATTCCCACAATAAGGAAAAGATTCACGTACTTATTAACTTATAAACCAATTAACAACACATAGTTAACAAAACTTTTTAGATTGATGTTTGTCTTTCCTGCAAAAACTTTATTTTTTGTTAAGCAGTTTGACTTAAACACTTTGAATTTTTACATTTCCACCTTTAGGGAATAAAATGGTATAGAACTAAGCTTTCTTTTTCAACAGTAAAAATTTTATAACTAAGGTGAACAAAAGTAACTATCATCTGCTAAGAAGGGTTTGCTTCAACATTTTTAACAGATATTATATTTCAAAATTTACCAACAACAATTACTGTTCTTAAGCAGTTATATAAAAGTATTAATATTAATCAGATAACTAATACAAGATTGTAGTTATCTTTACCAAACTTTGCTATTCACAACGGTCCGGTCTTAATGTTTTGGTTTTATAGGATGGGGATGTGCTGCAGTTAAGCCACTGAGTGAAAGGGATCTTTAGGGTTCTTTTTTGTTCTTGCCTGCATATAAACCCCTTGAAACTTTTAGTAATTGGTAACTGTATATTTTAAAAAGACTAAAATCATTTTTTATAATCATATTAAAGTCTCCCAAGTTACAGAGAAGTTAAAAATTTTTTAAAAGTACTGCCAAAGTTCTCTAACATAATCTAGCTTTTCGAAGTTTCTTATAATGCAAGTACGGGTATAAAATCGGCAACCGTAGTTATCATATAATATTTCCCTCTTTATTTTTTCTTCAAGTTTATTTTTATTAAAAAAATCTTTTTTTCAAGGAAAGTTCCCAAAATACCACAACCTTTACTGAAGCAATAAACAAATTTTTAAATCGTGCAAGAAAGTTAAAAGCTAGAGGACAAAACTTACATTTAAACTCGTACGTTAACTTTCTTATATATTTCCCTTGTTAATAAGTTGTATTTTATATATTATATTTTGACAGTTATTCGCAGAATGCTTCTAACGATGACACTCAAGTCTGTGCTTTTAATTTTGTTGTTCGTTTTTTATAACTTACATTTAATTATTAGCTGGCATCAATTTGTAATCCTTTTAAATTTGGGTAACTTAGTAATAATACTATAGTATCTCCTAAAATTATGCTTGTTAATAACTATTACTTATTTAGTATTTTATTATTACAAAATATCGTAAGCGAGTTATAAATCTATTTTTTTTTCTTAACTATAATTTCAACTCAAAGTATGTGATAAAGCAGCTCATACTTTTTTAAATAAAAGTTTTATTAAGAATAGAAAACTTTGTTAACTAGTAAATCAGTATTAACCCGTTTCTATATTTAATTGATCAAATTTTTATAGTCTAACTTTTAGTTTGTTTATTAAAACTTTTTTATTCATTCTGTGGAGATTCAGTTATAAATTAAATAGAATTTGTAACTTAATCTTTTTAATTTTTTAACGTTAAAAGGAATTTTTATTTCGTTATTGACAAACTACAACAAAACTTTATATATTAACTGAAAGTTTTCTTTTCTTGCTATCCATCTTTAAGTCACCCGCAAGAAAATAGTTCAGAGGATTTCATGCAATTTAGTTTTTGCTGATAGGAACATATACTTGGTAGCAAGAATACTACACTTTCCTTTACAAAGTATACGAAAAAGTTAACAAAATTTAGGTTTGGATTTAATTGTACAAAGAGAGGTCTGCTTATTAAAACAAAAAGAAATTCTGAGTAGCTCTTTATGCAATCTTTTTTTAATTTATATTTTTACAATAATTTTTCTCAACTATTGCAATAGTAAAAAAGAAAATTAAACTTAATTTTTAGAATGAATATGGAGTAGTCAATGAAGGGGAATATAGTAATAACGGATGTAAAGATTTCCGTGACTCTACCGCCATAGAAGATTTTCTTGTAACTAATAGACCTGGGCGGGGGCAAACTAGCGGTTGTCGAGGTCTTTTTTTCTTCCCTTATTGTTTATAAAGCACGTGTAAAAAAAATTCGCAAATTTTATGTACCTGCTTTCGATTTTTCGGCGTTCATCATCTAAATACTTTCTTTTTTTACTACTTCTCTACTTCCTGAGATCTCTCGACTTTTTATAGTTTTTATTTAAAGCAAATTATTACTGGTTAAATACTATAAATAATAGCAATGAGATTTTGATGGGTGCCAATTTTTGCTTTGCAAGTGATGCATATTTCATATACTTTACCGAGCTGATTTTCTGTAAAAGAAGAGAAGTTGTTTTGATTTTAATTAAAAGCTGCATCCGTGTTCCTGACATTTTACGATGCTTTTTAGTAACAAACAACTTTAGATCTGCTATTAAAAGATCCAGTATTTGCACTTATATTATTTTTTTCTCGTTTTCTTTAGATTCGCCACGGTTTTTTGAAAAGGGAATTATAGAATTTACTGAAGAAAACGAAAAGGAGACGCTTATATTGGAGAAACGCAGATTGTCTGAGGAATGTGTAAAGTATTTTTTTCTTAGTAAAGCAGTTTTAAGAGAAAAGTACTTTGGCTTGATGATTAGTAACAAACTCGAATGTGCTCTATTGGATAGTATAATACTGTTTGGCTAACTTTAGATGGTTTGAACTTTACTTCGCACATAATTTTTTAATGTTCGATTGGTCAGCAAAATGGCGTTTATTGGTTATTGGCCTTTTTTTTAACCAAGTAAAATGGGGGCGGTGGTTTCGAGAGTTTCTTAATTGGTTTAAAAAAAGATTTTTTATTAAGGTTGACTGAGGGGGTTAGCAACTACCGCGACACCGTCAGCTTATGCCAGGAAAAGTTGTGCGAGCAGAGCATACAAGTAACGTTGCGTGTATCTTTTGTTTCATATGTTGCTCTATTTTTTTTTAGTTGAAAGATGCCGGAATTAAGAGCAGGCCGTCTGGCGGCACTTCGGACGGGTTACTTTTATTACAAACTTATTAATTAAAACTCAAGTCATGTGGCATGCACATGATTTTTATAACACATTCAAAAGTTAATATCATAATTTATTGATAATGAATTCCTCTCAGCATTTTATCTGCTTTACTTTGGTTTTTTCCTTTTAATAGTGCTACTGCTGCTGAAGGCTTGGCTAATAGCGCCACGAGGTACATCTCTGACTATTTCTTTATTTTTCTTTAACGCGAGAATTTTTTTTGTGCATGTGCAGTTTGTTTCGTACTATTTCTTGATAATCTTTTCTCTCCTCCAATTGCAACACATCAGGGTTGAAAGGCTCACGTAGTGTTGTTCAACTCAAGTTTTTAAGCCTTAAAAGTTTTATTTTAAAAAAAGGCGCCGACGGTGCTTTCACTTAGCGTTAACTTACTATTATTTAGAAATACAGCTGCTATGCCACCGTACTTATAATATATTAATAAAAGAAAAAAATAAAAAGTTTTATGGGGCTCATTAAAAATAATTTTCTTTTCATTGCAGTTAGACACCACCTCGTGCGAGGCCTATACTGCCAGCCAGTATAGTAAAGCACCATAAAAAGAACTGGTTATATAATTTCGTTGTTTTGTTGGAGTTGAGAAGGTGAAAAAAAGTTAGCAAGTTGCTTCAGTTATTTAATAAGTTTGTCTTGCTTCAATATATATAGTTGACCTCGCTCCACACAACTCTTATGAGTTTTATGTACAGTGACAGGCTGAAGGGCCAGTTAGTAAAGTGGGAGAAAATAAACAATCATTTAAAGAAAAAGCTTGAGGAACTTCGATTCAAATATTCTTATGAAAGGTTTCAAGAAAATAGTAAAGAAATCGGTGAACCTTCAAAAGGTGTTGGGGAAACGGCCTACTCCGCTAATTTTTCTATAGTGGTTAAAAAGGTTTTCTTGCGTACACTCCTTTTTTTTTTTTATCAGAAGCCCTTCAATCAACATCGAACGGCGTCCTCGCGACATCCGAAAATTCGTTTGAGGGGAGCACGCATAAGGGAACCTTGTCCGACTTATTAGAAAGTGTTATAGAATTAGACACCCTTTTAAAAGAAGTTCTTCATGACCAATACGATCACTTCTCCAACCAAAAAGTAGAAGAAACAAGACCTATTATTTGGACGGGTCAGTATAGAGTAACCAATGTAATCGAGTTGTTTCGAAGTTTCCTGAGTTACGTTAAGCACGTCATTTATTTGTTGCAACCTGAAACCTTGCGATGCTTTCTTTACCCCGAAAAAGTTTTTATCTATGTTCTTAGCTTCCAGCACCTCTATAGAACTCACTAAAAATATATTAGGCAGAGGAAGGTCCATCAAGCTTAGAAAAAGTGAAAACTGAACTTAGTCTAATAGAACTTCCTTCCGATGCAAAACACTTGGCTCTACGTACACTGCAATGTCTTCTTTTTTTTGTTTTTTTTTTTTTACTCTACTTTGGTGAAGGACGTTACAGTAGTGATGGCGATGTATCGAAATTCAATACAAGAGAAATTGATAAACATAATAATTATTCTAGATTAGAGCAATTATTAGTAGAAAACCTTAGGGAACTTCAAGATCGGGTTTTACGTATAGAAGATGGACAAACTATTAGTAAACTGTTGCATACCTGTATAGAGGAGGAGAAAGCAGAAATAAAATGGCTAAAAAAAAGTTTGCAAGAATTCTTAGTATCCTGTAGACTTCAGTTTATCTCGTTGTTAGGCCATCGTAACTATATAATACAAAGCGACATTTCTGAGGAAAAAGAACACTTGGAAAGGAAGCTAAATACTCTGAACCAGGAACCAGAGAAAGCTATTGAGGACAAAAATATGTTGTTCATAGCTTGTGATTCTTTAGAAGAAGGACTTCGGGGAAATAATATCGAATACACCGATAAACTGTCTAAAGAGAGGCTTCTAGAAGAGGATCTTCTGGCGTGTAAGGAAAAGGTTGAACAACTTTTAGGGGAGAAAAAGCTTTTATGTGAAACTGTTCGTTATTTGGAGACTGCTGTTAAAGAGCTCAGTCAAAAGTTTGAGGAAAGTTTCGCTGAGATAAATATATTGCTAGAGGCGAAAATTGCGCTTGAAATGGAAAACTTGGAGTTAAAAAAAGAACGCAATTTTGCTTTAAAAGAGGCCAGAGCTTCTATTGAATTCCAGAAACTGTTAGAAGAAAAAGAGGAACTTGTACATTCGCAGAATCAGCAAAAGTTACATCTCTCAGCACTGGAAAAGAAGCTCGAAAGTTCGTGTGAACAGGCTACTGTTTTGAGACAGGAGCTTAGAAATGCTAGCGAAGTGGTCAATTGCTTAATAGATAATAAAGAAACTGCTGAAAAGCGAATTGAAGGACTGGAAGTGGCATTAGTAGCTCGCAATGATTGTATGCCCATGGAGCCTTATAAGCAGTTAGAAAGAGAGTTTAGCGAAATAAATAAAGATAATATGAGTGTGTCAAAAATAAAATGTTGCAATGAAAAACTCATCAAAGGACTAAAGGAGAACATTAGAGAAGCAAATGCTGAACGCGCATTACTGTTAGAGCGGGAGCTTGCCCTCGAAAAAGATTGTACTAGACTTCAAGAAGAGTTGCGTTATAATAACCTTGAGAACACCATCCTTTTCAACCTATTAAGTAATGAAAAGCAAACTTTAATCGATGTATATTCTTATCTTAGCGAATTACTCACTAAAAATAAAGTACTTATATCGCATAAGAGAACTTTTATGATATTTTTAAAAAACCTAATATCTGGTGAGGAGCACCTTCTAAGCGACCTCTTAAAACAAGACAAACACGCTCGAGAGTTGCTCACAGTTATTGATCCGCTGCCTTCTACAGAGATTATAAAAACGAACCCCGAACTAAAGGATACAAAATCACTAGCTTTCTTACACAGAAAAATTATTAATATCTGTAAAAACTTTAAACAACAAATTGAACAGGAGAAAAGATCTACAAGCGAAGTATTTACTGGCACTCCACAACAGGAGAGTTTACAACATTACATACTAAAGATATCAGAGTATAATGATATTATCATGGACTCGCTAAAGTTAAAGGGCACTAAAACGGTGTTGTTAAAACGAATTGTGGAGATGCTCTGCCTCTATTATCACGAAAAGTTAAAAAGTCTAAAAAACACTCAAGAGGACCTACTAAACCAACAAGTTTCAGCCAACCCGAATGTTGTACATATGAAAGTTTTTGAAAGCTTAAGAGGTTCCTATATATAGTGCAACTGCTTTTAGAGTGTAAAATTTTTTTTTGAAAAATACAAAACACGTGGCCTAAAACTTATATATTATGCCTACTAGTATTAGTCTAAATCATTCAACTTTATTTGGCTTTAGATACTAAGCAGCAAAACTCTCTTATCATTGCTGCACTTGAAGAAGCCGCTATAAAAATAAAACAAGATATTACTCATGAGTCCGAGAAACTTTCTTCCGCCGAGACTCTTCCACTCAATATTGCTCCTGTTAGCCAAAATGAGGGTGCCTCACTTTTTAGTATATAAGTTTTCCTTATAGCTATTTGAGCGAAACATCTCCAGCTGCCCTCATCACTTTCATTGCTACCGACGATTCTGTCAAACCATTTAAAGTTGGAGATCGGGTCAGTGTTAACGCGGAGAACGGCGTGTTGAAGTATGTCGGTCCCACAAAGTTTCAGGGGGGTATCTGGTATGGCGTCCATCTGGAGAGGCCAGTTGGTAAAAACGACGGTTCTGTCGGTAATGTTAGGTACTTGATTAACTATAGGTTATATCAGTCATTGTATATAGTCCATATAACGTTGGCCTTGACTGTTGTAGGTACTTTTCCTGCCCAGACGACCATGGACTTTTTGTAAGAGGAGAACGGCTTCGCAAAACTATCGACTGAGACCGTTTCTGTTGGACGTAATTAGGATAATAATAGTTTGACGGAACTTAATTCTTATTTAATAGAATAAATTGATATACTAAAATATAATTTTTTTTGCCTTTTCATTGTTGCTACTATAATAATTAGTTTGCACGTCATACTCGTGTTTTACTTCCTTCACGCCGAAAATGAGCGTTTAGTTAAGCTCTTTGTCCCATAAAACTTTTATATTTTATAACCAATTTACCTTTCTAGGTGTGAAGTTGTCCGCTTATAAAAATCTTGCAATATATTTTATTATCATTTTTTTTAAACAATCGTATTTACGTATATTCTAGTTAAAGTATATTTATGTGGCATTGTCTATTTTTACTTGTTTATATATATGGGACCCTATATATGTTTGCTAAAAGCCCGCAACCGCCCTCTCTCCCTCGCTCTCTAGCTTTAGCTTCCTTGAATCCTGGTTATCCAAATGTAAATTTTACTTAAATCGGTATCGCCATCTATATCATTGACAGAAGACGTTTTTTATTTTAGCTCAACTTGTGTATTATAAAGAAATTTGAATGTCTACTAAACAATCAACGAACTTGCGTAAAAAAAGGTCATTTACTTTATAGTGTGCCCTTCGAGTTTTTTTTAAACACTACTGATTAACGTTTTAGCCAACGCAAGAGCTATCATATGAATAAATTTTCGCACGTGAATATATTTACTTTACTAAACTTGCTATCGAAACCAGCTCGTGAATGGCGTTCATTAATAACTTTTATAACTTTTATAGCTTGCACAAGTTACATAAAATGCCGATATATATAATAAAGAACCTTTTTATTATAAAATTTCCGACCCTTTATGCCCATGGCTCTTTCACTGGTGGGTCGGAAATCCTTCATAACTCTAATGTCGTTACGTAGGTGGCAACTGGCCCCCGGAATGCAAACTAATTTTACCTGAGCCATTATGAACTTAAGAGCACTCGCTCTGGAGTCCTCTATAATTCTCGGTTTCTGCTCCCTTTTGCAATATGCCCACTTTTCCACACTCGAAACATTTTCGTTAAACTTTGCTTTTATAATATTATGACTTTTCATACCATTGCCAGTTCCCTCGTCCTTCTTCGTTTATGATAGCTTTGACAAGCTTGCGCTCAAGGCTAAATCTTCATGTGCCATATACTTCTGTTGAGTTGTGATCTCCCACGAAATTGCAGAGGGTAAGAGCCCTCTAAGCTTAATTTAGATCCAGAACAATTTCGATTTAACAATGCGTGCTGCTTAAAGTAGGCCTATATACCATCATTTAGTAGGATTGCCTGAAATCTAGTAAGCTTCATTCTTTTGCTAATTCTTGCATTCTTGTCTTATTATTCGACTCTGGAGCTTAAGGCAATGCGGTTCAAATTCCTTATGTCCGCAAACTCCTCTTCTAAAGCCAAAAACATGCCCTCTGGTGACAACATTAAATTTGTTGTACGAGGCATACCATATTTAAAATGACTGCATAAGGCTACCCAGCTTGTCCAAATCACGAACCTCCTGAGCGATATTTATTAAACTTCTATTAGTTCTAGAAAAAATAATGTGCCAGACCAAGCCGGTTATCCTCTTATTACAACACTTAGTATCAGTAATTGCATCAATAGCAATATACTGATCAGGTAGGATTCTAAGTAACTAAGTAGCTACTCCGGTTTGCCAGTCCTTGACAGACCTCCTTACTCACTAATAATGCTTGGGTGGTGCTTTAAAAGGACATTATTGTAAATAGAGCTTGGCTACTTACCTGTTAAAATAAAGCAAGAGAGCAAAAAGAAAAACAGAAGGAAAAAGAGTGTTTTTACTTTATACAATAAATGTAATAAGATTGCCAGCATTGTTTAAATCCTTTTTTATCATAAATAAACAAAAACGTCCCTATTTAGAAAGGTGCGTTGGCATTAGATCGTCCAAATCTATTTTCACTATTTTTTATTATTTTATTATTTAGAATTTTTACCATCTACACTGAATGCGGTGTATCTATTGTAGTGAGAGCAGGGATTATAGATCGGTTTATCTGAAAACTAGTGTAAATTTAAACAGTAGATATATAAAGCATAAAAGCTTACTCTAGTGTAAGCGTTAAAATAACAGTTAGAGTTATGGTTAACATATACTACATAGTTAACAAGCTAATTATATTTAATAGACTAATAACATTAAGAGCTCCTCGGTATATGCATAGGGAAGTAAGTAGGCAAGATAGTTACTTAAAAGCTAGAGCACTTTGATAGACTAAAACTTTGAAATCTAATTACTGAAAAAATGTCGATAAAAGACATCCTATCGGGTCTAAACAAAATAGTTTTTTATATTTTTAATTTTAAATAAACTTGGGGTTTTCAAAAGGAGAGCAAAAGTATAATATGTCTGAATCTTTTTTATGCTATATATTTTTTAATTGTTAATAAGAAGGTAAAAGCAGGTTAAAACTAATTTCTTTAGTAATATATTCTTAGTGTCTCTAGGCAACCACAACTATGCCTGGTTCTAAGTAAAAAACTTCTATAACTCGCCATTAAAAGAGGAAGCGACATTCATCTACCGCTTGCGGTTAACGCACAGCATGAGCTCTCTACGAATCATCAGATTGTCCAACTCGAGTTAGGTGAAGGCAGGATCACTGCAAAGGACAGTTATCTACGTACTTTACAAAGTTTAGAGCAACAGTCAGAACATCCTTTTTTTATGATTTAATTTGCGCTTCACCTAAGGACGCAGTCGATAATTAAGTACGCACTAACAGCTGCTCATGTCGCTGTGAAGAGTGTGTACGCCCTGACCGCCTACTATAATCTCTAATGAACCTCCGCCAATGCCCGCTGGCGCTGCTACGCAAAACCCTAAAGATATGCTGATGCTTTATTATTTTCATAGACAAAATAGAAACGGTTAATTGCGTTTCACAATAGTCACTCAAAGGTTAGTCGCCGAGAAGTGCTGAAGCTGTCAAAGAAGGGTGGCCAGCTTTCGGGCACTCTAGCAACCATTTTAAAGTCGTCCAACGCCACTTTACTCAAAAAGATGGTGATAAATGACTGAAGGCGACGAATGAGGCATCATTTCTAATACCAGTGCTAACAAATGTTGATTAAATCTTATAAGGCTCGTGTTTCTATGTCCCCCTTTTGTTCATCCTCTGTTTCAACCCCTGGTTATGTAAATACCCTTTCTCTATGGGGCAATAAATAATCGCTTCTCCCTCTTCTCCTTTTTTTCTCCGTCTCCCTTTTTGATGATCGTCGACAGGGGGTTGATGAATTGGTACTACCCAGTTGCTGGTTGCGGTTAAGTGTCTTCGGCGGCATCAGAACCACGCATTTCAAGAGCCTTATGCCCTTTTTGGCGGTTGCAGAGTTACCGCTTGACATGGGAAAAAGATAAAATAAGGAGTTTAGGGTTTAAAATAACCTATCTTGTAGAATGTCATCTTCATAAACAAATAAAAGTAACTCCAAATCTTCAATATATATTTATCGTTAATTTACATTTATGTATAAATTTACCCTTCAGATAGTTATGAAACTTTCAAAGCTCTTTGAAGGATGGACCAACACCGATCAAGCGATAAGAAAGACCGAGCGTAGTATGTTGTGAAGAAAAACATTTAATCAGATATTTTAAAACATTTTTCCTTAAGTCATAGCATTATACTGACTAGTTATTGTAAACGATGAGGAAAATCACTTTAAATTTCTTGGTTCCATAACCGAATTTGAGATAGGGTCAGTGTGAGACGGAAATAAAAAGAAGAGTTATCAGCAGGGAGATATATGATTTCAGGTGGAAAATATAAAAAACGCAATCTGAAGCCTTTATTTGTAAGGACTGACAGTACTAACCAAAGATTTCTTAAATTAACTTTAAATCTATTTTATAATAGAATATCCTAATACAGACAACTTCGAACCCACAATTTTATTTGTACGCGTTTCTAAAAATTTTTAAATATTGTGTATACTCAAAATAATATTTATATATGTATACCTCAACTTTTTAAAGTAGCTTTTATCCGATAAAGTTATAATAGTCAAATTATGTGAGTTATCTACTTAACTAATAAAAGTTATTATGGAATAGAATCTATGTTATATTGTAAAAATTACAACTGTGTGAGAGAGTTAGCGAGCTATTAAAAAAAAAGAAATTGGCTTAATATGAAACTATAACTCGTCAATTAGGTTTTAAAAAAAAAAGAATTCAAAAAAGGTTAGGCTTTAATATTCCCTGGAAGTTTCTTCTTGAGTTCCATAAATTAGTGTAAATAAAAGAACTACAAAGCATTAATTATAGAACGATGTACGACGGAAAACTTTAAAGAATGAGTGCGAAGATTTAAGGTGTGTCAATTTTTCTTTTCTTTAATATCTGCTAGTGGAAGCACTATTTCTTCAACCGTAAATCGATTTAAGCTTCGGGTTTTTCTATGGCGGGGAACTATAACCCCTGCCTCTTCCTCTTTTAAGTGAGAACCCAAAGGCTTTTCGGGCTCCTTTTTATTAGAAGTTTCTTTTATTTCTTTTGGGTATAAAGGCGGCTCCATCCGATCAACATTATTGTTAGCAAGGTTACCTGAGTCATCCCCACTGAAGTCCTTATCCACCTTATAAGTATTCTTCTTGGCGGCGTAATCTGTGTGTCCGTAAAATCCAAAAAATTTAGCATTCGCCTCAGGGCTAACTCTTCTATTTATAAACTTTTTTTTCCTTTCCTTTCTAAGAGTATTACTTGTTTTATCTACCATAATATTAAATTCAATTTCTTTTGCGTGGTGTTCAACTTTACTACTACAAAAACTGCTACAAGTCACACAAGAATTGATAGTTGGGGTGGTAGAGGAGGAAGCAAAGGCAGAGTTATGACAAGCACAAGAGCAGTCATCATCCTTTTCAAGGGAGCCCTGCGATCCTTTTAAACCGTTGCAGTTGCCAAAATTTAGTTTTTTGCCATCTACCGTCTCCGTGGCCCTGCCATACCATAAAGCAAAGTCATCACAGCTTGTATTCCTGGTCAAAAGATTATTGGAGAAGAAGTGAACTTTTTTAGCACTAGATTTTCCGCTAAGGTTTAAATAAACAAAAAGTTTTTAGATAATAATACAGCTAGCTTAACAAAAAAAAACGGTATATATTAAAATTTTTTGATTGAAAAGTATACAAAGCAGATGGACCATACCGCTCTAAAAGAAATTTTTTTTGGTTAAGTAGTATTCCTCTGGGTGAATTTTCTTGGGACCGGACTATTCTGGAGAATGTAATTTTCGGGTTTTGTTCCTTTTCGGAAGCACCGTTGTTATTTGCTTTATCCTGAAAACATACTTCTTGTGATAACTCAATATCTGGTACAGGTTGATAGTTAAAAACAAGTTTAGAATTAAAGTCTTTTACGTTTTCTAATAAGTCGGGATGAGACAAGCCTAGTTTGTCCCTTGACATAGTACAAATTATTGCAATTAAAAGTTTTCAATGCTTTTTAAAAAAAGCGAAACTTGCATGACCACCATAAGTCACTGCGGTTAACAGTCAAGAACACAACTAGGTACACTAGAAGCTAACACCAAAGTTCACCGCTTTAAGAAACATTGAATAAGTAAATAAGTCAATTGTTAACGTAAATTTTCGCACAATACCTTGCAAAATGTGGTATCTAGTACATTCGTCAAGGCCCTATCAGATCGCCCTAAAGTTTTACACTATGCTAGTAGGAAACCTTATTCAGGACACAATTTAGCGCATTGCAATGATCATATTGTAGGCCCTCATTATATAAAGACGGTCAAAGTAAAAATGAAGGGCTTGTACTTACGTTGATATTTTTTGCTTGATAAATTGTTTAACTTTATATGACAACTTTCCATCCACCATTTTAGTTCAACACTTTCTTAATAATCAGAAAATTAGTATTGCCTTAACAAATGAGACCCATCTAAAACCAGTATGTTTACTTAATTTTCTCATTTACTTGTTTTACCGGCATAACAGGCTCTACTCGAAATAATTGGAAGTAGTCATTTACTACTAAAAAGCCGTGAGCTCACTCATATATATCGATTGAAGCACTGGCTATCTAGGTCAATCTTTATAGCCAAGAGGAGATGGTGATTGTTTCTTCGTATAAGATCCCCCCCTCTCCCCCTCCCCCCAGAACTGTTTTTATTTTCTAAAGAAATGAACATTATTTTGGACCATCGTGAAACTGGAATTCTTTGCGATGATGTAAACTTCAAAGAACCTTCTAAAAATAGTAAAATTGGGAAATCCTATAGGACTGGATCTCTACAACTACGCTGAAAAAAAGAGGATTACTTGTTTCCGCTCCTGTAGAACGACAGACTTGCCTCCAAAAGGGGCCTCAGATGTACTTGACATTACCTTTACAAAAAACATGGGGATTGCCTTGAACTTAGTAACGGTATTGGATTCCCTCCTCAGACAGCTCTCCCGTGCTCTACAAATTTGGCTTTCACCACAATTATTACGAAGGTATAAGGACTGAAGAAAATTAAAAAAGTGATTTGAAAAGCAAGTCTATTTACTTTGGCTCCATCAGTTACCCTTAAGGACTTGGTAGCCCGCTATGAGACTACAGTTCTTCAAGCACATAAATGGTCTTTGTTACAGTAACGGTCTCTTAGCGTAAAGCACGCTTACCTCAGGGAATTAGGTATCATTTCAACTTAAAAAGGCGAAAAAAAAGTAGTTACGTAACCTCCAGAAACCCCGGAGATAAACGATTCTTAACAAACTAGACAAAAAAATTAAAAAATGCTTTAGTTGCTTAAAGAAATTGAGAATCGAAATTCCCCGAGCTTTAAAATTTGGGAAACCCTACATCCTACAGGCGATTATGTCAAATACATATGAAATCTCAGGAAAAGCCTTCGCCCCTTATAACAGCAACCGATGACACCTATGATGATATAGTTAAGGATAATGTTTTCGGGCAATGTTTATTTAGTTACTGCCTGCTCTTTAAAAAGTAGCCCCTGCAACCGAAAATATCCTCGGAATAAAAACTTGCGAATATACCGATACGAAAGATTTCAAATCAATTATAAACCTTCTGCATACTAAAAAAGCATTAGGTTCTGACGGTGTAACCAAAGACATGCTTAAAAACTTTCCCGAGACAAAAAAAGAGCTTAGTTTCACTTATTTTTATTCTTTTGCGTTCTGTTCACTGTCTGAACGAAGGAAAAACGACAGCAGTCGTGTGCATTCCTAAATTAAAACTTCCTTTTCAAATTAGAAAGACAACCGACCTATAAACCCTTTGTCACGTATTGGCAAATAGCTAAAGCTGTAATGCTTAAGACAATTGCGAAAGTTTGTGGGGGATACCCGTTGCATACCAAAATATTAGTTTTAATTCCGGAGTCACTCTACTACGCAGCAGGTTTTGCGTTTTTCAGACACTATGAAACAGTTTAATAACAATAAGAGGACGTGCAAAGAAGCCTCACCAAGGTATGGCTCGCTGGGCTTCTATGATACTATTTATCCTAAAAATACCAGGGTTATCTTCTTTCACTTCTTTAATCTTTCCTGCATCAATGGACTTTTTACGTCAGAGTGAGAAAAGCTAGCTCATTTTTTAAAAACTAGCTAATGTGACTCCAACAAGCCTTGCTGCCAATCTTTCAACTCATTTGCTCTATACTTGTTGGACAAACCCAGGCCTGAGAGCACCTCCACTTTTTTGTCACAGTTTGCGGATGATATGCCTGTCTATGTCTGCTTCAAATCTTCTTTTCTAGCTTTAAAATAAGTGCAAACGCAAGTTTTTAAACTTGAGGTATAGTTTAATCCGTAGAGGATTACAGTTAACCCTTTTAGGAGCAAAGCTATATTTGTATCAAAGAGGAGAACAAGAACATCTATTATAACGCTTAGCAGCCAAGCAGTCCCTAGGCACACGAAAGTAAAGTACTTGAATGTTTGATCTATAGGCATATTTTGTGGCTCCATCATGTTAACTACCTCATCTTTAAAGCAAAGTTAGCATTTGAAAAACTTTATTTCCTCTTGTGTTAAAAAAATTCATTCTCAGTAAGTACAAAATTAAGCTTTTTTGCAAATTTTCGGCCGACTTTGACTTAAGCATCCGTGGCGTGGTCGTTTGGCACTAAGCATTAAGTGACTTCAAGCAATTTAGATCGACTGTGGCGGATATTTAAAGGCGTTCCATCGTTAGTCCGAAGAACTCACTTGCATGGTAAGTTGAAGATGGAAAACGCTTCCTAAATATTTTCGTCGCATTATTGTGAAGAGCTATGATAAGTAGTTATATCATCTCAATGTTTTGTTTGTTCAAAACGTCACCTAGGACCCAATTGCTTACATTCTTTACAGGAGACCTGACACCTTCCCCCCGCCCTAACGGCCCTCTACGAAGTAGAGGACCTTTTGTCTAAATTATAAAACAATTTAAGCAGCAGCACTTTAGACCCATTCCGAAGTTAGGCCTGACTGTAGTATGTCAACTTTATAATAGAGTAATTTAATAAAGGCAAAACAACTGTAAAAAAGGGCCACCATAACCATTAGCTTTATCGCTACAACCAACACTGCGGACAGTCTCACCGTTAAAGATTCAAAACATAATCCCTCTTATTATCAACAACTTAATAATTATATGCCTTTCTTACCTGTGGAAAAAATAATTCTTAACATCTTAACAAACACAGTATTAAACATTTTATCAGCGATCATTATGAGCATTATAATAATAAAAAAATTCTACACCATCTTTAATAGCTAAGAACTTTGTCTTTATTTATTTATTGATTGTTGAGAGTTCCTGGAACTTGGTCGAGTCAAGAAACCTCGAACACACAAGCTCTCCACAAGAAGTGATCACAGACATAACACAAAATAGCTTTCCGTCGTCGATCAGCTATCATTTTCTTGTCGTTGGCAAACATATATTAGGGTTTACGCGCGGCACGAGGACGGTAACAACGCGCCCCGTTCCATGGCCCGTAAATAAGACTGCTCATCAGTAGGCAATAAGTGTGCCTGGCTAGCCTATTATGAGTGCCATTGAGTTGTAAGACAACATCTAAAGGGCCCGGCTGAAGAGTCTTGGCAAAGAGCTTCATATCGCATAAACCATGGCGCTGCAATTTTATCTGTGGCACCTGAAGTGTCGACGCTATTGCAGTAAAACTCGGAGGTCCAGAAGCAGACGCGTATGAAATTATTGGTTGGATGTAAGAAAAATACAATTGCTTTTTGTTACGCAGAGAAAGCTTGCTCTTACCGCGTATTAAAAGGTAAGCGCCTTCGTTGCTGCCTTGACCTTCGCCACTGTCAAAGATGACCCCCAAGTATTTCGCTTGAGGAACCACGGAATCATCAAGCCATCAAGGGTTAAGAGCGCCAACAAAGGGGCGTTTCTCTCTGTAGTTACAAGCGCTTTGCTCTTCATCACATTTATAGCATCTTTCTACTCACGGCACTAGTCAGCTAGGACGTCCAGATAGCGCTGTAGATGCTTGCAAGCGAGGCGGGAGATTTTGACTATGAGTGAACGATCGTATATCGGCGTAGAGGGCGATTCGTGAGTGTGGATTAGGCTGCAAGGACACATCCCTCGTAAGCGATCCAGAGGGACCTCTGCTCTCAGAGATCGCAGTGGAGGCTGTGTGCCTCCCACGCGGAAGTTGAAGACGCGGTCATTTAGATATGTCTTCAGTACGTTGTAAAGACCGTAAGGAACGGATAACGAACGCAGTTTGTGTAGCGGACCTTCTTGCCAAACTTGATCAATTTCAAATGCCTTTCAACGTCAAGGAAGACAGCGCCTGTTGCCTTTTTAAAGATAAAAGCGCGAGTGGTCTATTTAGATAAGCGGAGAGGCTGCCGTGCCGTTAAGTGCTCTAGCCGAACACCGAATTGAAACTCCAACAAGGCGTCTCGAGCGTCAACGACCTCTTTAAAACGGCGCAGTAAAACGGTCTTATCAACTTTGCCGACTGCTGACAGGAGACCGATGGAATGGTACTTGCTAGTTGCTGATTCCGCTTCAAGTGTCTTTGGGAGCATCACGACGGTCGCCATCTTCCATCAGATCGAAAAGGTGTCAAGGACCACCACAGGTCTTACTAAGAGGTACAGATAATGCATTCCTTTTATCGGCAATTTTTCAGCATCTCGTTGATGCCATCGGGAGGGGTAAGCTTACTTGAGGTAGCGCATCATTGGCAGTTTGGGGAGCAGCTGGAACATTTTGGGTAGCAAGGAGATTAGCAAAAAATGTAGCTTTGTCATCACTCTTGGTCACTATAATTCTTTCAAGAAGAGGCGGTAGTGGTGCAAGTGCCCGATTTTTGATCTTTTTAATATATTTCCAAAAGGAGGAGGAGCGGTTGCTGTTGCCTGGTTTAGATATATAGTGCATCTTGGTCTCAAATTTATTATTCAAATGGGCCATTAGCTTCTTTTTTGTGCACCTATGCAGTTGATTAAGCGCAAGTTTGTCTTCGGTGCTCTGCGGCAACACGGCCACATGGATAAGACGTCGACGTTGGCGGACAAGTGCCTTTAGTTCGTCAGGTAGGCGGTCGGAGCGGTACTTTACTTCACGATTTGTCTTGTCAGTAGTGCGATCCATGTTCAGTGCTCTTTCGAATAAGGCGACAGCATCATCCAGCAGGGCGGGTGTAAACGGTAGTGAAGGACACACCGGGAGAATAGTTTCTAAAAACTTTTTATATTTGCCCCAGTTGGTAAAAAAGCGGGTGATAGCCGTCGGTGTGCCTTTCTCGTCGCCTAATGGGAGAATAACTGGAAGGTAATCGGAGGATTGCTGGTGGAACGCTTCAATTGCCTGTGAGGCGTATATCTTTTAGTATGGCGATATCCAGCACGTCCATTGTGCCTGTAGTCGCCAACGTGTTGGTGGCTAGGGCCCTAGTATGCGCAGTCCGTGCTCATCAGCATAGGCCTCAAGGATGTGGCCATCCGAATTATCGCTCGGCTGTTCTATAAAGGGTGCTTGCAGTTGAATTCCCCGCACAAAACAGTATAGGAGTCACTCTCAAATTAGCGAAAACTTTATTAATAAAATTTTCTATAACCCATAAGATCTTTTATTGATAAAAGGGAAAGATCGAGTATCTTTAAGATGCTTTGTTTTAATTTTTTCGGAGATTATCATGACTTTCTTACAACTTTTTAACTATGAAGATACTCTTAAAGGAACCTCAAAAGGAAGATGGAAGTGCCACTCTTTATCAAGCTGAAAGATGAGCTGTATGATGAATGCCTACAAGAGTGGAAAAAGTTGAATAAGGGACTTTTAACATTTCTTTCAGCTAAAGAAACTTTCTAGGGATATTTAGTGTCCCGAATAGCTCCTAAAGCTTTTCAGTCACTACACCAGAGCTGATAGGGAAGACACTTTCAAAAGCGGTGTCCACCTACCAGAGAGAAGTGGACAAGAAAATCCAACTTATCCATGAGAAATGCTATCAAAAGTTGAACACAGTTCTCCTGCAATTCGAAAGCGATAATTCAGCTCTTCTCCAAAAGAGAAGTGATGTAGTCTTAGGTTTAGGACAGGATCACTATGGTCCTCGCAGAAAATTTCCCCCCAAACATCAAGAATCGGCTCTACTGCGGACTACAAAATAGTTTGCAGCTATTTAAAAATCAGACACAAAATCTCGCTTTGAATCACTCACTTAGCGAAATTAGGAGAAGAATAAGAACTAGCAAAATTAATGAGTATGATTCAGATGACCAAAGAATTAGATAACCCTCAAACATTAGTGCATGAGGGATAAAATTCGTCGTTAAAATTGGTAACAATGCCATAATGTTGGCTGTGGTCGTAGCTGCTGCTGATCAGATTTCGCAGTAGAAGCGTTGCCAAAAGCTTTAGAAACTAACGGGATAGTGGGCGAATCTTTATGTGGCTTTGTCTTCAAACGGGGCGTGTAAGAGACCCCCAGAGTAACGAGTATTCCTCGGAGTTAGCACCGAAGAAGGACTTAGCGGGTTGACTGGCTGCCTCCCACGGGATAGTATTTACAGCCTTCATAACTAGCGGTAAGCGCTTCATTCGGCAATTTGCGCAAGTAGCAGTACTATCTCGTTCTATGCCATGGGCTATCAAGTGGCTCTCGCAAAATTTAGTGCATCGGGGGTTGCAGTGCAAAAGGTTGCGGAGGCCCAAAGATCTGACAACGATGGCACTGACCAACTCGGGTACACTTCCGGTTCCTCCACTCGAATTTGATTAGAGATAGTTTTCAGTTCTAATACCTTTGTCTCCCAATTATGGGAATATGTACTAAAATTAGTAGGGCAAACGCTTGGAATGGTTCCTTTGTGCTCGGTAGCGAGAAACTTGTAGCTATAAGATTGGCTTTGGTTGTATTCAAATTTTGGGCTAATTAACTTGAATGCTGAATCTTCGCGATGAGTACTAGCAATGATTAGCTTCTGTTGCATTCAAATTATCCAGGCTAATTAACTTGGCTACTAACTTCTTACGCGTTGTATACTTGCATTACCTGTAGAAGTCGTTGCGAATTAAGATATTGAAAACTCCGTTATATGGAATGGTAATCTCCTAACTTCTCGTTGCTCGCACATGTACTAGCGCTTTGTATCAATTTTTAGATTCTACAATCCTACCTTCTTAAACGCTTGTCTTGCGCAAGCAACCATTCTAGCGCAACCGCTTAGCTCGAAAGGATGGAACGCCCTGAACGCGCAAATCCTACTCAACGGTTGAAAGATCGAGTCCACAGTAAATCCCACGGAGGACCAATTTCAAAGGCTTTTCCTCAGGTAGTTGATAAGTAAAGAATTGAAAACTCTTAACTCGCAAGAACGCTGTTATAGAGCGGTAAGCGTTGGCTGTCATAGGAAATATCTTAATCCTAAGGCGGATATCTCTGGATAGTGTAATATTCACGCCGTTGATTTGCAAAAGTTGGATTAGCAAGACCACTTTGTTTTCACAGAGTAAAGGGAGGAATCTTTTAAGAGATTTCCGTTTCATTGAATCGTTCATCTTTCTTAAGGGCAGTGCCAATACTCATCTCAATGACTACGCGGCGCTGTAAAGCTTTTACGGGCTTTTCCAGATCTCCTTAGATTTCGCTACTCTCGCTACTCTTATTTAAGCTGTTATAAGTTGTAATACTTCCCATGTTATTACTAAAATTTTTACCACTACTTGAATTATTAATACTAACAGGGTGGTTGCTCTCGGGTATACTACAAATAAAAACACTATTATGAGAAGTATTAATATTATTACGACAACTACAACTACTATTGCTACTAAAACCTACTTTACCTTTGACAGTTTCTTTTTTTTTTGATTAACTCTAAGTTCTCGCTTTCTTCTAAGCAAGAGTCTGTGGCTGACCTAGAGTTCGTAAAGCCTAGTAAACATTATTATTAGTCAACAATTTAAAAGGCTTCTTTCATCTCTTCAACTTTAGTTTATCCTGAATAGTTTTTATGCGCTCAGTAAGTTTAGCTTATGTCCACTCTAACTCTCTTCAGTTTTCTTCGTTGACAGCTAATAAGTTCAAGGTTCGCAGCTCTTTTTCAGTAGAGGGGATCATTTTTTAAAACAGATAAAACGTAGATAAAAAAAGAATAAAGAGAAAAGAGATCGTAACGAAATAATAATAACTTAAAAATATATCAAAAAAATAAACAACCTATATAAGTTCTACACCAAAGATAGCGTGCACGACATAGTAGTCACGTGGGCGTGGAATACAACTTAAGCTTGTTAATAAGCATTTTATTGTTTTGATAACGTTGAGGAAGTATATTAAATAATGAACTGATTAAATAAGCTTTATTTTTAGATAATTATATTTCGTTCTTAGCATTTTTTGCATATATATCTTACATTGATTAAACTTTATTTCGTTCTGTACTATATTTGCACGGACATTTTAAGAAAGGTAAAGATTTAAGTTACAGTAGAGAATAGTTAAGTTTTATTGTAATAAACTAATTTATTTATCAAACAAAAAAAATATTATTATTTAACTGAAACTCACGCCCTTTTTTTTGACTAAAGATATTTCTTACCAAATTTAAAATAACCATAAATAATATGTGTAAAATAAATAATTGTATTGTATGATTGCAGTTTACATGGATTCAGTTTATGAAATTGAAAACTATAGCGCCTCTCCTAATTCAGAAGACGAGGTGAAAGTTCCCAATTTTACTAAAGAGAGCAATTCCTCTTATGTACTAACAAGTTAACTCTTATATTTTTTATGTTTGTTATCTACTTTATGCTTCATATTTAAATACTTGTACAATATTTCAAATAAATTTTAAGGAAAAGCTTCTGTCAGAAGCCTTAAAAACAACTTCTTTTGAAGATTTAACAACTTTACAAAATAAAATTGGTTCTAAGAAATTTGAACAAATTCTTCAATCTTTGGTTCCTTCTTTGGAGAAGCCTATTAAGGATTTTAGCCAACGAATAAAAGTTCCGAAATTTAAAAAAAATAAGTAATTAAAGTTTTTACAACCGTTTATTAATGTTTTTTTAACGTTCCTCTATTTTATAACTTTTAGTAAACGTTATAAGTATAAATTATATTTTTTAAATATTTTCTGTAGATTTATAATATTAATAACTTCCGGTTTATACTTAATTAGACCCATCGAGATCTCCTCAAAGAAAAAAGTGTCAAAGCAACGCCTTTTATTACCTTATAACAAATCTGTAACTTAATTTTTTCGATTGACTTTATAATTATATTATTTAAGTTTTTATTAAACTATTAAAAATTTTTATTATATTTTTATCATACTTTGTTTATATTAATCTTAATTTTTATAATAAATTAAGAATTAAAGGTTAACTGCACAACGCCCATAACTTTTAAATACTATTTTTTATTTTATTAATAATAAAGAAATTTCGTTAAAGTAATTGTATAGCAGATTTAAATTAAATTAAATTTGATATTGAATTTATATTTTTTTAAAATTTTTTATATTTACTACCATTTTTAATTGGTAAGAAACCACGTGATCCTCGTTTTGACGAAAATTGCGGCCATCATAATCAAGATTTATGGGAAAAGGCGTATTCTTTTTTAGACGAGTATAAGGCTAAAGAAGAAGAAGGTTTTCTTACTTTATTTTTTGTATTTAAAAGTTTTGAAATTTACTAGAAATCATTTTATTTTATAGTTTGCTTTATTTTATTTAGTAAATAAATTTTCTTATTATTTAATGTGTACAATAATATAGATTGTTTTTATTTTTTAAAAATTAAATTCAGTTGTATAAAAAGTATTAAATTGCGTTAATTAAATTTTTTCCTTTAAATATTATTTGTTAATTTTATGTAAGAATTAATATTATTTCTAAGAAAAAGGATTTAATTTACTATTAATTTATATAATTTAGATTGGAAGATTAGGCAAGTTATTAAAGTTTTATATCAAAGATTGCTTTTGAATAAATTCTTTGTTAATTTTATAGACTTATAATGTATTTTTTAGTTTAATAATTTTCTTTAAAAAATATTATAGTTATTTTTTTTTAGTTTTGTTAAATTTTATATAATATTGAAAAAAAAGATAATTTTTTGTAGATTAAATTTAATTGATTATTTTTGTTTAGTAATTTTTTTGTAACATGTAATAATTTTGTTTAGCAAATTACTAATTATTCATGAAAATTTAGAAATTAAAAAGATTTAATTTATTTTTACGTGGAAAAAAAGATTTGTATACTTTTTTATATTTTTAATTTTTTTATAAAAGGGTGTTTGACTTTACTACTTATTTTTTTTTAAAATTGTATTTAAATTATAAATTTTATACTCAAAATTAGAATTCAGTAATTAATTTTATTAAAAATTTTGACGCTGAAAAAAAAAAAGAAAAATTTGTATACTTTTGTAGACTTGTCATTAATTTTCTTCGTTGAGGGATTTTTAATTATTTATAATATTTAAATTATTATTTTAATTTTTTTTTGTAGTCGAAATTAGAATTGTTTAATAATTGATATTTTATAATTTTTTAATTTTGAAAAAGAGAAATTAGTATCTTTTCTAATTTTTCAAAGTTTATAGAAGAACGCGTTCAAGTTAAGTTTCTTTTTTATTATAAATTTAATGTATACATTTTATTTATTTTTTGGTTTTGTGATTATTATTAGTATCAGAAATTATTTAATTTAATATATCTAAATTGTAAATTTTATACCCGAGTTTCAATTTTACTATCAATCTTTTTAATTTTTTTCACAAAAGAAAATATGTATGCCTTTTTTATCTTTATAAAAGAGTGCGTTTAACTAATTTACTTATTTTGTTATAAATCTTACGTAAACTTTTTATTTACTTGTGTTTGTTTAGTATTTTTGGATTTGCCTATAAAGATTTAGTTAAATTATAGTACTATTGTTGAAGAATTTTATATATTTTTATTAATACTTCAAAAATATATAGTTTTTTTTTACTTTTTGTGAATCACTTTATTTGTTATGTAAAAACTCGATCCATTTTTCGGAACTAAAAATAATTTGTTAAAATTTAGTACAAAACATTGTAATAAATTTAGTTAATTATTAAAGCTTACACAGAGATTTAGAAATAAGCTGATTTACTTTTTATGTTTTTGTTGGCTTTAAAGAAATTTTTTTATTAGCGTTTACTTATTTAATTTGTAAAAGTGTACTTTATTTATTTAATAAAGAAAAGTAATTTAAAAATTTAAATTTTATTAAAAGTTAAACTAAACAAGTTTATTTTTGTGACTATTTGATTTATATTTTTTTATTATAAGCGCTGAAGAAAGAATTGTTGAAAACAAGAAATCTCCACCGGCGAAATGAACTACAGAAAATACTCTCTAAAAAAGTACTTGAGCCGCACATGGCTATTTAACCCTGATTAGTTTAAATCTTGAATGCTTGTTTGCCGTTGGCTATAAATATACTATAACTGCACTTTTTTTTAAATTTTGCGCCTTTATTAAGTATTGATCATGTTTTTAACTTTTTTTTAATTATAATTTTACAATAACTTTTTTGTTTTTTTTTTAACAGCAACAAGAAGCTAGAAATAAGCAAGAAAAACTGCGCAAGCAAACTTTTAGAAGAAATTATCGTAAAACTGAAGCTGAGCGTGTTAGGAAAGGAAAGAAGCCGTTTTACTTGAAAAACTGTACTCGACTTAAAATTTCGTTTTAGAATTTATTAATTAATTATATAAGAAAAATTAAATTAATATAATATATAATTAATATTTATAGAATCTTTTTTTAGAATTTATTATTAAAAATTAAAAAGGTAAGCGAAATTTGCATTTTTCTTTTTTTAAACAAATCCAATTTGTATAAAAAATAAATAATTTGTATATTATTTATAAATATTCAAAGAGAACTTTGTATTAGAAAATATAATTCATTAAAGATGTAATTTATTTCTTAGACAAGATAAATTTGTATAATAGAAATAAAATTTATATTAAAAATTGTTTATAAATTTTGAAAAGAAATTTATAATGCTCTGCAATACTTTATAAATATTTTTTGTAAGGCAAAAAGATTTAAATTTTTAATAAATATATATAATTTTTATGCTTAAGAATTTTAAGAGCGAAGTTACCAATAAGCATTCTTTTTCGTTGTTTACTAATTTTAGTTAACTTTGCTCGAACGTGGCGTGCTTTCTGGAGGAATTTAGATTCAATTTATAATATTTTTGTTGATCTTTTATATTTACATGCTTAACTTCTTTACTTTTTGATTTTTTTACAATAAATCGCTGTTTTGTCAGAAATTTTAAATTTTGTCAATAGTTTTAATTGATGAAACGATCTTTAATTTTATTAAATTGGTTTTAAAAGATTATTGCGCATTCGTTAATTTAGCGTTTTATTAGTATTAATTTTTGCGGCTCATTTTCTTATTAGGGATTTAAGGTTTAATTATATTTTAAATTTTTTTGGGATTACTTTAAGGAAATTCCGTTAGATTTATAAATTTCTTATGAACCCTTCTTTCTTGGTTAACAAAATTGTTGCAGTTTTTACGAATTTCAACTTTTTGGAGATTAAAAAAAACGATATTCTGAATTATTTAAGAGTTTGCAAGGCTCCGTGTTTTTATTTTTTTTTATAATTTTCTAGTTAGATTAAAATACTCAAAACAACTTGTATTTCGCTCTTTAGATTTTTATAAATTTACTTAAATTTTTTTTTATTGTTGTTTAATACCTTAAATGGAGTTTTGCTTTTCCTGCTTAAAGTTTTTTTTTAATATAATTTTTCTTTTTTTGTTACAGAGAATTAATTTACTTATTAAAAAATTGGTAATTTTTTTTTTTAATTTAATGTTATTTTTGCAGCTGAAGAAAAAAAGTTATTACTACTACAAAAATATAATGAGTTAAAAGAAAAAGGAAAACTGGAAGAATATTTATCCAAAAGAAGACAGAAACACGCTTCAAAAGACCGCAAGTTTGTGCCATCGGAAAGAAGATGATCTTGCATTTTTATTAAAAAATTTTTAATCTAAGTTTTATATATTAATTTTTTAAATTTAGTGGTTTTTCATTTATAATAGTTTTTTGTTAAGAGACTTGGTTATTATAAGAAAAGGAAAAGTTTAAAAATTATTAAAAATTTTATTTTATTATATATAAACAATATGGCTTTACGGAATGTAAAAAAAAAAGTAGTGGTAAAGAAAAGTTATAGTTTATTATAATTAATTTATTAAATTGAGAGAGCCTGATTATATTTTTTAGGTTTTTAAAAATTATAACATCCATATATAAAAAGAAGTTTAATTTATATTAAAAGATTTAACAGTCTTCAAAATTTTGTAGTGGTAAAAAAAGGTTTTGTTTTTATGCCTGATTATGAAATATGAGATTCTAAAAAGTTTTCTGAGAAATACGTATTAAGTATTTTAGCAGAATTTGTAAATATGTATTGGTAAAAAGTAGCTAGCTTTCTGTTTATCTATTATAAGATTCTCAAAAGTTTGAAAAAATAAGTAAAGAATTTTATGTTATTATTGTAGATAATATGTTTTCACAGAATTTATAATTTTGTATTACTAAGAAAAGTTGACTTATTAATTTATTTTTTTGGGAGTACCTTATTATCTATTATAAGTTTCTTAAAAAAATTTTATAAAATATGTAAGTGTAATTTTTATTTTTGTTATAATATGTTTTAACAGAGTTTATAAATTGTAATAGTAAAAAAAGTTTTATTTTTTATAATTTATTTATTTTATTGATTTTGCCTGATTCTTTATTATATGATTCCTTAAAGGTTATTAAAAATACGTAATAAACGTAGTAATTTTTATTTTAATTATAAAACAATATGTCTTAACAGACTTTAAATATTTGATAGGTTAAAATCTTATGGTTTTTTAATTTTGTCTATTATAAGAGGTTTTTAATTACGTAGTTGGTGCGCGAGAAGAGAAGAATAAGTCAAAAAATAAAGTTTTGAGAGAAGATGTTAAAATTTATAATTTTTTTGTAGCTCAAATTACAATTGTATTTGGTCTTGTTGAACAGATAAGCAAATATGCACCGGAATGGATGTTTGTAATAAATTTTAATTCATTTTCAATAACAGGAAAAAAAGCGGTATCTATACTTAACCCATTATAAACAACTATTTACAATCCCTTTTTTTTTCGTTCACAGGCCAATTAATATTTTTCTAATTGTTTTTAACAAGTTTTATTTTATCTTTAAAAAAAAATCAATGATTCACATCGCTTTTTCTTTGCTCTTTAAAATCCTTTATTTTGTGGCAACATACTATTTAAGAGTCACATTATTTGAAAACGTGAATACTCTGCGTTAAATAATAATTTTTTACTACAAAAACTGTTGACTTTTGGTATTTTTTAATTAAAAAAAAATTTAAATTAGTTAGCGAGTGGTTCTTAAAAATATAAACTTTTTTGAAGCACTTCCCTTTTTTTCTGCAAAAAACAATATTATACACCATATTGGGCCATGATTTAAAAAAAAATGAATCTGCTTACAAGAAAAATCCAGGACTGGCTAGTAATCTTTGATTCGTTTTTTTTGGGTAATGCAGTTATCTCTCTGTTCTTCGGTTAAATTTTTTACTTAAATTTTTTTTTTACTTTTCTTGTTTAATTTTATGATTTGTAAAATATTATTTTTTTAGTATAATAAAAAACCAGCTCTATACCTCCCACGCGTCTTGTGACCTGCTTTGTTTTAAAACTATTGTTAAATAAATACAAAGGAAAGAGATTTATTTAAACTACTTTAAATTATAAAATAGATAATTATTTCTTTTAGTTCGTCGACCTATTTAACAAATTTACAAACTTACGGACTATTCAGGAATACTTAAGCAGAGCTTTGCTAAAAAGAATGAAAGCTTTACCTTTAATTAAAATATGATAATGAAATTTCACACTGATAAAGTCATACTATATGAAAAACATTGTGTACAAACCTGTTCTTTAAGATAAACAATTTTTTACTATTCTTTGCTAAAGTGCATATTAAAAAAAAAAAATTTGTATATCCCTTTTTCCTTTGCTTTGTGCTTTTTAATGCATAATGATGATAACTCGTAATTAAATTAGAAAAAATGCAGGATTTTTAATTTAGGGTGCTACATATATATATATATTAAAAAAATGTGTTGGACCAAAACAGTCTTGTTTTTTCCGAATTAAATTGTCATCTTTAAAAAAAAATTGCATTAAATTCTAATTTCGCTACACATAATATAATAATAAAAGAGTTAAACTACATTAGTCATTGGTTAGTTTTTAACGAAGTTGCATTAAATTCTAATAAAATATTGCTACGTATCTATATTTTTTAAAATTAATGAGTTAAATCAAAATAGTCGTGTTTTTGATCGAATAATTTATGCTGGTTATAAGAAAAGTTAATTTAATATCAATAAAATATTGCAAGAACTTTTGTTATATAAATATAGTAAAAAGAGAACCTACATTGCCAAAAAGATTTATATATTACCCGATTATAAATTTAGGCAACTTTTTTTTAATAACTTTTCCTAGAAAGTTCGAAATATATTATTTTTTCTAGTGGAGGATTTATAATAACCCACTCAACAATTTTTGTTAAGTTGGTGAGGATTATGCCTTATAATACTTTGTGTGTGTTTTACCATCTTTTACAGTACCGCAAGTCGCAAAGATTTCAGCTAATATTTTTTTAAAATTCAAACCAAATTTTTTAACAAGTTAAATATTTTGATCCATAAAAAAAATAAATAGATGAAGACTGGACCTACGCCATTTTATTATCGCTTAAGCTAACTTTACATTTTATGCTTTACCAATTCGACTACTTTATAAACTTTTAAATAGTTTTTCTCTGCATAACACGTGCAAATTTATAATTATAGTTTAAAAATTTTGTACTTGCTTACAAAATAATTAAACTAATTCAGAAATTAAAAATATTTTTGTTATACAGATCCTACTTATAAAAAAGTAATTATAAGTTTGTAAAGATAGATAAGAAATGATATGAAATGTAGAACTTTATTATTTAATTTCAATATTATCATCATGTAATTTTCCCTATTCATTGCCAGAATTCTGGTAAGAAATAGAGTCATCATAGCCATTAAGATCGCCGTAATCTATAGAATTATTAATTAAAAATTAAAAAAAAAATTAAAGGTTTTATAAGATTTATTTTAGTGCAAAATTGCTAAATAACTAATGAAGATGCAACGAGCCAGCATTGCCAACTCTTAAAATTATGGAAATACCAACTAAAATTCGTGATAGTTTAAAAAAATATATCTACAAATAAAATAAAAAATTTACTTCAGTTTGCTTTCTTTATTAACTAAATGTATCGTAAACCTTTAAAATATTTTCCTTTTTTTAAAAATAAAAATTATTTTAAAAGAGCTTACCATAACCATAAGAAGCTCCTTCTCTCCTATATTCTATGTAGGAGTAGTAACAAGGGATAATCTATTATATTTGTTTAGTAATTATCTTTAAAAAAAATAAATTTAAAAATTAATTTTTAATATTTTAAATTACTTTCCAAAATTAGTTTTAAATGGTGTTAAAAAAGTAGAGATATACCCACGCTAAGAAAAGAAAGAAGGAAAACGCGATGGCAGCCTGTATATTATTGATGGCTCTTATCGAAAGTACTATATCAGTTTTTCTCCATTGATCAGTTGTATAGCAAAAACCAACAAAAAAGATTAATGAAAATATTATGCCTTTTTTATATAATAAATATTTTAAGAAGAAAAATAAATATAAGGATTAAGAATTTAAAGCACAATCAAACAACCTATGACCAGCTCGAATAACAATAGCCTTCTCTTATAAGCTTCTTCGATAAATCCTGTTAAATATGTAACTACAAGATTTCATTAAACGTATACTTATAATATATTATAATTTTAAGATATACCCAAAAGTGCAAGACTGATAATAAAAGAAAAAAATTCCGAAAATGATGCTAATAAAAATACAAATTTAAAGTTATATTTTCTAAAAAATAAAAAAATTAAACAGACCACAAAGTTTACAATGTGAAAAAAAGTTATTATATAACTAACTTATAGTTACAAGCACCACTTTTATTCACAATGCACACACTATTAGCGAAACCTTCATCAGCTACGCAACCAAAAACAATGATGGAAAACAGCTAAACAATTTCAATTAAAAGTTTATAGATTAGATTTGGGCCGAATCTAGAGCGTGAAAATGTAGAAGAAACTCACTATTATGGCAGCGTAGGCAATGAGCCTAGGCGATTCCAAGATTTGGTACCACATACTTAATGGACCAGCTTTGCCTTATCTCTTGTCAAAACTTCCAAAGCAAGAAATAAGTTTACCCTAATGACAAACCACTTATACATGCGTTGCAGTGCATAAAAAAAAAGTTATGTACACTTTATATGAAGTCAGGTTTAATAGGAAATTAATACGAACTTAAAAAAACTGCCGTAAGAACTTGTGTACTTGCACAATTATCTCTTTGAAAGATATCAAGCACTCACATTTAAGTTGAGTGAAAACTGCAATGATTACGCTCTAAAAAACGTTTTTTTTTTAAAATAAAATGTAGGCCTTATTTTCAATTATTAAAAGGTTCATTAACTTGTAAGGATAATTAATAATTTTGTTTAATTTTTAAAGTCAAATTGTAATCTCTACTATGTTCGACTCTGTTAATATATAATTTAAACAAATTGTTATGTTTGTTTCTTACGTTAGCAGTTATAGCGCGTATACGTTCATCTCAGTCCCTAAAAGTATAGTGCGTTCATTATTATTAAAAAATTGTTTCTATTTCAGCTTAGTTTAAACTACTCAAGATTTAAATTTTATAAATAAATAAATTTTATAAATTCTGGCAATTAAAATAGTTTGAATTATTTATTCCATTACGGTAGATTAGTAGTAAAGAATTCGGTGGGCCTGTCAAAATGATAATTACGATATCCACGTAGAGGTACATGATTACTTACATATAAATTAAGAGGAATAAACATTATTCTTTTTCCAAAAATCCTCTAATTATGTTAATAGAAATCTTGCAAGAAATTACAGTAAAAGAAAAAATTTCCGTAGAGTAATAAAACTTAACATAAGTTTCTTAAAAAATTATAAAGTGTTTAGCTAATTTATCGTAAACATTGCCATATTTAGTTTTAATAAACAGATATTGGACTAAATTTGGTTGCTATCGCTCAGAATTTTTAATTTTTTTAAAAAATAAAAGTCAAATTTTTTTTTTTTTTAAAAAAAAAAACCCTGAGAAAAAGAACTACTTATTATATGCTTTACGAACTTATTAAAGTCAAGCAGGATGAAGAATCAACTTGTAACAATTACACACTAAAAGTGAATTACCTACTCTTTTTAAGTCATTAGTTTATAAACAATCTTTAAACATTTGCTACCTTCAGCTAAGCTTTAACATAAAAAAGAGAGAGTAGTTAGAATTCTAATTCATTGCCTTTGCTTGCATACTAGTAGTTAAACTAATTGAACAAGTTTTTACTTCTTTTAGATCAATATTGCTTTAACTTTAAACTTCTTGTGTAATTTGCTTTATCTTATATGATAAAACAGTGTTGCTCATCTGACTGTGTCTTATTAATGTTAAAACTTAATGTCAATATTTTATTACTCTATATATAACTAAGCCACTATCTATTATTAATTTGATCTATGAAACTATATAATTACTATTAACTACAAAAGTTATTAAATACCCATATATTACCTTTATAGAAGATCTGTATATCTTTGTGTTCTAGCCCTACAGATTAGAATCAATAATAATAACTCATAAACTGTAATAAGTGAAACAAAAATTACAAACATACGAACGCGAGACTGAAGCGAGAGCAGATAGCGCTGAACATTCTATATGTACCCATTTGCTTATTTGTTTGATACGATATTTATTAAAAATTTACCGTGTGCTTTAGAAATAGCAAAAACATAAAACAGCTTTTTCGGTGGCAGTTTACTATTATTGGTATTTCTTTGAGTGCTAAGCGTGTTGCGTTTTGTGAGTGATCCTGCAATTTGCACAATTTTATAAAAAATAATTTCTTGCCCTTCTGATTAGCCGTCCCCTACGAGGTTGCTGTTAGTCTCGACCATTTTAGAAGCGAATTATATATATATATATATTTAATTGAAAACCAATTCTAACTACCTTTGGTCGCTAGTGTTTTAATCGTTAAGAAATTATCTAACTAAAACCAATGTTATTATTTATTAATTGAATCCCCTTTCTAAAATATCAGCTATAATCAAACCTTCTAGAATCGTTTTATTGTGCTAATTACCGTTTTTCCTATGGTTTATTATAAAAGTTCGTATTAAATGATAAGCAACTAAATAATGGTTTATAATATTTAGCTTGTACTACTATAGGTTCATTTTGCTCTAAAACAAAAGATATTAATTTTTCACGTGCTTCACTAGCACCGGATTTATAGATATCCTTAGATATATTCACTTTTTCATTGGGTATTTTGCAACGTACGTCACTTCACAAAGTGACTTAGTTAAAATAATGAGTTGATTTGGATACCTATCCCTCTAGCAGAGGTTTCTTTTAAGTTTTGTAAACTTGCCCTTCAAGTATTAAACATTTATTGGATGTAAATATATAAATTTTGTCAAAATGTAGTATATATTTTTAATGGAATGGCTACTTCATTTTTATATTTAAATAGTTATCTTTGTCGTACCTAGCTGTATTAATTGGTTACGCGCAGGTACTTCTTGTATTTTAAGTGGGTTTGTCATAAAGGAACTACATTAATTTATAGGCGAACTTTTATCTCCCTTAACTTATATTTCCTTTCTCGAAATCCACTCCTGTTTCACGGAAATTTTGCTAGTAATTGAAACTCAATATGGCATAGAAGCCTCCATTAAACTATATGATACTAATTATTGTTTAATTAGAGAACAATGTAAGCGTGCCTAATGATATAAGAAACAAGATTATTAAAAAGGGCCTGATATTTATTTATCCTTAAGTATTCTCTTTACCGCCCGAAGTTGGGAGTCGAATAAATAATGGTTCTTTTTTAATACTTCCTATGTAAATATATATATATGTTTCTTAGAAAAAATACTAACTTTTTCCTAACCAACTCAAAAAAATTGAACAAACCTGTAATCCTAATACGTCTTTACGGAAGTACGCACCTTGTCTAGCATTTGCTTGTACTGTTACTGTGTGGCAACGTTTTAACTGTCGCATAAGTCTTGTAGCCCTGGCAGTAGTGCTTGCTTTTTAAAAAAAATGTTTGTTCTCTTATAGCAAAATGAGTGACTATAAAACTCCAGCATTAAAAGTATATAAGAAACTTTTAAGTATGAAAAAATGTTTAGAGTGCTCTATATGGTATTGGTTTTAACTATTAATTTTTAATCTGTTCAAAATAATTAATGGGCAGTTTTATGAAATATTACCATAGTTTGTCTCTATTTAACGATCCTTTCTGCACTCCCTGTAATCACTCTTTTTGCAGGTAGAGAAATTAAAGCCTTTATAAATTTATTAATTTATTTCAATTTGACACGAAGCCAAGCTAACAGTACCTTACCACCTTATTAGAGTTTGTGTCATTAAGCATTTAAAAGTTAAAAATCGTTGTCCTTTGTGCAATCAAAATCTTTCTAAAAGATCTTTAACCGAAAACGAATCTTTAATAAGAATTGTTCGGTTATTCCTTAGGTTGCACGAGGCCTTTCTAAAAGACGTAAGTCACTTAGGTATTAAATTTATTATTTTTATTTAAAAACTCTTAAAACTATAGTTTTATCTTATATATTAAACAGAGCTGCATTTAGATTCTGACGATGAAGAGTCTTGGGAAATTAATGATATCTTTTTACTTTCTCAAGATCCTGGTCGCAATAGAGCTGAACAAAAAAAACTTATAAGTAGCTTTTTTACTTTTTATGTTGTTTATTTGTTGTAAGCAAAATCTTTAGAAAACAGTTTGCATTCTGCGGATAAAGAAAAGAACAGAATTGAGCGGCAACTGCCTGAAAGCGTACATAAAGATGAGAGTTTAAAAGAAGTAGAGCCTGTCTATGTTCTTAACGAATCAACGAAAGAACGCGAGCTAAAAGGCTCTCCCCTTAATAATTTTACTTCTTTAGAAATATTTAATTTAAAAGAAAGTGGGATTCTTCTTGAAAACAGTAGCGTGCTTCCAATCCACACCAGCAGCACACAATTAGTTAAAGAAAATTCTGATGAGGAAATTTTTCCGCTAATTTCGTGCAGTAACAATAAACAAGATTTAAAAAGTGAAGACCATTCTCTCCTTTTTTCTATTCCTCTTGAAGAATCCTCCACTTTAAAAGTTGAAGATGACGAAAGTTGGAATTATAATTTATATAAATTATACTTTATAATAAACTATAAAATATTAACCAGAGTTAAGGAATTTACAATAACTAAAAACGTAGATTTATTTTCTTATAACTTACTGGGAAAAAAAATTACTTCATACATCTTTAAATATATGTAAATTATTCATTTAAAATTTTATTCTTTTATTTTCACTCCTTATGTTAAATTTTTGTAATTAAGCCGTTTTGTGTTTTTTTATTTTTTATAACTTTATGTAAACGGTGAACAGTTTGTTATTGAACTTTTCTTTTACTAGCTTTTCTCCCGGCAAAGCATAAAGCTACTATAGAAACAGACTCGGTTCATAATTATCTGTCTATAATATAAATTAATATAAATTATCTTTTGAAGTAGGAGATAAAAAAGGAAAAAATTATTGAAAAGCATACTCTAGACAACGATGACTCCAATATAAAAAAATTTCATAGTAATAGTGATAATAATAATAGTAATAGTGTTGGTAATAATAATAAAACGCAATATGTTTTAGTTTATGACGAAAATTTAAACACGCAGAAGTACACAATCGAAGGTTGCTGTAGTTATAATACAAATAATAAAATAATAATAATAATTTTTTCTAGAGTGGCACTTACTGCAAAAAGAAAGGGAGGACTGGACTACCGAAAGGTCTTCTGATTGCTCACCTATTCTCCTCTCTCCACGGGACGAGTCCACTTTAGTTGAGGAAAATGATTTTTCCTGTCCAATGGATGATGCTGTACTTAACCAGCTATCCAATGAAATGAAGTTATCTTTGCTGAACACTCTTGCTGAAGATACTTGTAAAAGTTATTCCTATAATATTATAATTATTATTATTAAACATTGTACTTAGGCGATACTTTTGCAATCCGAGCGAGCACACAACGGGGAGTTTTTTTGGGCTCATATTTGAACAGCGCCAACCGAGAACGGTTTTTATTTAGTAAAAGAAATATATTTTTATAACGCTAATTTTTTTTCAGTCTGCGAGTTGTAGTGAAAATTTTGGGAGGAAAAATTGTTAATCAGTACGAAGAGCAAGTCACTCACATTATTACTACAACTGGTAGCAAAGTTGAGTTAATGACAATAATAATATTTTTCAAGATTAAGGAAAATTTAAAGTTCTATAAATTAATTTTATTATCATAATTATAAAAATTTTTAGATAAAGCTTTTTAGCATTAATAGTAAAATTTAAAGTAAAGCAAGGTGGAATGTTTATTTATTATTACTATTATTACTTTTTAGACGAAAACAACTATTGTAGAAGAACTCTTAAGTATATACTTGGCCTTTCTCACGGCTGCTGGATATTGAGTGCAGCGTGTACATATATTTATTACTTTTTAAATATTTAACTTCCATATAAACATATAAGTAATAAGTAATTATTATTATACTATCATTATATTTAAATTATTTCAATACAACTTTTTTAACTTTACGTATATATTATTAATAATTATTCTTTCAAACTTATATATTTTTTTTTAAACGTATTTTACTAGTTGATAACTCTGTATTACTTGTTATATTCAACTTTATAAACTTAATTATCATAATATTCGAGCTCGTTTTTCACTAATATTGCTAACTTATCTATATGCTTTTATTTGTAAGAATATTTTATAATAACAGCTTACCTTCCTTCTTGGTCTTTATATCTATCAATGATTGGCTGGTGTCTCATGCTTTTTTACTTATCCAATGGAATTTCAAAAAGCGCGACAGGCGCAGCTTTTTTTTGTGTCTATTAATTTTGTGATTAACAAAAAATTACCTTTTGTGCTATATATGAAAGTTTGGTAGATCTGTTTTTAAATATGGGCTTGGCGATTAGCAATTAAAAACTGTACAAGTTTCGTTGAAGTTAAGAACAAAGAAATAATTTAGTGAACAAAATTTTAGTCTTTTTTATTCAGTAACTTTGTAACTTTTGATAGTGTTCTTAATTTATTAAAACTAATACGAAGACTTTTAAAAAAAAATTTATATTATAAATTTATTCAAAATTTTAAATAATGTAATTTACACTTGACGGATTTAAATATAACAGTAGAAGTGCAAAAGTGTTACGAAAATAATAAATTTTGGCTACCCTTTTTTTTATTTCCCTATTTTAATTTAAAAGAAATTTATTTAGTAGTGAATTTAAAAAGGAGTAGACTCTTTCAAAAGTGTTATAAAAAACAGTAAACCGCTTTGCTGGGTAGTTTCAATTTAATGCGAAAAAAAATTCACTAAAACTTTAGAAAACCTTAATTCCAATTCTTTATTAACCAGTAAAGTGGAGTAAAAGTGTTACGTTAAAACGTCAAACTACGAAAACTATTATCCTTCAAAAGTTAGCGTACTTATAATCTCAGACAAATCCCATCCCCCAAAAATTACGTTAAGATATAGTAACTCTTAATAAAATGCAAGACTTTTACTTTTATTTTATATATATATTCACGGAGTATGACCTTCTATTTGTGTGGGTATTCCTTTTTTATTTAATTATGAAAAGCACACTTTGTTATATGCTTGAAGCGATATTGCATACTTTAAAAGTAATTAAGTATGGCTAAGCAGTGTTTAGATAATTATTCATTTCATGTTAAATAGGCTTTTAGAGATTATTTTGATTATTATTTAGATCTTGTACACAAAAGTATCTCGATTTGTATATATCAAGAAGTTTTAAAATAAATCATTTACACCAGATATGATAAATAAGCACCTAAATAAAAAAGTAGCTAATACTGCATAATTAAAAATATGTAACTTGCTCTCTTTCTATGGAACGCCTTCTAGCGAAATCAAGACTCTTGGTTTTGTTAGTAGCAAAAATTTAATAAATTTGGATATTATATATAGCAAGCGAATAGCGCAATCGGCTCTAATTTAAAAATATTGTAACATATAATCTCCAAAATTACTTTATTTTTTATTAATTTTATATAAAATTTACTTAATTTAGTTTTACGAAATTGTATTAAAGAAAAGCGCTACGTTAATGAAGAAGACTTTGAAGTTTCCTGCTGCCAAGTGGTAGGCGGAAAACTTAAACCGCCTTATAGTATTCCTCGTTATAGTCGAGAGAATTATAATAAGAAGGTGGATTTACAATTTAAATTATTTTCTTATGTTAATTTCAATATTTAGTGTATAATAAAAGTGTTGTTTTTTAAAAGTTGTACTGCTATTGTTATAATCTTTGTAATTATTTTTTTAATGCATTGACTTTCAAAATTTTAGTTCATTGCAATGGTGTATGCATTTAAATATTTTTTTGTTCGTTTTAATATAGTTTGTTAGTTTATTAAGTTAATTTGAACACAGAAGTGTAATCATTATTAACTCAAAATTCTTATTCCCCCATGGTAACGTTTTTTTGAGCATAGAGAACATAAGTTACTTCAATTAAAAAAGATGCTTATAAATTTTCTGTTAACTACGAGAAATTTATTTAGGTCGATCGAAATCATCGCTTACGAACTATTTCTCTAAAGCTGAACAAGATATTTTTAGTGTGTGTGTATAAGTTAGGCTGTTTTATTTTAACTAATTAATTATTGTTTTGTTTTAAATTTTTAGGTCACTCCGATTTTATATTTTTTATAGTTTATTTTAGTTTTTTTTAATTTAAGCATTTTTTATATTAAATTTTAAATTTTTAGATTAATTTCACATGTTAAAGCTATTTACTTTACTTATGGGGACTTTGTGTTTAACTAACTTCGATACACAGTGAGACTTATTAGTATACATAAGTAATTTTTCTATAACAAAATAAAATCGCTAGAAACTTTATATTCCTATTTGGAGGCCGGATGAAATTTTTAATAAACCAATTAGTGTATATTAATAATAATATATTAATCTTTTTAAATCTTTATTAGATTTTAAGTTGTGAATTTTGCTTTAGTTACTTCTAATTTCTATATTTATATATTTAAATAGACAAATCTTTTTTCTCGTTTTACTTTCAAAGTTGATAAAAGGATTACAGTACCTCCTCCATCTTGTATGAAAAAAATTTAAAAAGATTTTTTATAAATTATTAATTTATAAATAATTTAAATTTACTTTTTTTACAAGGCTTATAACTAGTAAAAAGTTATTATCAATTTGGCGATAATCGCAATTAAAATTTTTTATAAATTATAAATTTTTTTTAAAAAAATTTCTTATAAGTTTTGCGTTAATAATATTTACTTTTTTATACTTTTAAAAGATTTAGAAATCATGATTCAAAATCAAGGAGGAATGCTGTATACTGATCAAAATAATCGTACCGAACTTAAAGGAAATTATTACTTTGTAAGTGATGATCTTCCCCGACAAAGACATTGTAGGGTCGTCCCCCCCCGTTGGATTATCGATTGTATTTGCTATCAAAAAATCCGGCCTTTGTCAAAATACTTTCATTAGTATTTTCGGAAAATTTTACTTTGTATAAATCCTAATTTTGTTATTATTTTGTAATTAAATCTGAATAAATCCTTAAAAAGAAGCAACCGTAATAGACTAATTTATAAAACATTTGTTCTATTCAAAAAGTTAGTTGAAGTTTCTAAAGTATATAAAACAAATTATTTTTCACTTTATAATTAATTACATATATCGTTTTTTCTTATTAATTACTCAATAGCTCACAAATTCTTTTTTTAAATTTAATATTAATTGAAAAATTATTAAAAAAGTTATTCCAAAAAGCTGAAAAATATTTTAAAATTATTAAAAATTTTAATATCTACGAAAACTAGTTTTAGTTTATATAATTTTTTTAAAAAAAAATTCATTCCTATAATTAAAAAAAAGATTGGAAATTTCAATTAAAGAAAGTATACTATTAAAATTTATACCAAAAAAAAAATAATTACCAAAAAAATAAAATTAATTTATTTGAGCAGGTACCTTAAATATAAGTACAGCAAATCCCCATAACTCACGGTATCTAATTTTTTGCCCTTAACGTTTAATCGCTAGTGATGCTAGAAAAAAAGTAATTATTACCTATAAAAACACTTGCTTTATACTGGATTCATTATATACCTTAGTCCTTATATAACTTATAACATTGTAGTTTCAACTTAGTTTTTGAATTTGTTTAATTACTTGCCCAAAGCCACTTTATAGGACTTCATTATAAAAATAAGTACTAAACTTAATTTTTAAAAGCAGTGATTTAAGTTAAAATCTGTAACCTCACTTGTACTTGATAAAAAAATCTTTTCTACTTAGTTTCTAAGAAAGTGTACAATACAATAACGCCTTTCTGAAATTATTATAGTTAGTCTTGAAGAACTTTTTAATTCTAAATATTAAAAAATTGTTCACTACTGAGATCCCTGACCAACAGAACTGAGCTCGTTAATTGACAATATATATTCTAGAAGGTCATCGATAAGTTACTAAAAAACACTTCAATTATTTTGTAGTTTAATGCGGTAACCAATAAATTATAAGCTTTAATATTACTTATATGTAGCCCGGCGTGCTGTAAGTCTTTTTTATGTAGCAATCCTTCCTTTGTTCCTATGGAATCGCAGGTAATGAGACAAATTTTCTTACCTTAAATCGAAGTTTCTAAATTAAGAATTACCTCCAGGCGTTACTGAGTAATTAGTTTGTGTGGTTCAACGTCAGTATAAAATTCTAATATACTTTAAAGTTGATATTCGGTACCCATTTTTGACTGTTGCCCTCTATTAATGCCACTACCACATTTTTTATTATCAACTCTAAACTAGTAAAATGTTAATAGTTTTATATTACAACCCGTGTGCTAACATACGACATTCTTAACAAAATTCTGTGGCCAGTAAAGTAAGCACCCTTACAGTTATCACATTGTGGTTTTTTACTTTTTGTTTTTCTAATATGACCTCGTGGCGTAATGGCTTTCAATACATTCAACACCATTTGAAATGAGAAGCAACTTTTAAGCTATTCCCAGATATTGGCAGTTAACTTGTCTTATCTTCCCTCTGTTCTTCATAAGCAACACCGCAGTTCGCTGTAGCCTATGTTTTTAAGGGGACATATTAATTTCGGATGGAGGTCTTTAAAGATACGTTAAGAGTTAAAGGTCCGTGTATGACGTCTGAGAGCGTTAATGCGGTCAAAAAAGTTATTGTTACCCCAGATTCCCACGCAATCTCTATAATGAAAAAAGTTGCCAGCTCTCTCTGTCTATTTTTACTAGATGAAAAGGGGAGAAATCTAGTAAAAGGCGATGGTGAGTTTGACGTTGACTACAATGCTCTTGACGGGGTGGACACCGGTCAAATCGTCTTCCTATAAACTCGAATTAAACCCCCTCTCTGGTTTAAGATTCTCAAGTATCGGCGTGACGATAATAAGGTCAAGAATTCCCCGGAAAAAACTAGCGGTAGTAGGTATTTCTAAAAAATTGAACTCTCAAGCTCTAGCTCAATCTTAGTAAATCTCAAATTCTCAGCTTAATAGACATCGATAATGTTTTCTCTTTTTAAAAAAACTATTTCATACCATGAGCGTCAAGTAAAGCTGTAAGTTTTCTAAACATCGTATCAAATTCCGTAAGCTGCAGCTTTAGTGGAATTAATACAAAAATATATATAGTTTACAACTGTGAGGGTAAAATTTTTGATAAAAAAAAATTCTTTTATAGTCTATGAATAAACTGTTTACCTTTAAGATTACTTTGATCCCTATCCGCGTGAAGGAAAAAATTTATTTTCGGTGGAAAGTCTAGGTTAATTTTTTCTTAAAGAGTTCGTTGCTTCTAAGTTTCGCAGTTAATTTTTGCGTAAACCGATTAAGAATTGCAACTTTTCCGAGGTATAAATAAGCGGGATATATATATAATTTCGTAGAAAAACTGAGCCACACAGGCCACATCCAAAAATGGCAAAAGAATTTGCAGAGCAAAAAGTTCCTTTAACACAATGCGTCCGCGATAATGCTTCGATATCTTAAAAATCTTATAAGTAAAAAAGGGGTTCGCTTCTTATTTGTTTTTTGAAAAGTTGTTCCATTTTCCCATCTTTCTTCAAATAAAAATATAGTGGCTGTGGACGATAAGCTTTTTTAATTATAGCAGTAATTGGCTTAATTACTTTGATCCCGGACTTTAACGAATAAAGGTAAAAAAATATACAGATGGCTATAAAGCATTTTAAAAAACTTTGCTGAAATGAAAATTAAGCAAGATTTTCTTTTTCGAGCTTATGATTGATAAGAAATGCTTTAAATGCTTTAAGATCAACAGACGGGCTAAAATATAATACCAAAAAAATCAGAACCAAGCATTTAAGCGTTACTGAAAAATGACCTCTTTTTTACCAGATTTAGAGAGCAAAAGACGAAGTAATTATTTTTGATAACTGTTAGGATATTTAAACTTTTACTGACTGGTATCTAAACCTTTAATCGCTGGTATTTAAACCTTTAAGCCTTTTAAAATTAATTGTAAACAAAGGTATATATATAATGGAAACTTACAGCCATTATTAAAACAAAAAAAGCACTGAAAAAAAAAATTAACTCGACTGCCGTTTATTTTTCGTGAATCTTCATTATATACTAACAACTAAGCAATGAAACAATCTAAATAATAATCATGAAAATTGCCTAAAAATGGTAATTTGCGTTCAACATGAACTGGGATTTTTCCTCAACATCAACGGCTACTCTTCCCTTGCAATTATTCCCCATAACTTCAATATAATTTCATGCCAAAACACCAATTATTAATGTTTTAAAAAACTTTATAATATAAAATAAGCTGTACCTAATATAACTTTGAACGATAAAATTAATTGCTATAATAAAATCAAGTGAAATTTAGCTTTTTTTAGTTGGTCAATTTTTAATTTACTTAAAGACGCCCAACTGTTATGAATTAAAGCCAAAGGGTTCTAAGATAGTAAAGGGTGTCAGCTACAACGAAAAATTATGGTATTAATAAAAGTGTAATATAGACTATTAAGTATAATTTATTATAATTGAAATGACAATATATTAAACAGAGAATGAATTATCTAATAAAAACAACGAACGCAAGAGGTGTGTAAATTAAAAATAAATTTTTTTTACAAAATAAAAATTTCATATAATTTAAACAGCACAAATTAAAAAAAAAATTATGGAAATTTTTTTTTAATAACTTTAGAATAATTATTTTTAAAATATTCAACTTTATTCGTCATTTGATAATGAAAATGGTATTAAAAAAATTTATATTTACAGAAAAAATTTTTAACGTGAACAGTACAATATAAAAAAAAGTAGTGAATAAATAATTTTTTAATATAATTTTAAATTTTAACCGTCACTAATAAATTTAAAGTGGTAATAAAAAAATTATTTACAGAATAAAAATTTTAGCATAATATAAACAGCACAAAATAAAAAATACTTATGAAACAAAAATTTAATTTTTGATAAACATACTTTAAGTTTTTAAAAAATATTAAATATTATGCGTCACTAATCCATTAAAAATAGTAATAAAAAAATTTAATTTGAACAGCACAATATTAATTAAGATAAGTTTAAGCAAAAAAATTTTATATTAAAAATTTTTTTGTATTAACTAAATTTTATCCGTGATTATTAATTGAGCCCTCCACCGGGCTCAAGTCTTTCAACTAAACGTTGACCCCCACAGTAAGATTAATTAGGTGCTCGAGATAACATGCGCCCAATCGTGCTACCTATGAAGTTAGAGTTTGTTTTCTACGTTAGATGTATTTCCTCCATAGTTTATGCTTACAAAGCAATAATTTAGCTAATTTCGTATGGCTGCGTATATAATATTTTTTATGCTACTGTATGGCCATATGAGGTTTAAGATTTTATGCTTATGATTAATAATATACTTTACAGTAAATTATTTTAATAGCTATGTTTAAGGTATAAATATAGAATGTTAGAATATATGAAATCTTTTTACAAATTATCTTAAAACTAAATTCCACTTGGCTTCGTTGTACTATCTAAATTGTTGTAGAAGTTGGGCTGTATATGATTTTACACTATAAAGGGAAGCAGATTTGTAAAGCGTGCACTTAAAAATTACTCATGCGCTCTCTTAAAGCCGTGATTGGAGTAAGCAATATTTTTTTTTAAAGTTCCCGTTGCAAATATAAACTGCCGGCAATAAAATTCTGCTTTAACATAGCAACTTTTTAATTAAATATATTTGTTTATCTAAGGCCTTAAGTTTATGAAGCTGATATAGTTATTTACTGAAATTTGATTTAGATCGGTAATCATATTAATATATGATATAGTTATTTACTAAGATTTGATTTAGATCGGTAATTATATTAATATAATTGGTCCATGTTTTGCGTGTCCCATCGCAAAACAGAATTTTATCAAAGTACCAAAACCGCAACGTAATTATATATATTTAAAACAAAAATGAATCGAATAACTCTTAAGGGAAGTTGTGAGACAGTGACTAAGTTCTTTTTTATTGCCATTAATAGGTGCAATAGATTCACTTGTAATTATTTATTATAATTTTCCTTCTTTAAAAATCTAGCTTTAGTTGTTATAAACAAATTTTAATCTTTAAACTTACTTTTACTATTTTAATAGCATATTATATCAACGTGGGATATATCCAGGTTGTTAATTTTGTTTTATTTTAAATTTTTACAAGTTTACTTTTATTCTTTAGAAACCGACTTTGTTCAGATTCAAAAATACGGGGTCAAGGTCGTTATTACTAGTAACCCACTTCTTAATGATTATTTAGAAAAATGGATTAAATATTTTGAAGGTGTTAGTTATATTAACTTTGAGAATTCTTTTAACTTGTTACATATTATATGATACTATCACGTAAAAGACTGGATGCAGCATCATAGCGTACAGAAACTAGTAGTTGTTATAATGGATGCCGAAACAAAGGAAGTTAAAGAGAGATGGCAGTTTGATATAGAGTGTGATAAAACAGTTAAAGATGGGTTATATAAAATTTATTTTTTTTTAAATAGAAATTATTATCATAGTTTTTCTTATAGAGATTTTAAAGAAGTTAACTTGAAGGAATTGCACGCTCTTATTGCTGGAATTCTGAGGCAAATAACAGCGAGCGTCTCTTTTTTGCCGCTATTGCAGGCACCATGTATTATTAATATTTTACTTTATAAATAATTTTATAGTAAGTTATACTTTAGGCAATTAAAAATTATATACCACTAAAAAAAATTTACTTTGAAAATAAAATTATATATATAAGAAACTCTTTTATTACTTAGTTAAATTTAAATATTGATTTCTAAAAATATTTGCTTCCATTAAAATAATTAACTTGAATTTTATTGTAAAATTTAAAATTTCTTTATTAAAGTATAAACGTTATTGGAGACTTCTTACTTTTGAAAATATTAGAATGCTAAGAAAAGATTTAGATAACCTTAATTGTTTCTAATTATAAATTTACTTGTTAAATGCCTGGAAACTATCCTAAAATTTATTTTCTAGTAAGTTAAACTTAATTACTCCTAATATTTTATATTATTTAAAATTCGTCGTAAGATTTTTTCATTCATAATATGTTTTGCATAATTTTTATTTTATACAAAATAAAGTATACTATAGATTTAAAAAAATTCCCCTCTAAAAAGGGTACCCTTTGTGGGATAATATATAACATTTAAAAGAGTTACTGCAATCTTTTCCATTTTCCATAGTTAAATTTGGTACAAGCATTCTTTTACAGTTAATTTTTACTTTTAATTTAGATTTTTATTATACCCGATGCGGTTGATTAATTAAAATCGTTTTGTACTGGATTATTTTTTATTTTTTGTGATATAAAATTGTTGAAGCTGTCTTCATTTTTATTTTTGGCCCTACCAATCTTTACTGCGGTTAATTTTAACGTACGCGCTTAACTTTTCCCAATTTTTTATAATAATTCAATTCTATTAAAAATTTAATTTAATTTAAATTTTAAATTATAATCTTAAGGCATTTTTGAACTGCTGGTGTACACTGATAAAGATATGGAAACCCCCGAGGATTGGGGTATCTCCGATCCTTTGCTTATACCAAAAGCAGAGACTGTAAATTTAAGGTTGATTAAAATTATTTAGTAGTAATTAAAACATACTTTCTAGTAATTTTCGCACTTTATGAAATTTTTAAAATAAAAATATAAATTTACTATAAATTTAACTTTAAATAGTAATAAATTTTATGGCATTTTTATCAATTTAGTTTTTTTAATGTTGTGTTATTTATAAATAAATTTATACTTATAGTTGATTGCTGTATATAAAATTTTGTCATGTAGAGTTTTTTTTTAACCTTATCTTTTTTTTTAGTGTAAAATTAATAAGTTATATTAATTATGTTTCCTTTATTCAACAAATGAGCATAGCAGTTCTTGTTGATCATTTACTTGATGGCATATTATTTTTTTAATTTTCTTTAATTTTTAAAATCGTTATAAAGCTAACAAAAAGAAATAAATTAAAAGATTTAGCAAATGGCGTTCATACTTTTTATAAAATAAAATTTTACCCACGATTTTCTTAATCAGTAATACTTTTTATATATAAGATTTAGTTTTTTTAAAAAATTTCTTTTTTAATAATGCAATTTTTTTACAACGCAATATATATTTAATTTTTTAATACGAAATTTAGAGCTTTTAATACAAATATTCATAAAGTTGATCCGAAAGTTTCTTATAAGTATATTGAAAAAAGTTAAATGGAAAACAAATTTGAAAACAGCATCCTTCAAATAAATTATCATAAGATTTTAAATAAATCTACTTCAGTCTTGACTCTAATAAAAACCAACTTTATATAAAAAAGAAAGTTCTTCTATTTTAATTAATATAAAATGGCATCTTTAGATTTATTACATAAAAATATATAGAAATTTTTTCTAAAAATAAATTTGGCAAGAAAAAATATATAATTTTTATATGTTGGCGACTTTAATATAAAAGATCAAATCTCAAAAACCAATCGTAGTTTACGTGCAGTCATGTGCACCGCTATGTGCGCTAACTCGTGCACACTACAGCCAACGCCGATGAAGAGAATTCAACTTTTTAAGTCTACCAATCAGTGTATTTCGTTTTCCAGAAAACTTTCTAATTGGCTCGCTGGAAGGGAGAATAAGAGCAGCCGGTACATGCTTGCTTGCGTAAAGGTCACTTGGTTTCCGCCGGGAGCCGCTCAGCGGAGTTATTAATAAATCAACTTTGATATTACTTTTAATATTTTTGCTATCATTACTATTATTTTTATTATTATTATCGAGTTCTTCAATTTTTTCTAAACCCTTTAAAAGTTGTGCTGCGGCCATTACCTCCGTTAAAAAAGTTTTTAAGTCCTCAACGACACTCGAAAATATTTGCTCCAAGATATGGTTTTTACTCCAACCGTATAACTTTTGAGCCAAATTACAAAATCCGTCTACTATTAGTTTGTTGACTTTTCTCTCTAAAAAAGAATATAACCGAAATAAAATAAAATATACGAAAAAAAAATACAGATTTTTGCTATATATATTAATATAACATTTTAGAAACAAAATAAGCTTTTATAAAAACTTTTACATAAACTTTTTAGTAACATACTATTGTTTAAAGCAAGGAGAATTTTCATAGTAATATTCATAATAATACGGTAACAATAAAACCTTGTACTAGTTTCATTAATTTAAGTGCCGCATAGCAGTTGGTTGCTTCGAAATTTGGATAATAGCAGTCTTTATCCACACCGATGCGTTTTTCAAGCTCAGCTATCGAAAACTGCATCGATATGGCAAAGCTATAATAAAAGTTGTTAGAAAAAAACAAGCTAAATAGTAAAATTAATATCGAACTCGTGAAGAAAATTCCCACCAAAAACAAGCGAGTCTTCTACAGTGTAAACTGCATGGATCCAGCCTATAATATATATAATAAAAAAAATGTATAAATAGAGTTAAGACACATCTGATAGTTGTTTAAAGAAAAAGTTTTAAAACGTTTATTATTTATAAAAATAATAAAAACTATAACAAACACCAGACCTGCAGGAATAAACATGGTTTGTCCTTTGCGCAGCACCGTTCGGTAGCAAGAGTCAACGAGATCAGAAAATAACACGTTGTATTGGTCTATATATCAAGTATTTTCAAATAATGGGTTATTAAATTTTATACCGCGCTCGATTGGCTGAAAGATAAAAGTTTTTAAATATAGAATAGTTGTTTTTATATAGTTGCCAATTGGTCGAACAGTAAAAATTTCTATAGTGTGGTAATTTTTTTTATATTGCAAAGATATCTCCATATACATAAGTCAGGAGGTTTGTTGGTTTTCTATTGGTCAGCGCGATACAAAAACTTACTCAGCTTTATTTATTTGCCTATTGGTCACAAAAAAAAGGCGTAGTTTTATAGCACATAATGCAAAAAAAAGATATTTACATAAGCAGAAACTTTTTTTTTCTTCCTCGTGACTAAAAAAAAAATTATTGGTTCTTATATATAATAATTCATAAAACTCTTCATATAAAATCTTCTTTTTTAATGCTTTAATAAATACTAAAAGCTTTCGCATGTATAAAGAGAGCAACAAATACTTTAATAGTAATACATTCGCAAATTATTTCAAGTATATAAAAAAAGTTTACTAACCAAATAAAGTTTATTATGTTTTTTTCTTTTCAGTTTTCGTTTTATAAGAAACAATAGAAGTACCTTTTTTTTTGGTCCACTTTTCAAAGGCTTTTAGGTTATGTTCAGTCGGCGGAATGAAATAAAATTCCTTATGAATGATAACAATTATAATAATAAGAATAAATTTCCTATCAAAATACTTTTTCTCCGTAAAGAAGATGATACCAAACGGACGTTCCTCCAAAGTCGATATGAAAATCTGTAAAACATTTCTATAGAATATAAAAAGTTTGTTATATAATACACTTTTATATAAAGTAAATATAAAAAACGATAATAATAACTTTAATAAAAAAATTTATAAAAGGATATTAATAATAATAAATGTTTTTACCTTAACGCTCATTAAACAGTACTTTTGAACCTGTAGTGAATATGTAAAGGCTATTATTTACTTATTAAAGTTTTTATTTGTTTATTATAATTATTCAATAATTAAAAGTTTTATTTATTGTTTTATAATAATAATATATTAATTATACTTTAATTAATTACAAAATACTTAAAGTATTATTTATTATGATAATACAATAAAACACTTGAAGCTTTTATTATTTTTAATATATATATATCCGGTTTCCTATCTTTTATCTATGAAACAGAAAATATGAAAATTAGATGTATTATTATTATGATACACATTCAGTTTAACTTTTGTATTATTTAATATTATTATATAAAAAAATACTGAAAACAACTTTTTTATAATTATTATAATATATAATTCACTTCTTGTGGTAGTTAACTCTGATAAATCACGTGCTCATTTCACGTGGCCTGTAAGCCATGTGTTATATTATCACATACCAGTGCCATGTGCAAGCACAAGTGCTTATACCACCTGACCGTGCCAGGTCACGTGTTCCTACGTTCCCTTTACGGGACTATAAATGACTGCTCCTCTCCTTTTTCGACACTTTTACTTTTTTATTAATAATAATAATAAAATATACTTTAGCTCTTGTAATGTGTTACCATAATTATAATATATAACAGATTAACCATTTTATTTGTTATAATAAACATTTATTTTTACTTCAACTTTTCTTTGTCATTATTATAAAAATATTCTTGTCTCCTTTTTTATTTATAATAAAAATACTTCATCTTTTATTAATTATTATAATTATGTAATAAAAGAATTTTTCTATTACTATCATAATAATAAAATATTCGTTAATTAATAAATATATATTTCCATTTAAAAATATAGTAATATGATTATCTTTATTACTGGCATATTATTATTAACTTTTTTAAATGTTTATATAATATTTAAAATCTTTTTTTCCCGTAGTATTTTTAAATATACTGTTATTCACTATTTGCTTACTTTTATGACACATTTATATAATTTTCAAATTGCGTATATAATAATATTTATTTATAATAAATAAACTTCTATATATACATATTTATACAAAAAGGCTAGCCAACTTTATATATATTATCATTTACTATTTACTAATTTTTGTAATTATTTTCATTTTTCATATTATTAACATTTACTAATAAAATTTATATTAATAATATATATAATATACTTTTATATATAAATATTATTACAGAAGGCTTCTCGTTTACTCTGAAGGGCGGCCAAAGTTCGCTCCAGTCCAACGCACGGACTATGCTGGGAGCGACTACTTTTTTATTCAAACGAGTTTTACTGATTTCCAAACTGATAACGTTATAAATCTGTAAACGTAAAAAATATAGAAAAAGTAAAAATATTACAATTAAAAAGTTAATAAAAAGCTAATAATAAATAAAGTAAAGTGGATAAAAAGTAAAAAAAAGTCATATTAATATAAAAAAATATTAAGAGTAAAAATATTATAATAAAAAAGTTATATTAAAAAAATAACAATATTACAAAGTAAACCAAAAATTAAAAGAATAAAAAGTTATATACTTATATAAAACTACAATAATAATATATAATAAAGTTTTTAATTTATAAAAAAATATATAATAGCAAAAAGTATGTAACAATAAATTTATATTATAAGAAAACTAATAATATTATAAAGTAAATAAAAATAATAATAAAAAAGGTTTATATTCTTAAAAAAATAAAAGTTATAAAAGTAAAAAACTATAAAAAGTAAAATTTCAAAATTATTATTAAAAATTAAAAACAAAAAAAAAATTATAAATAATAAATATAAAATAAAAGTAAAAAACTATAAAAAGTAAAATTTCAAAATTATTATTAAAAATTAAAAACAAAAAAAAAAATTATAAATAATAAATATAAAAAAGAGCATATTTTTATAATATTTATATAAAAAAAATAATGTTATGAAATATATGAAAAATAAAATAATATAGCAGAAAAGTTCAAAAAATAAAAATTTATTACTTTTTAAATCTAAATTTCATGTTTTTTCTAAAATAATAAATATAAAAAAAATAAAATATTAAAAAAAGTTATATAATATTATAAGAAAAATAAAATAAAAAAGGTTATTATTAAAAAAATAAAAAATGGAAAAAAAAAGTTTATAATAAATATATTTAAAATTTAAACGCAACTATTTTTAAAGATAATAAACACAAAAAAAATAATATAATCATAAATTATAAACAATAATAAGTTTATTAGTATCAAAATTTAATAAAATTGAAAAAAAGTTTTAAATAAAAATTTATTATTATTTTTATAAATTAAAATCTAAATCTATTTCAAAAAATAATTGATATAAAAAAAATAAATTCTTAAAAAATTTATATAATAATATTACAAAATAAAATATTAATAAAAAAGTTTTTGTAAATAAAAATATATAATAAAATAGAAAAAAAGTTTATAATAAAGAATAAAAGTTAATTTTAAGTATTATATTTATAACTATTTTTATTAATAATAAATACAAATAACAATAAAAATAATATAAATTAAACAAAATTTTATAAATAATATAATATAATAAAATAAAAGAAAAGTTTATAATAATATTAATATTAACTAAAAATTAAATTCAGAACTAAGTTTCAAGATAATAGACAATAAAAATTATATCTTAAAATATAACAAATTAATAAATTTTATTAATAATAAAATATAATAATATAGCAGTATAATAAAAATAAAAAATTATTTAACAATAATAACTTTTATTATAAATACAAAATTATCAGCAATAATAAAATATTAAAAAAAATTAAATCGCATAATATTTATTATAAAAACTTAATAAACTTTCTTTATAAAAATTACTTATATTAAAATATATTGTAAAAAGTATAAAAAATACAAAATATTATTATATTTTTATCTATTTTTATATGTAAAAAGTATAAAAAGTATATATTGATCAATACAAAAGAATAAAAAATATTAATATAAAAATAATATATATAACAATATCATTTTTTGTTATTTAGTATAAAAAAAGTCTACAGTTTCAAAATCTAAATACTTTAAATAAAAAATAAATAATAAAAATGATAGTAATAACATTTTGAAAGTAAAATACAAAACTTATATAATAAGTTTATTGTATAAATATATATTTTTATAATAAAAAATGAATTTTTTTTAATTATAAAAAAATAATTATAATTATTCAGTAATAAAAAAATTAATCAACTTTTTTGTATAAATTATAGTCCAAAAAAAAAACTCCAGTTAATAATAGAGTATAGTTATAAAATATATATGATTATGCCTGCTTTCTTTCATGATCCGGCAAAAGAAAGTAATCAACAAAGCTAGAGAGACTCCATTTTTCACTTAATTGCTGTTGAGAGGAAACATCTAAAACGTTTATTTTCTTATTCCCTCCTTTCATTAATAAAAAAATTTAGATATTTAATAATATTATAAATAAAATCTTCAGTAAAACCTATAATATCTCTAACATCTTTCACTGTAAAATCATTCTCAGGAATGGTCAATCCCAATCCTGTAGTAAAAAATTTATAAGTCGTCACTTAAATAAATACTAATTTTTTTTTTAAACCTTCTTTTGACTCCAATAAAAGTGGACAAGGTATGCCGTTTTCATAAAGAAAGTCCTCTAAATCCTTAAAAACCACCAAAATACAATTAATATATAAAAAATATATTACTATAAAGAATAAAAGTTGTCAAAAAAAAAACCTGACTAGAAATTTTTTTAACACAGGAGTCTGAAAAACTTTGTTCTAATAATTTCTTTTGATATGTAATCTTTGGATAGATACTGAGATGCACCTTATCTGCCGCTAGAATTAAAAATAAACTTTTGTTAAAAAGAATGTTTAAAAAAATAAACGAAGAGATATAATAACTTTCTATATAAAACAGTGAAATAAAGAGTTTAAAATATAAATACAGGATTCGCACGATAACTTTTTTTTCTTATGCCTCTGTCTCAGCTCAGGTAATTCTTTCCTTAAAAGATTTGCATTTATTTCTTCGTGGTTAAAAAGAAGAGGATCTTTAAAGGTTAATACGGATTCCGTCATCTCCATATTGTAACAAATCTTATAATTAAATTCAAATTTATGTATATCAAATACGTATAATATAACAAAAGGTTAATACAGTTTAATTTATTTCAACAAAAATAACAAAATACATAAAAAAACATTTTTCAGTTAACGAATAAACCCTTTTGATTGGCTAATTATTTCTTCCAAATTCCAGAGCAAATGTCTAACGCCGTTATTCACGCATGCTACCTTTTTAGCTTAAGTTACTCATCTTCTCGCTTTTTTCTCACTAGTAACTAATTTTGCAAGTTTAATTAATTTTTTAATGAAAAAATCTAAAAAGAAGATTAATTCTAGAGAAATAAAAAAGGAAAATGTTATGAATGTGGGAAACAGAATTATAAAAAATAAAAATAAAAATGCTAATAATGAAAAACTTATTGAAGCTTCTGCCGTTCCTACTACAAAGAACAAAAGTTATAAAGTCGGTGATCTTTCGAAAATTTTGTCTAGCGTTAATAACCTCAATCCTTTATCGATTCCTGATCCCTTGAGTTCTTTTTTTAAAGTTCATAAAGTAAATTTACCTGAAAAGAAGTTACATAAATCCAAAGGTTGTTATTTAAAAAGTGTTTTTTTACCTTCTAAATATTCTTTATACTTATTGATTCCATTAGACTTTTTATCCGAAAAAAATAGCTTTAAGAAAAATGAACCATCTATTGTAAGTATCAAAATTGTATAGTTATTTATATATATATTTGTAACAGATTTCCTCTTTACTAAAAGGAAAGTGATCACTGTCTTAAGGAAATTAATAATAGCGAAAACAGCAAAGAATTTTTAAAAAAGGAAGATACTAAATATTCAAATGAACAAGAGGAAGAAAAAGAAATTAGAACTGTTTTTGTAGGTAATTTACCGAACTCTACTAGCCGGAAGGTTTAAATTTTTTGCATGTTATAGTTTTTTTAGTTTATTAATTCTAGTTTCTGAATATTTTTTTTATTAAAAAGTTTATAAATGCTTTTACATTTATATACTGCCTTTGTTTCCTGTTGAATTTTGTGTATAATTATTTATTGTAAACCTCTAACAAATTTATCGTAAATTATTTTGGTTAATCTTCTTTATAGACTTGTTTTTATGCTTTTAAAAGTTTTTATATATATATATACATTTTTTTCAAATTATTTTTTTGTATAATTTTTAGTTAATTTACTTTATTTATTTTTATAGTAACTCACCTTACTTTCATAACTTTATTTTAGTATGCGTTTTTGGAAATTATTATATTACATCCCAGGAAATAAAACGCTTTTTTGGAAAAGTTGGTAAAGTGGAATCAGTTCGAATTCGTTCTTTGGTTTTATGATTTATATAAAATTTTATAGAATTTTTTTTTTAATTTTTAATTTTTTTTAAGGCCTTTTTGAATCCTTCTCAGCCCAGAAAAGTTTCCTTTATTAAAAAGGAGCTGCACCCAGGGAGGTAAGTGCTATATGTTAGATTTTAATATATTAACTTTTTTTTTTACTTTTACTTACAGATCCTCCTTCAACGCTTATGTGGTGTTCAAAACTGTTGAAGATGCGCGGAACGCATTACGCCTTTCTAACAGTTTACTTGGAGAAAAGCACATCCGCGTGGATCTTGCCGCTAACAAAGTTCTTTAATCACAGTTTATTAAGTTAAAAATTTATTCATTTTTTTATGATTAAAAAATTTTTATTTAAAATCTTTTTGAGATTTGATTTGAATAAATTTATTGACTTAGCCGAATGACACTTCCAAAACCATCTTTGCTGGCGGCCTTCCTTTTAGTATAGAAGAAGAAGAAGTCAGAAAATTGTTTAACGACTGCGGCATTATTGATTACGTTCGGATTGTGCGAGACAAAAAAATAAATATTGGGAAGGGATTTGCATTTGTAAAGTTTATGGTGATTTAATTTAATTAATAACTTAATTCAATTTTAGAGATATAAATTATTTTTATAAGGATAAGGGATCTGTGGATCTAGCGCTTCGCAGGCACGGTGCAATGTACCATGGCCGGAAGATACGCGTTTTCAGGGCGTTAAAGACCGAACGGTTAAACAAAACGGTAATCATTTTGTATTGTAACGGAAATGGGTTTATCATTCATAATCTTTACTAAGATGGTGTAAAAATCTGGTTTGGTTGGCTGAAGTACTACTTTTCTGCTAATTAAATTTAGATTTTTGTTTTTGGAATTAGTAATTTGTGGTCTTCACAATTTTAAATTAACTATTTTTCTTACTCATGAATTTTACTTTGTTGCTTTTGGTTTTATTTATTACTATTAATCCCTTCGTTTTTATTAAATATTATTTATTTACTATATATATAAAATTAGAAAGAAAACTCTTTTAAAGGATTAGAAACAAAGAAAGTGCTTTTATCAGGAGCAGAGCGAAGAATAGCCAATAAAAAATTTAGAATTAAACAAAAAAAATGAGATCAAATGAATAAATAAAAAATTTATTATTTTAAAATTGCCGACTTTTCTACGTTTTTTTCGCTTACAATGAAAAGAATAGCTTGATGGTTGTCAATAAGATTTTGAAAGTATTCTTGGCACTGCATAGGAGAAGTTCATTTTTGTTAAAAAAAAAATTATTTTGAAACCTCACAGATGCCTCCAATTACGTTAGGCCCTTTAAGTTGCGAATCTAAATTAATATACTGTCCACCGATCTTCCGCACCGAATACCAGTGATTCCATAGTAAACTTTTCATATGGACAATAAATCCAAAAATAAGATTAAAATTTATTGATTCCTTAACTCGTTTTCGTTGATCGTACCTGATTTAAAAAGATGATATAAATATGTTCAGAATAAATTTAATTAAATATAAGAATACCAATGAACCCAATAACCAGCTTCTTCCAAGGCTTTAAAGAGAACATTACCGTCGTAATTGCCGAGACCACTAAGTTAATGCACAGAGTAGTATGCTGTATCCATATAACTCCATCTTGATAAATTACAATAAGTTTTTATGAGGATTTAACAAAGGAGCTTTACTTTGCAATTGACACAACTCTTCTGCAATTCTATTAAAATCTTCCACTTTAAATCTGTCCTTTACTTAGTAAGTTAAAGAAAAAAAATAGTTTCTGTAAGGGTTATTATAACTTCTTGCATTGCAATAAGTTGTTAACGCAGTGAACTCCACATCTTAATAGACTTTGTTTTTCATGGTACACTTTATATTTTTCTTCTATAGTATGAACTTATTATTACCTTATATAACTATAAATGTAAAAAATTATTAAACCAATTAAAGTGGTCTAATTGATAAGTTTTTAAACTAAATAGCTAACCTGTCATTATAAATTTCCTGAAATTCATATATGCCCCAAAATTTTGTGAGTATTCGAAAAGAGAATGAAATTATGCGTAAATATAATAAACTTTTTAAAAAGAATATACGCAGCAACCTCAGTTAAGCAGATATCGCTCAATTAAAACTTTCAAGGTTTCCGCAAAACCACGTGGTCACTTCACAAGAACAATAGCGTATTGTTATTGCTCATTTTTCAATCATATTTTTTGGCCTCTTAGTATTAGTTTTGTTTATTGTGTCTTTCGCTTTAATTATGGCAGATTCCTAGAGTTAAATCTATTATTTTAATTTTTTTCATTGATTACTGATTAAGTTATATAAACAATACTAATAAATTTTCTATGCTTGATATATTAACTCCGTACAAAACCTGGCGGAATTGGCGGATTTTTCCTCAACCATACCCAATAATACATTTATCATCAATTTTAATGCGTACTTACAACTAAATTAGACATTTTAATTGGCTAAGCGGAAAAAATTAACTGTTTTTAAGCAAGACTCAAGTGAACATTACCCACTTATACTTCTAAAGAGTTGAAATAGTAATAACCAAAAAAAAGGCAAGCTTTTTTTGGAAATACGTGACCATCATACAATATGCAGGTCACTGAAATATTTGATTCATTAATCAAAAAGTGTTGTTGTTATCTCAAAGTCGCCATTTATACAAAGTTCTCTTTTAGAAGGTATTAAAGGGATTTAACACGGAGTTACGACACAAGTTACTTCGTCCACCCCTGGCCGCTGTTTATTCTTCCTATTTTTCCTACAAAAATAAATCAACCTTTTCTCTTTTATCGCTCTCGTTAAAAAAAAATTATTAAGGAGTTCGTAGACCATTTTATTAGCAAGACTTCCAAAAATACGAGCGTGGCGTAAGATGGAGAGTTCTTAGCAGCATCTAATAATCCTTATCGTTCTCTTGGGCAAATATTTTAATCTATACGCTAGTAGTAAACACGGAAATTTCCACAGCTCATCCGTTGACTTTCACAGAGGCAAACATACCCTGTGTTCGATTATTTAGTTGATAATGATGGCTGTAAATATTTTTCCAAAGTACTCTAGTATATATACAACCCTGTCCCAAGGTCTGCTAAAACTTTAGCCGGCCCTTTTTAGACTACCTTAAATCATGCTTTCTGTATACCATATATACACAAAATCTTAAATCAGGATGCTTTTATTTGCACAATTTTTGGTCATAGTTTTAGTTCATAATTCTTTGTAAATAATACGGAGTATTTTAAAGAAATTTAAGTTATTATAACCATCGAACAAAAATTTGTTAAAATTTTTGTTAAAATTTAAAATAGGAAACGGATATTATCAAGGAAATCTTTGCAGTGTAAAAATTTGAGCTTGTCTACACCGCTTCTTGGGGGCTATTCTTAAGTTGTCGCAATAAGAAATGAAAATTTACTAGAGGATAATATAATAGATGTACTTTTTGTTATCTCAGCGAAATGGATAAAATCGAAATGAAAAGAAGCATAAGTAAAAGTAAATAAATTTTGAATAGAAATGACAATTTTTGAAAGATATATCTCTTAATGCAAATTAAATATAAGATAGTCATATAGAGGCTAAGTGGTTTCATATGGTTAAACTCAGTTTAATTGTTTTTGTTAACTTTTTAAGCCGAAACTAAAACCTTAAAAATTTGTCTTTAAGAGTTAAAAACTTTTGAAAGCCTCTACTAAAGTTTCAAAAAGGCGTATAGATCAAAGGAACTTGTAGATTTTTGTGTGCAGTTTAACGAACTGGCGTTAACATAAACTCCCTTAAATAAAGAGTCATCGGTAGGGAAAATTTTAGGAGATTTAAAAGTGTTAATTTCAATTTGTTTCGTAAAAAAACACTTCTGAGCTATAAAAGTGAGCACATTTTTTAACTAATAAGTAAAAAACATTCATAATCGGCTTCATGTATTTTTTTCAGATATAAAGTTTGTTAAAAATTATAGGTAACAAATTAACCTGTAAATGTTAAAATATAGCATGTTTTTTTTAAGAATAGTGTTTAAATAATCGATGCCACCGGGGGCAATGGGGGAGGGGAAGAATTGGCAAAAGTCAAAATTTTGATTAATATAAGTAAGTTCCTTCCATATTTATTATAAATAGGTTTGTTTGTTTTTTATTTAAAGAACTACCCCGTGCTAAACTAGAAAAGCTACGCTTTCGTGAGTGCTATCAGACGGTCAGTTTTATTTGCACAGTTACGGCCAACACCCACCATCAAGCTGTTCTCAACGTAGAGCAAATCAAAATCAACGCATTTTTTTTTTTAACTCAGCAAAATTTCCTAATATTGAGGATATAACCTAAAATAAGTTATTTAATAAACCTAACATTAATTCAAGGGAATTAATCAAAAAAGTTTACATTTTATGGTTACAAAATTCATATCCAGTCAGTCGTGAGCTAAATAATGCCGTTATTAACCCATCTTGCCTTTACAAATCTAACTGAATTTATTTTAATTCTAGATATATAAATAAAGTAGTTATGGGATTTTAAAAGAAAGGGATTTAAATAAACAAGAGACAAAAAATTGTAAGAAAGAGAAAGAAAGTAATTTGATAAAGTTTCTCCCTATCTACTTAATAAATACTTATAGTACCGGAATACCCTACAGGCTTATAAGATATTTATAATCAATTTAATTTCCCTTAACCAATTGAGGTGCGAAAACCACGACTTTTTGCGCCATCAACTAATACCGATATGCTGAACAGTCCCTGTTGCATTTATACCTTCCATAAAAGCAGCAAAATAATAATAAGAAGAAGAAGAATAACACATAATGTTAGCACAGTTAAAGTTTTGGTAAAGTTAAGGTTAATACTATGAACTGTATTTTTAATTATATTTTTCCCATAAAAACTATAGGTCTAAGAATTGTTTAGGCGCAATTACTATGCGTAAGGGCGATATTTGTAATTAAGAGTTTGCCTTTGAAATTGTCATGAAGGGCCACTGGCCCAAATAAGCGTTCGGTGAAATTAATAATATTCAGTTACGTAAAGGAAAGCTGGGAGTTACGATTTTTTTAAAACTAGGCTATCATACCATATTTAATTAGAAAACTTTTCAGATAACTGGAGGACCACACCAATTACTAGCTTTATCTGTAAGCTTAACATTATGGTGGACGGTGGGTTAATCCCTTATAGGTTACTGGTTAAAATATGTTTACCACTTGTCGCCTAGGTTAAATTTAGTGATTTCGCAGAAAAACAAATCTATTTTAAGTGCCCGTCAAAGGGTTAACTTCACTAAGTTGAAAATTTGAAACAAGCTTATTGGGCGAGAGATTTAGAAAAACGACTTGGGGGGAGGTGGGGGGCCAGTCTGTATAGCATTTTAGGAAGTAGGCGGTGGTAAGTATTTGGTTAATAAACCTCGACATAGCAAAAAAATATTAATTTAGTTAGGTTTGAAACCATCACGAGGACTAACTTTCCTTATGTATGGGGATAGGACAATAACGTTAAGTTCCGCACTGGTGATTAGTTTTAACCTTGTTAAGTTTGTTTGGGTCTTAGGGGGCTCGCCGCACTATATGTTTACATATACTAGCTAGTAGCACTATCCAGATATAGTACCTATACCATATCATAGACCATAGCCTAGAGTATCAAGCACTAATCACTACGAACCTAATCCAGGTATCATAGTAACCAACGCTGTTAGCTAGTTACAGTAAATAGTATAGGTACCATACCTCATTGACTCGATCCGAGCGAACTGCTAGCCAACTACATACGTTCATATAGTAGTATATAGCGCCAGCACCAGCGTCCCATGAACTTGGGATAATGCTACTGCGACTACTCATTACAGAAGTAAGTCACGCAAAAATCTTCGCACGCAGTTAGTGTAGTAACTTCCAAGGAAGTGAAAGATGCTATGTGCCTAGCTTTAGTACCGTTAGTGTCCATAAAAAATTATTTTCTAGCCCAGAAACTCTAATTTCGTCTACCATCTCTCTTTAATCCAAACATTCAATTCTACTATAACTCGAATGCTTATCTATAGCTGTAAATTCTTTTACCGCTAAGAAGCAAGAGGCCAACATCTTGCTCTCAATTTTCGACTTTTATTAAGTAGCAACTTTACGTGGACTGGTCAGCTGCGGCGTTGGTTTATGGCGTTCTTCCAATGAAGTGTGTCATTATTTGGCCTCTTTCAAGCTACTTCTTAATAGTCAACAGCCGTGTGAGAGTAAAAATGTACGCCGTGGAGCCTACGTTTTGTCTAGATAACCCCCAAATATGGGTAAACTAGTTATCTATCTACTTTGTCCAATGAATTTTATATATTTATCTTCCTAAGCAGTAAAATCTTGTAAAGTTAAAATATAAAATTAATAGTTATTAAAGAGTGGATTAATTTTTAAATAAAAAAAGTGTTATCAGGTTTCTTTAAAGTAAAACTGTAATAACTTGATATCCGCATTAAGGAGACTTCAAATCGTGTTACATATTATTTGTTGTAGAAACCTTGCTATTATAGGTTTTCTTTAAATAACAAATAGTTCTTTTATTCATCGGACACCTCTGAAGAAGAGAATTATTGTTTACATTTAAGTCCAGCGTACTTTATATTTTACAAAATGTTCGTTGTATTTTTAATTAGCTGCAGTTATAACCTTAAAAACATTTTTTGAGTAGCAAGACTGCACTTATCTTATCTAAAAAGAAAGACGGAAGTATAGGTATGAGAGACTTTAACGAATAGTTGTAAAGTTTAACGAGAATAAATTGCGCCGAGAGAACAGACTGTTTACACATTAATATTAACTGTCTATTGTGTTAAAACAAACATTTTGAGTATCATAACTGAATTGCAGTTGACGCGAATAGTCAGGATCTTTGTAACCGACGGAGCTCTCTTTTTCACACTTATCTTGTTAAACCCTATAGTTTTTAATAGAATAAAGTAATAAAGAATTTTTTTTTAAGATAAAATACTTTTATTAACTGCTTCGAATTAAAAGCACGGCTACCTTGCTAGCTGATCTTTAAAAAGTTGCAAATCTCATACATGTGGTCATTTCTCTCGATTATGGCCTTGTTATTCTTGAAAGAAGTATGAACCCAATGTTTATCACTATGTCTGGACAGCTACGACTTTTCTTTGGGAGAATACGCTCTTGAAAAGGAGAACACAACTTAAGCAGTCCGTGTGCCAATGTTTGGAAAATAATAATAAAAAAGTACCCGAGCCGTTTATTCTCTTTCTTTTATTAAGATTAACCTTTACCTTGGTCTTTTTTATTATTTAGTATTTGCTTAGAACTTTTTATTCGTAGATTTCTAGCTTGCATGAACTTTAGCTTTCAGGACCGAAAGCAGTCTTAAAAAATACTCTAAAATAATGCTAAACCTTATAAAAGGTTCTACAGCTTCGCTTAAAAATGTTTTCTTAAGAGAAAGTTCAAAATGGAAAGAAAAATTTGCAGTAAAATAATTAGAGCGTTAAAGTTTGTATATTACATAAATTTTTATTTACAAGTTTAACAAAAGCAGTTTTCGAGCTTATTAGTTTCATATGGTTTTAAAAGCAGAATCAGTTTCTTTTAACAGGAATGTTTCCATTAAGAAACCATATAGCTAAAGGAATTGCACTCCTTATTAATAACCCTTTCAGCTATATCTCTTATTGATATATATTTATCTTTAGTATATAATAAGAATTATAGAATAAAATTTATAAAATATATTGAAGCTGGTATTGTTTCTTCAAAACTTGTACATAAACCTTCAATGTTACTAAAAATAAAGCTTTCATAAAACTCTGAAATTGACCCAAGTTAAAGCTATTTCAATTAATAGCTATAAAATGTTTATATAACCTTAAAAAAAAAAAGCATATATTAATGGTGAAAATATGCAACCCAGTAAGTAATACCCCAAGCGGTTAAATAGATAAAAATTCCTATGGTCTACTTAAGCAAACCAGGGCAGATATTTTTATACAAATAATTTATACTACTAGAATTATGTTAATTTATTAAAGTTGATATTTTAGTAAAAAAGAGAAACTTGGATACCCACAAAATGCAACTATATTTGACAGTTTAATTTTTTAAAAAAAAGGGTTACTTTACAATAAAGCGTAACTTGTATACTAATGATTGCATATTTAGCCTAAGATAAGGTTTATAACTTTGTAAAGCACTATTACAATTCTCTACTTGAATACGCAAATTTCTAACTATAACGAATTTAACTCCCGTCGACCAGTTATCACGTGCAAGTATTGTTGGTTTAAGATAACCTGTTATAGCATCCAGGCATTGTTCTTACTCTTATTAAGCCGCTCTGCATTCGTTTATAGCTTTTTTTATTCCTTCTAACTAATGATTAACACTTTATAAAATGTCGTATGAAGATGTTGATGATTTTGGTTTTTGATAATTTATTTATCAAATTTTATATGCAACCTTTTTTTTTCTTACTTTTTGCTACAAAGTTGACGTTCTTTTGTATTTACCTTTATTTTATTTATTATAATTTTTATACTTTAATAGGATTTCAGGAAACTGAATACCAAGATCAAATTGGAACTGCAGATTGCTGGCAAGTCATTGACGCTTTTTTCCAAGAAAAGGGTCTAGGTTAGTTTATTTTAACTTTACACATATGTTTCATATTACTATAATTATTTTATAGTACGTCAGCAATTAGACTCATTCGATGAATTTATAAATTCAATGATACAACATATCATTGTTGACACACCGCCTGTAGACTTACAAGCGGAATCACAACATTTATCCGCTGATTCTGAAAAGCCTGTACGCATTGCTTTGTAGCTTATATAGTAAATAATATATTTATGTGTTCCTTAAATTGCGCAGCCGCGGTATACCGTTACTTTTGATAGTAAAGTTTACTTGGGCAAACCTACTAAATACGAGCAAAGTATACAATAATTGTTTATATATTGATTCTATGTTGCTCATGATTTATATAGAGACTGTTGAGCTCTATCCAAACGAAGCTCGCTTACGAAATCTGACATATGCAGCTCCGCTTTGTGCCGATGTTTCCGTATTGATCACGCATCCCCGCGGAGGTTATATGATTTTTTTTTTTACAATTTTCTATTATTAACGGAATATTTACTTCAAGAGCCCGAGCAAAGGAAATACCCGCAGTTGCAAATCGGTCGAATTCCGATAATGCTGAAGTCTAGCGCTTGCGCTCTCTCCTCCTACGACGAAAAGGACATCCCTGAATTAGGTTGTTAATTTTTATGTTATTTTTATGCCAGAAAAGCAATAGTTATTGCTTACAAAACTGGATCCGTATTTTCTATATTTAATTTTACTTTGCTTTTGTACTGAGATTATTTTTGTATAAAATTTTTTTATTCTTGTAAAAGGTTTATTTTTTCTGTTACTGTACTGCTAAACATAAACTATTATTATCTTGAACCTTTTTAAATATATTAATTAAATTTAAGATTTTATCTTGTTAATTATGAATCAAGTCAACTTTTATAATCTATATTTTACCTATTTTCTCTTTAATTGTGGTTTAATAAATCTATGAACCTCATGGCCTGTGACATATAATAAAGTTTGATAATCGAATTAACTTTTGGGGCAGGAGAATGTTCTTACGATCAGGGGGGGTACTTTATTATCAGTGGCTCAGAAAAGGTTTTATATTTATCGTTATTTTTTTCTTTAGATTTTTAATTTTTGCTACCTTTTTGTAGGTGCTGATTGGTCAAGAATCGATGGGTCGGAACACTGTTTATGTGTTTAAGAAAACTGGCAAGTATTCGTACGTTTCTGAGATTCGCTCTGTGCTGGAAGGTACGCGTTTCTCCTGTAAGTCACGCGCTGTGGTGAGTGTGGAGCTCTGCAGGAGGCACCACCACCGGCAGCAAACTGTACGTCAAGCTTTTAGGAAAGCAGAACGTCTCTTCCAAAGTCAACCAGACGGGCCAGACAATCCGGGCGACGTTGCCGTACATAAAGGACGTATGGGGCCACCAAGTTTCAATTTTTTTTCGAGCTTCTACTTCTTGCCTTTGCAGGACATTCCGTGCATCATTGTGTTCCGTGCGTTGGGCTTTGTTTCCGACAAGGACATTCTCGAGCACATCATCTATGACTTCCGCGATGCCGAGATGATGGAGATGCTCAAGCCGTCCCTCCTTGAAGCCTTTGACTTCCAGCACCAGAACCCGGCTTTGGACTACATAGGGTCGCGCGGAAGGGCCGTGGGAATAGTGAAAGCCGCCCGCATCAACCACGCTAGGGACATACTCCAAAAGGAGATGCTTCCACACGTGGGGGTGTGTTGTTTTCGTGCGCAGTAAAGCTTTTCTCATTGGCTTTTTTATGGTTGTGTTATTAAAGATCGACGAGTACTGCGAAACAAGAAAAGCTTTTTTCTTCGGGTACATCATCCACCGCTTATTATTGGCTGCTCTTGGCAGGCGCGAGTGTGATGACAGAGATCATTTCGGGAATAAGAGAATAGACCTTGCGGGTTTGTACATAAAGGGGGAAGACACGTTTTTGCTTAGTGCTCTTCATCGATAAATACAGGCCCCTTATTGGCCCAGCTTTTCCGGCAATTGTTTAGAAATTTGGTTAAAGAAATTCAAACGACCCTTAAACGGTGCTTAGACGAGTCCAAAGACTTCAACATAACACGTGCAATCGACCACAACATTATAACACGTGGCTTGCGGTATGCCCTTGCAACCGGGAACTGGTAATTTTGTGAGGAATCGTTTGTACCTACCACGTTAAGCTAACAAATGAAAGGGGGGAACAGCGGAAAGCCCATCAAACACGTGCTGGCGTTTCCCAGGTTTCTCTAGTTCGTTTTTATATGTCGTTTGGGTGAAAGAATCGCAAATGAAAAGGTCCTTAACCGTCTGACCTTCGTGTCGACTTTGTCACACCTTCGCCGCCTCAAGTCTCCTATTGGTCAAGATGGGAAGCTGGCGAGGCCGCGTCAGTTGCATAACACCCATTGGGGGATGGTGTGCCCGGCAGAAACTCCAGGCAGGGCTGCCCGTCTTGTTTCTTAGTGCAGACACACTTGACAAGAGCTTACCACAGAGGGCAGCGCCTGCGGCCTCGTGAAAAACTTGGCGTTGATGGCCTATATAACCGTTGGGACTGAGTCAGAGCCGGTTCGAGAGTTCTTAGAGGACTGGCAAACACTCTCGTTTGAGGAAACGTCCGCCTCTGCTATAGGTTTGTATAATCTTCTGTCTGCCCCCGTTTCTCTATTGGACGTAACCTATTTTTTTTCCCAGGGGAAGCTACCAAGGTGTTTCTGAACGGAAACTGGGTGGGCGTCCACTCAGACCCAAACGTTAGTGTGATATAACACTCGCTCTTCGCACTATTATTAGCGCCTTATAGGAATTGGTATCGACTTTGCGAAAGGTTCGACGAAGAAAAAACATCAGCCACGAGGTTTCTGTCGTGCACATGGTTCGCGAGAAGGAGTTGCGGTTATCAACCGATGCCGGCCGCGTTTGCCGGCCTTTATTCGTTGTGCGACCCGATCAAACGTAATCTGTTGGTGCTATAACACTATTTGCTGATCTATTTCTTAATGCTTTTCTTAATGGAGGACAGGTTGGAGATACAAAAGTCGGATGTTGAGATGCTGAATACGCATGACGAAACGCACACTGATCAGCCAACCACTTTTGAGCATCTGCTTGAGCGTAAATTTTTCGAGGTGAATTCAAGCTTCACATTGCTTTACGCTTCTGTTTCTCTGCAGGCGGCGTCGTTGAATATATTGATGTGGCCGAAGAGGAGACGTGCATGATTGCTGTAAGAATGGCCTTTGCATAATAATGCCTACGTCGTTTAATGTCTCCCACCAGATGTTTATAGAGAAACTCAAGCAAGGCAACTGCGGCACCTACACTCACTGCGAAATTCATCCGTCCATGATACTTGGTAGGCCCGCCCTCGATTCGTTGCAAATTCAGTTAATATTTTATCTCCCAATTAGGCGTTTGCTGTTCCATCATTCCGTTTCCTGACCACAACCAATCCCCCCGTAACGTGTACCAGTCAGCCATGGGTACAGTGCTATGTTCTTCTGCTCCTGTTGGAAAACTACTCACATGGGTGCATAGGCAAGCAAGCCATGGGCATCTACATAACCAACTTCCAAGTTAGAATGGACTCATTAGCGCATGTTCTATTCTACCCGCAAAAGGTTTTTAGCAAATAGATTGGGCCACTTTTCTGTATAACTCGCCTTTTATAAAAACAGCCACTCACCACCACGCGGGCTATGGAGTACCTGCATTTCCAGGAGCTTCCCGCTGGGATTAATGCTGTAGTAGCGATTGCTTCCTACACCGGTCCAGCTTACAGCTGAAAGCTATATTTTTTATACTTAATATTTTTTTTGAAGGGTACAACCAGGAAGACTCTGTTATTATTAACCAATCTTCGGTGCAACGAGGTTCGGTTCTATACAAATATATTTTTCAGTGCATTTTTCAGTTTCCTTTTTTTTATTGAGGCAGGACTGTTCCGGTCTATTTTTTATCGAACTTATAAGGATGAGGAAAAAAGGAAAAGTTGGGCAGATGAGACATTTGAGAAACCGGACCGCTCTACCACAACGGGGTTTCGCAACAGAGGCGCGTGTGCTTGGCCTCCTTGGTTTGATGCTGTGCTTTGCTACTCTTTTCACTATCAGGATTCTATGAAAAGCTGGACGATGACGGACTGGTTGCGCCCGGCATTAGCGTCAATGAGAACGACGCCATTATTGGAAAGGTCACTTCTTACAGCCTCTCGCTAGTTTGTGGCCAGCCTACTGTCTTCCCATACACCAGACCACCCCTATCGAACAGGACGAAGAGCTACTCAAGCAAGACTCTAAGGGCAACATATACACTAAGCGAGACAGCTCTACTTTTTTGAGAGCGGGCGAACACGGGATTGTGGATCAAGTCCTCCTCACTGGTGCCTTTCTAAGCGAATGCTTTTTTATGAAGTGGAATATTCAAAATTTCTGTGAACCTTCAGAGAACGGCGAAGGCAATAAATTTTGCAAAATTCGCGTTCGGTCTGTGCGCATACCTCAAATTGGCGATAAGTTTGCTTCTCGACACGGCCAAAAAGGTTAAAGTACAACGCTGTCCGCCCTTTTTCTATTAACTTTTGTGCCTCCTTAGGGACGTGCGGTATCCTATACAACCAGGAGGACATGCCCTTTACAGCTGAGGGTGGGGTTTTCTGTTTTCTCCCCCCGGAAAACCACGTGGTTGACTTTACGGACTGCTTTCGTAGGAATTATACCAGACATCATCGTCAATCCGCATGCTATTCCGTCGCGCATGACTATTGGTCACATGATTGAGTGTCTAATGGGCAAAGTCGCCGCCCTCATGGGTCAAATTGGTTGGGTGTTCTTGTTCTTCTGTGCGAGGAATCTTCTGAGACTTTGTTAAAAGGGGACGCCACGCCTTTTCTCCACTACGACAATATCGTTGCAAGCGTAAGTGATATGCTTAAGAGCTACAAGTACCATCAATATGGGAACGAGGTCTGGAGCTATCACAGCGCTTTGTCTTTGTTCCTTTTCCTTAGAAGGTGTTTTGCACGTGGCAGGTCATGTACTGCGGACACACAGGCAGGAAGATCAACACACAAGTCTTCATTGGTCCGACTTACTACCAAAGACTAAAGCACATGGTTGACGACAAGATTCATGCAAGAGCACGAGGCCCTTGCGCGGTAATAAGTTTTAGAACTGCTCTAGTTAAGCTGTTCTCACGCAGCCGACGGCGTTCAGGCGCTTACAAGGCAGCCTATGGAGGGCCGCTCTAGAGACGGCGGCCTGCGCTTTGGTGAAATGGAGCGTGATTGCATGATAGCACATGGTAGCTGTTACTTCTTTTTTAATCAAGAAATTTTCTCATTTTTCTTTACAAGGCGCTGCTCAATTTTTGCGTGAGCGACTCATGGACGTTTCGGACGCCTTTTCAGTGCATGTCTGCAACCTCTGCGGCCTTATAGCAGTAGCAAAGACCAAGACAGACGAGTATGAGTGCTTTGGCTGCAAAAATACAACCAAGATCTCGAGAGGTACTCACCACGTGACCTGCAATTAGTAAAGCTTTCTAGAGAGGTCTTTTTAGTGATGATCCCGTACGCTTGTAAGCTGCTCTTCCAAGAACTGATGGCCATGAGTATCGCACCTCGCATGATGGTGCTTCGGCCAGGACAGTGCATGCGCTTAAAATACGACGATGCCGGTAACCGTCTTCCTTAGAACAGCGCTTTTGCCTTTAGAATACAATTGACAAATATCGAGATTCTTCACTTTTGTGTAAACTTAAAAATTATTATAAAATAAAAGATTTATACAAGTATAATGTTAGCTATAAAAGTTATGAGTACAATGCCGTAGAAAGGTGTCTCTGTTTTTTTTAAACGTCTTCTCTTTCTTTTCGTATGGCTAAGTTGCTTTTAGTTACCAGACACATTTGAATTAATATTTTTTTAAAGGAATTGCAGAAAGCAAGCCGAATAAATATACTAACAAACTCTTATACATAAAATTTTTGAACTTAAGTTGAATATAAAGGTGGTACTACGTAAATTGTGGGGCAAGTGCGTAGGGAGGCCTTGGGTTTTAATTCAAATTTAGAATTTATTTAAAGGGGCTGGGAGTAAAAACTTCGAGCAAAACAAGCTCAAGTGAATCACCATTCGCGAAGACGAGGGGAGAAAAAACTTTACCAGTTAGCTTCATATACTGAAAACTTATCAGTATTTATAAATTTTTGCGATGTTTCTGACGGTAGTGAATCGCAAAGCGACGTAGAAAAAATTATTTAGAACTGGAGATCCCATACGGGGCAATAAAAGGTTTTATAAAGAGAGTAATAACAGTATGTATCTAATAATAACTCCAGCTTGCAAGAGAAGTAACGGGTACAAATTGAGTTTAAAGTGAGTGAAAAAATTGCATTATTTAAAAAGGCCGTAGCAGGGTTAAAAGAGGACTTCTCACGGTTGAGTTAAACGAAGGAGAAATCTAAGAGGACAGATAGCTAGATGAATTAAATCTATGGTGTTGACTGTGACAACAAAGCGGTTGTTGTCCCTAAATACGCGTTCGAAGCTCCGAAGAACGAATATTGGAGCAAGGTGAAGGCTTAAGAAGTTCAAGTGTTAAAAGTTATGGAGCATATATTGAGCACAATAAATGCCGAAGTTGAGGAAGTATTAAAGGATAATTTTTACAGTTAAATAAGGCTTTCTATGACATAAAACAAGCTTGCAGGTTGTGGTTCAAACTCATAACATCCTTTAATCCAAAATCGGACCACCTATTTTTATAGAGAGGGAGAGCCGTCTTAGATGCATAGCCTCGCTATAAGACAATTCAATATACCATTTGGCTAAATAACGAGTAGCGTTGTGTTGCTCTTGACATACTATTGTATTGCCTGATGCAACTACGTAGTCATGGTTTTGACACAAATCCCCGTATCCTCGCAACTATGAAGGGTCCGCTAATAAAGTTTTTAGTAATAAGTTTGACTTTCATATAGTTTAAACCAATAGATTTGTAGGAGTGCGCACAACGAAAATCCCTGTACAAATATATTTTGACTAAGCAGCTCTGTGTGATAGGATACAGCGGATACCGATTCTAGAACTCTATTTGTGTTTATTCCCAAGCAAGACCTGCTTAAATAGACGAAAGATATCACATACAATTTTTCTTACTATGAACTTATCGGAGCTTTACAAAATCTGGCTCCGCTCTAGTTGTTAACAAACTAGCTTAAAAGCTAAAAGCTTGTGGCGTGAAACACTGTTGATAAGATACTCAGATATCTTCAGATGCCAGTTTTGCATCTTAGAGAGACAAGAAGAGCAAAAGTGGAATGTATCTCTCTTTCTCTTTCTTCTGTATCAACTATGTTCGTTATATACTTACCCTTCTTCTCTATTTAAGAAATTAATGTGACCAGCAAACTGTTAAATTCGTACTCAAACCGCTATGTGCATTACAAATAAAATTACAGGCAGTGTGTAACCATTATTTTTTGCAGCGGATTCTTAGAGATTTTCTTCTTAACGTGAGGATATTGCCTGAAGTTAGCTCCAGAGTTGGCTCGATGAAGAACGTAAAAGATTGAGTCGTAGTACATATATGTGTGAAATAGAACGATTTGGCATCCAGACCAGGATATTTACTAAATACATGGTTTATAAAAAAGCCTTTCCAATTTCTTTAAGCTCTTTAGAAAAGGATTCGCTGTATCTCCTCTGAATAAACTATTGGTAGACCTTTAGATGATCCTAAAGCAACAATTTCTTCTAAAGGGTTCTAAGTAAAATTGTTTAACCAAAACGCAAGGAGAAAAACTATTATTTTTGTTTCAAAAATTTTGGTAAGCTTTTCTGTTTTATTAAGGTTATGTAATCATTCATTTCTCTAATTAAACTTTCATATTTTCGTAAATGAAAATTTTTAAGATTGGGTTTTATTAAAAAGGGGAAAACTGAATACATGGATGAGCTATAACCAAAGAGCGCGAATTAGCTTTTTACCCGAGCGTCCGCCACGTTATGCTTGGCCTCTTTTTTCCTGCCGAAATTTTTCGTTAACGCTCTAGAGCCATATACTATTTTTTATTTAAGTTTTTTTTCCGAAATAATAAAAATGCATTCTCTAAACTACATCGCTGCCTCCATGTTCATGAGCGCTGCAGTCATTACCTTTCAAATTTACTTTTTCACTTTAATTTCCTCATAAGGTTATACTAGTATAAAGAGGAAATAAGCCGTGTTTTTATTTACTCTCTGACAGAAAACATAGAGTCCGAGTAAACATATTCATGATTTGTTTCCATCTATTGTGGTGTTTTCACTAAATGTTATTAAAAAATGCTAAGAATGCTTTATCTATTCTCGTGATCACTTTATCATAACAAAGTTTTGTTTAATAGCACGCCACACCACTGCTATTGCTTTCCTGTCTGTAGTACTATAATACTTTGTGCTTTATTAAATTTAAAACTAACGAACGCAACGTAATATAGACTTCTCATAACTAGCAAATAAACCGCCCAAACCGACATCACTTGCGTCTGGTCATAAAAATAAATTCATGACAGCCAGTTCACACAGAAACTTAAGCTTTAAATCTTTATGACCCTCTTTCGAGCTAAATATAGCTCTTCGCCTCAAATAAATTTAACAATTATTCTTCAGTTTAACATTTGCCTGTATTAGTTTTTTGTAACTATTAAGTTGTTTCATATTTTAAAAAATTGTATTCGTTCTGCATGCACTCTCAATCCTCCTTTACAAAAATTTTCTGTCCTAGCCATATAGTAACTTTACACAAAGAGTTAGAATTTGACACTGCAAACTAGTAATTATGACTTATATGTAGGTGTCTTTAACATTAACAATTATTAAATCCGTTTCTAAGATACAACCCCGAAAGCTAGAACCATCCAATATCTTCTATTTACTTTGCTTAACCTTCAATGATAAAATACTTTAGTACTGTCCAGGTTAGGAAATTAATTGCTGTTCTTGCGCTTATAAATCTCCCCTAATTATGCGGTATATTGTTTTACAATGATCTTTTGTTCTATTTTTTTAAGTAACATCTTCATAAAAGCCTCGGGTATACGGTCGTATGTCTCAGTGGTTTTTCTAATTTCTTGTTGAACTGCCTGTTGCTCCGTACATATTTTTGGATTGACACTTTAGCTTAAGACCGGTCTAACCTCTTTAGGTCTACTTCTACGACCTCAGTCTCGACACCAGATACACTTCAGGGTTCTAGTTTTAACTTTATTATACGCCTAACTAAAGCTTTAATCCTATATTCGCTCTCCTCGCTGCATCTTAAGCTCCCTAACTCTCTAAGTCAGTAGCCAAAGTCTCGCTTCTCTTTCCGTCAGTATCGTCAAATTTTTAACCACAGCACATTTCTTCTCTCCAGAAATGTGAGGCCCTTTTCTCTTCAAACACCTCTTACTTTACGAACTCCTACCTTAACATTGAAATTCTTCACTTCATGACAAGTCAACTACAAATTATTTTAAAAAAATCCAAAATGGCTCTTCCAAAGTTAAAACTATGATTTAGTCCGATAGTCCGTGTCGTACAACGTCTTTTCCAGTTTTGTTTAACTCATCTTTTAACAAGACCAGTGATCCGACACCTCTAAGAGCCCTGTTTTCTTTCTTTTCAGCTAATTCAGTATTATATAACCTATGTTCTCTCAATAGACATGAAACTCGTCACTAAAAAAAATTCCTTTAACTTATTTTAAACGAAAACACCACCAAAATCTCTCTATTCTTCTAATAAAGTATTTTTTTTTAAAAAAAAACCTCTTACAAGCATAAACACTTTAAATAATGCTATTTGACCTATCTAAACTTAAATATAAGGATTTTTGGGAATCTACTTATAACTATGTATATGACTTATAATAAACTTTTAACCTTTCATTTTCGCGTTGATTTTTTTATTTTGATAAAACTTTTAAGTACAGGTGATTGACCTTCTATGTTATAATGTCTCTCGATATAAAAAAGTTAAGTTAAATTGTTATTTGGCTTCGAAAACTAGTATATAAGAAAAAACAAATAAAAAGTTAAGCAATTAAACACATTGAACAGTAAAAAACTTTTCCGATGCACATTTCATACTGTTAATACATTGAGACACTCGGCTAAGTATATACATATAGCACTAAATGATTTTAGATAATTAACTCTAAAATTTTATACATTTATTAAAATAAGTGTTTATATAGAAATTTAATGAAAAAATATGATTTACGAGGCTATCTAGATATTAGATCAATTTACGATGTATCGGTAACAAAATAAATGGAATTTGCTTCGGTGGCTGTTCTAATTAAGTTGTTTCTCTTTCATGTTATCTTATAACTTCGTAATTCTCTTTTACTTTTAAAAATCTTAAAATTGGTAAAATTTTAATTTCCTTCTGGTTTTGTTACACCCGCAGTGCAAAAAACTGCTAAAAGGCTTGGGTCTTAAAAAGTTTGGTTTAAGCTTGTAAAGCGTGCATTTACTTAAGATATTTTTTTCCTTTCTTTAATATGAAAGTCGTTGGTTTAGTTAGGTAGTCTTAGTAACGTAAAGTCGTTTAAGATATAATTGACTTTATACATTTGTATCTACTTTTTCTTTCTTGTAATATAATAGAACATTATTTAACTTATAAACTTACAGTGAATTCAGCAATAAATAATTTTTTAGTTTACTTTTTTAAATGAAATTTTATAAAAAACTTCTTTTTTATTTACTCTATTCTTTTTTTTAATCTTTTTTTCACTACTATGTTTAAACATGGATATCAAGCGGTGGAAAGGATAGCTGCTTTAACCTAATTCAATGTGCTTCTCAAAGGAATGATATTGTTGCTTTAGCTAACGTTTGTCCTCCTAACGGTAATAAGAATCAAATTTTATAGAAACTAGGATAATTATGTTATTAAAAAGTGTATTTAAATGCCAATTTACTTTATGGTCATATAATTTACAATATAATTTCATATTAAACGACTTTTCTCAAATTAGTTAATGTAAATTTACTAATTCAAAGAATTCCGTCCTGTATTTGTTATAAACTTATTTAAGAATTTCAATTTTGTTTAAATATAATATAAACCTTACCTAATATTATTCATATTTAAGTTTAGTGTGACCAAAATTTTTTATTTTTATTTTTATAACTGTTTTATAATTTATAATAGAATATATTACTTTTATATATTACTTTTATATTGTTACTTTACAAGAATATTTTAACTGACAGGTTTAGATGAAATGGACAGCCAAATGTTCCAAACAGTAGGCCACGAAATTGTGGAGCTTTTGGCGGAGGCTATGGAACTTCCATTGTATAGGAAAGTAAGTACTGCGCTGGCTTTAAGTTCGGAGATTTTCTACAATCCAACTGAAGGGGACGAAGTGGAAGATCTTTTTCACTTGTTATCCGAAGTTAAAGTTACGTGTTGAGTATATAAAAGAATTTTAAAATTTATTATTTATTTTTTAAAAAAAAAATTAGCGTCAGCATCCGGAAATCGAGGGTGTGTCAGTGGGCGCTGTATTATCCACATATCAAAAAAACCGTGTAGAAAATGTGTATGTTTTTGTAAAATTTTGTCTTTTAGGTCTTTATAAAATTAAAACTATTCAGTTGCACTCGTTTGAAGTTGGTGCCTTTAGCATTCCTTTGGCAGAAAAACGAAACTGATTTGCTTAATGAGATGCTTTTGAGCGGCTTGAACGCAGTTGTGATCAAAGTGGCTGCTTTAGGCATTGCTATATTGAAATTATTTTTTTAAAACTTTTCAAATAAAGAAAAATATCTAATTTTTTTAGGAAAATCTATAACTATTTTCTCGGTCCTTAAAAAGATTTATTTTTTATAGGATTAAATCCTTCTCATTTGGGAATGACTTTAAAAGAACTACAGCCTCATTTGCTAGAAATGGTCCTTATAAATTATATATAGCAAATTTTAGTAAACGATATTTTATTGCATGACAATAATACTAAAATAATTTTCAATTTTTATTGTAAGAATGAAAAATACGGGCTCCATGTGTGCGGGGAAGGGGGAGAGTACGAAACTTTAACGTTAGATTGTTCTCTTTTCAAGAAAAGAATTCAACTGTACGATTTTCTTTTTTATTATTGTTCGGTCAATTACCTTTTTTTGACAGTGATGACTATGAGATTTTGCCGTTATCGAAAGATCCTTTCGCCCCTTCAGCCTTTCTGAAAATCCATTCAGCCAGTCTACATTTAAAAGAAAACTATAAAGACGTAGTTTTTTCTTACATGTTACCCTCTGCTTTGTTTTAATTTAATATTTAATAGACGGGATTTAGAAAAAAAGTTGTGCACGTTAAGCAACCTCTTACCTGAGTTAAAAAGAAGTTACCGTAACAATAGTAGTCTTTTTTTTGGAGGAAAAAAAAAAATTTAAAAAATTATATTTTTTATAACTTACAGTTTATGTCAAAAAATTGGACTATATATGCACATTTTGATAGTTAATTTTTCACTTGGTCCCGCATATGTATATAGTACTACTAGCTAGCAAAACCCCTCTCCCATCGCACCAACCCGAAATTCAAGGCGGATCGAATACGTTAACAAAAGACACCTTTCCAACAATGTTACTTTAGTTCAAAAAACCCGTTATTTAGCCATGTTTTGAACTGTTCAATGACTGTTCTAACGGTTCTGGAATCGAACTAGATTGCTAACTTTTATCACTCTTGCGTAGATCTTTCTCCAAACACATTTGACCGCACCTGAAATAAATGTTTTGTTTTATAAGTTTGGTCTTTAAAAATTGTTTGAAAGCCTACAATTATTCTTGAGAACGTATAATTTTATTGAATAGAAATCACTCACCATAGGGATAGAAAAAAATAGGTTTATAGGAAAAAGACTAGTAAATAATTACAATAGAACTCAAAAATAAATTAAAGGAAACCTATGCATAGGTTTGTTTTTTTTTATTTAACTAAGAATAAGAATAGAAATTTAGAATAAAAAGAAATGAGCTGTTTTAGATACTTTGTAAAATTCGCTCTTAGCCTCATAGCCTGCAGCCTTTATATAAAATAAAACACGCGTAAAGCAGGCAGCGTCAAATAACTTTATTTTTTAATTTATATCTAAATAATAACACGCAGTCAAACTTACTATAACTTTGTACTGTTTTCTTTTCATATGTATGCACTTCAATTTTAGTATAGTAGACACGGAGGACGAATACTTCCTATATTCGTAAGGGGCGTAATTTATAGTTCTTTGAATTAAGGATTATGGTCTGTATTCAATTAAATAAGAGTAGGCAATCGATATCGTAGGGAACTCTAGTTCATGAAGTAGTTGGGCATTTTGATATAACCAATGAGTTTGTAAATATGCAAAACAACTTGATAAAGCTAGTCTTACAAAAACTTTGTGACGATAGCCCCTCGAACACCTTTTTCGGTGTAGTTGCGTATATAATAATTTCATAGTGGTTATGCATTTAAAATATTAGTTGACATTTATTCCTTTCTAGTTTAGTATCTATTAATACAAAAATACTTCAGGTCACCAAGGAATTTTTGTGTCCAGTGGCTTGCGCTTCATTAATCATTACTTAGTTTTATTATAAAATAAAATATTAAGTATACCATCTATTTTTAAAAATAACTATAATGTGTAAACCAAAATTTTTTATGACTTTTAGAAGGTATAAATATTATACTCATCTGCAAAAATAGCGAGTTTAAGGTTCGGGTGTAGTAAGAATCGAACAGAGATTGGAAAAGCGTAGAGGATAGAAGTGAGCTTTGTAAAACACTTAATTGCATGGGAATTATGGAAGAATAAAGAAAATCCACATCTCACGACAATTTTTGTATTAATAAAAATTGGTGGATTCGTACTCATACTTATAGTGGTCGTCAAAATAGCTTTTAATCTTATAGTAACATTAATTGCCATTCTGTCGAAAGTCTTCTTAACATACAGTAGGAACGGAACTGTTGCTCTGTTAATATATAATAATGGCATATTTAATACGGAGGAGCTGATGAATTTACCTAATTCTAAAAAAAGTTTTCAAAAACTTTCCTATTGAAGATAGCAAACTTATAGGCCTAGAGTCAGCCACCGACTGTGATGGCGGATTTTAGGAAAAGTAGAATTGTAGCAAACTTATAAAGATCAAAAAAGATCAGTTCTCATAGCTGTTTTAGCAATATTTAATAAACATCAGTACCGGCCTAGGTAAGACAAGAATGATGTTAGACATTTCGTCCGGACCTAATCCTTTCTACTGTAAAGTTCTGTAATGATATCTTTTACACCATATATGGTTTCAACAGCTAGAAAAAAGAATGAATCTTAAAAGAAATAACTTCCGTTAGTAATACTTGTTTGAGAGGATTACTTAAATACAATACAACTTAAAAGTATAGTTCCTAGGTTAATATTTGTTTGAGATTTTAGCTTTGCAAGAGTTATCATATAGTAAATTATCATGAGTAAGAAGTGAGTCCAGTAGGCCTTCATTCAAAAAATAAATTAGCAAAGACCAAAAGCTCTTGTACGTTATTGGCGTTGTTTGCGCTAGTTTACTTTCCGAAAAATTGTTACGAATAGAGTGCAGACTTTACTACTTCCTAGGGTTTTATAGCATTCGCGCTTTCATTCCCCTCTTAGTTGATTAAGCCTGATGAATTTTGAAGTAACCGTTATGCGAAATTGCTTAAGCTGTATATTTTTGCCTTTTTTAATAACTTTAGTGTCTGGCTACCGAAATTATAAAGCGGAACGTTTATATTTTTTATATTAAAATCTAGTAGAAATCAAAAACTCTTTGTTTAACTCTTAACTTAATTCAGCTAATATGAACTAAAGGCTTGCAATCAACAAGGGAAGTGAGAAGGCTAGAACAAGGAGGATGTAATAGGATGATAAAGCGTGATAACTGGGTAGTCTAGAGGAGGTATAGCTATATCAAAAAATTGAGAGACCTTTCGTTGACAAATGAGCAGGTTCGTAGGGGCTAATACAGGTTGGGTTCTATAGGTGAGCATAGCTATAGAAAACCGGTTCTTAGTGTTGGTATTCCTATTATAATGATTTGCATTAATTGTACTAAAGGCAAGCTTAAGATTCGACTTTAAAAAATAGTGTTTTTTAGATCAGCTGTTCTTAGTTTTATGTTGAAAGGTTTTAAGCTAAATCTGTGTATTTCCCCTAGAGACTGGATGGATTACAACACCACTTGCAGCAATCTTTATGTGTGTTGGACTCTAAATTATTGTGCCATCAACTATTTTTCCGGTGAACAGGTAACTTTTAATCCAAAAAGATAATTTTATTTTTCACTTGTATTAGGAACGAGTTATTTCAAATTAAAGGAGACGCAATTGGTAAGGAAACGTTCTTAGGAGTTTATAAAGAAAAATTTTAACCACTTTTTGGGGTATACAGTCTATGCCCTCCATGCATGGATCAAAAGAGTATTAAATTAAGTTTTTATTTCAACAGTAAGTATAATCTATTCAATAGCTTTGTTTATTAAAATATTGAAACCTAACTTGACTAGTTTTCTTAAACTATATTCCTAGTCAATTTACAAAATTTTTTATTATTAGTGGCTGAATTAGTGGCGCATCTGAACCAGAGATAACGTAAAAGGTTAAAAATTAAACTAAAAATGGAATCCCACCGGTTTCTTTTTAGTAGTTATTTTAACTGAGGTATTCTACTTCTAGTGTTGATGATATCCGACGTGGATCTTACAAACAGGAATCCTTTTCTAAAAGCTCATACCGACTAAGTGATACAGTCTTTTAGAAATATGTGTATTGAGCTTTCTACAAAAGGTAAAAAGGGGACAAAAAAAGTGTAGAATTTTTTTAGTCAATAGCTGGTCCAAAGAAATAATGGCAAAAAAGTTACTCTGAGTCGTGTTTAAGGATGACAATTCTTTTAAAAGAGAATGTGGCCTATATCTTTACCGGCACCTTTTAAGATTCAATTTAAGCAGCTGGGCAAAGTTGACTTTATTAAACACCCGACCCTCCTGTAACTCGGATCAGTTATAAGTTCAACTTGGATTTTACCCAAGCTCTATCAAAAAGTTTTAGCGATGAAATAATGAAGACCTACCTGCACAAAAGTACCTTAATAAATTTTTTAAACTTTTTAAAGACCCTCGTAGACATATTTCTATGAGTAGCACTAACGAGAAAATGAATCAAAATTACCTTAAAGGGTAACGAAGTATAGGCTAAAAGTTGGTATACATTATTATTATAGCTGTGCTTTAAATAAAAACGTAAGCTGAATTTGAATAAAAACGAACAATTGAGCTAAAGCTTTGTTTTTAAAGTGGAATTTAGTTAAGACTTTTTTCGATGCTCTATATTTTTAATAATACAGGCTATAAGTACTTTCAAAGTTTGAAAATTAATAAAACGAGATTGTAAGGGATACTCAAAATATACGAAATATAAATAATAACTTTTTATATTAAACGGTAAGGAGCTTGCTTTCTTCTATGCTTTGGTATATAGCTGTAAGTCACAGAAAGATCGACAACGCCACTAGCTTCAGCCTTATTCACTGCCTGCTTACCAATTTGAGCGAAGAATAATCGAATAGCACGGACTTCTTCTTCGCTCATTTGGTAGCAGATCTTATGGCAGCTCCATCTAACAAACGGAGAGCAGTTCCATAAGTCTAATATCTTATCAAACTTATCTCTTTCCCAAATAAGCTGTTCGTGTAGCGACATTCTTATAAACTTAAAATCTTGTGGGGCCGCTTTATAATACGAACTATTGGCTGCAGTGCTCAAAAGTTCTGCATGCATCCACTTGGCTTTGAAGAACGCCAAAAGATGTATAGAACAAGCGTTCATGTCCGCCCTCACGTGATCAAAATCAGATGAGAACCCTACTGACAGACTATTAAAAAAGCCTTCTGGAATTTTTTTAAGGCAATTAAAAAATCCAATCTAAAAATATTGGAATTGAATTGAAGTTTAAAAAAGTGAAAAACTGTGTAGACCTGCTCGTAGTAAAACTCATTTTGCATAAACTTTTCCATGTGTTGAATATCGTGAACTACAAAAGACAAGACATTGTGCTCAGCATATGGAGGGTAGGCGTCTACCGATCATAAAAGAATACATGGTTAACAGAAACTAAATTCAGATATAAATTTGGCTGAAAAATCAAAATGTTAAATAATAGTTAGGTCAACGTTAAACTTAAATAATAATATGTATGTAAATTCTTCTTAATAATTGTTTCATTACATATTAACTTAAATTATTTAAAAATAGTAAATCCAGCGTTCACTATAAATAAAGTAAAAAGAATGCGTAGAAAACTTTTTCTTTAAACATTATTTAAAACAAGTCTACAAACAGTAACACGTTCCAAAATTGAAAAGGCAGTACTTCGTTATATAAATCTATTTCTTCTACTTACAAGTAATAAGTTAACACTTTACTAATTGTAATAAAGGAACTTCAATGAAATTAAACAAGTACTAAAAACTATGTAATAATGAAAGTTACAAATTTTAAATTGTAAAAGTAGGTAAATATTAAAGAAACCTTTCCAGCGCTGATCAAGTTCATTCTCTTCCACAAAAACAGTTAATACTCGCTTTCCTTTGCACTGCATTTCGTGGACAGCATCAGCGCTTGGTATGTAAGTCTCAAGTACATAAGGACGCTCATTAATTGCTATTGTTCATATATAAAAAAAAAGAAAAATTTAATGATAAATAAAAAAAATTAATTAAAATAAATGAAACCATAAATTAAAAATTACCCCAAAATGCAATGCTTCTGTTTACAAAAGCTGGGAGAGAATTAATGGAGCAAACCAAAAAGGCTTCAACTACAGAAATATTTTTTGAAGAATTACTATTACTCGTTGAGTCTGTTGAGTGTTGTATTATCTTAAGATAATGACTACAAGGCTACCAGTAGAGGCCATACTAATTAAAGTGGCTTTACGGCGATTAAAATCAATTTCCGAAATAAATTGGAATTTATGTAATCGTTCCAAAATTAATAGAGTAGTCTTTTCAGTAGCAATGAGCCCAGGTACGTCTGTAAGTCTAAAGTTATTTTTATCATTCTTTATAAATAATTAAATTAAATGTCAATATAGTGTTACAAATATAATAAATTATCAACAAAATTAAAAATTTTCTACAATTTTACGAACTTCATAATAAGCGGAACGGAAAATTTCTGGTTTTATCATATTTCGAGCTTCTAACCATCCGCCTCTCCAACCGCGTTCATGTTCATATTGAGAAAACAGTAAAAGATAGGCAGCAATAAACTCACAGTCCGTTATTTTGCTTTCTTTATAAAGAGTGTAGCATTCTTTAACTTTAGGAAACAAAGGCAAATAAGTTAAAGGTTTTAACTTTTTACTTTTGACATATTTATAATTATTGTCGACGTTGTGGGATATACTTTTATTGTTAATCAACGTCATTAAAAGGCTATAAGCGGCGAATGTCTGTGCGGGCGTAATCACTGCGAGAAGCTCCAGTACCCTACGCGTCTCTTTAAATCTGTTTTCGAGTTTAGTTTGGTTCAATTAGTTAGTTAAGCTAAAAACCAGAAACACTCTATTAGCTTCTATACCCTAAAAGGTGTGACTAACTTTGAATTTCTAAAAATTTGTCTACTTTAGAAAACAAAAATCTTAGTTCCAGTGAGTCCTTACAAACCCTTCTGACAGTGTGTTATTTTGGGTGTACTAGTATATGTTTGATAAGCTTATTAAAACTATAACCGATGTTATGTAAAGGAGAACAGGTTCAGCTTTGCAAGTAGCCTTTAATCATTAAAGGCCTTATAAGTAAATTAAAGTTGTTTGAAAAAATGAGCCTTAGAAGTTATGGTCTAAAGGAAGTACTCATAATAATGAAGCTACGTTTGATTTCTACACCCACTAGGTCTTCAGGAATACCGGAATATTTTAAGTAAATCCCTACTTGATGCATAATTGTACATAAGTTTTGTAACATCAATATCTCTTAATTACTCAGTCGTACACAATTAGTTTGTATTTTTAATAAACCACTTTGTTCCCGGGAAGTAAAGCAGTTAGCTTATAATTGTTTTTCCTTTTTTTGCTAAATTAATACTCAATCTGCTAGAGATGTAGCAATCAGATCGAAACACGAATAGAATTTTTAAACGTGTTTAATTTCTTATGGGGTTTTCTCTAGCAAAGCTACAGAAAGGAAGAATTCTTCAAATATTTTCGTTAAAAAAATAAACAACCGTCTACCAGGTGCATAACTCTAAATAACTACCCTTAAATGCTTCCTCTAAAATATTAACTTGTAATAAATAATCTGAATTTACAATATAATACTCAAATTGGACATAAAAACTTAGTATTATGTTAATTTAAGTAATAGTATAATACTACGTTCTATTTCATCAAAAATTCTGAATGAATGCATTCCCTATAAGCATGGCGAATTCAACCATTGTATGAATTGAGATTTTTGACAAAGGGGGTTGCGCATCTATATATCTAGTTAAAAAACACTTAGAGAAAATAGTCAATGTCAGCAGTTCGTTACATCTCTAGGAAACATTACAATCTCCCATAAGCGCGGATCAATAATCTGGATAGACTAAACCATTATATAACTATAGTTGAATCTACCACCCAGTTTCCAACTAGGACGGTATCGGACTACACTCATGACTCTGGACAGAGGGTAGTGTTGAAGTCATCACTCATTACTAGAGCAGTCAAAACATCTGCTTTCAATCTTTGCTACTTGCACCTGACGTTTTTTAACTGCGCGTTTAAAGGTAACCTATTAAGCTGCCTCAGTCACGTCCAGAGTATAAAGATTTAAACAGATTTATTAAGAAACGCAGCATACAAACCCCTAATAAGATTACCTACTCTCGACGATGGCTTAACTGAAGAAAAGGATAAATATAAAAAACAATTTAATTGCTTTCTAGTTATTTAAAGAAAAAAAATTGATTGATTAAAAATTTTGCCCCTGAAGTATATACTATTAATTTCTGGCAAACTAATAATAAATTTTTATTTATCATATATATATATAAATAAATTTACAAAGTCAACTTTAACAGAGTCTAAAATTGTAATTTAAATTTCTTATAATTTTTTCCATAACTCTTAAGTAAATATCAGTTGTCTACTAAATTACTAGGAAAGAAGATAATATATTTGAACAGTAATACTTCAAATTATTAAAAATTTACCTTGTTTTTTAAAATGAACTTTAGCTAAAAAAATTGGCGATTGTGGGCGTGGAGGTCATAAGATTATTGTAAATTTCAAAAGGACGCTTTTTTATGTATAGCCTTAGTTTTAAACCATCTAGTGAGATTCCGCATGAGATACCTACAACCCTAGGACAACCCTAGGTCATGATAAAAATTAAATTCTTGGAGGATAATTAAAGATTTAAAAGAAGCTAAGGCTGAATAACTATAGCGTGTTTTTACTATAAATGATGCCTGTGTGCTTGTCAGTAGTTTACTTAATTAAGTTTTTGCCTAATCAAGTAGAATTTATTTATGGTTATATAGTATCTATGTGGCAGAATTGTAGCAGTTGATACTTTAGGATAAAAATTAATATGTTTTGTGCTTTGAGTAAATATACTTTATATTTAACGAGATAGGTTATCTAAAAAAAAAAAATTGTTTAAAACAGATGATTACTATAAGTGTATAAGGAATTAAAATCCTTATCTTCAACTATCCTAAAAGCAACTTGGATTTTTATTAATTAAAATTATTAAAAAAAATAATTACAGTTTCTAAAAAAGCTTTTAAAGAAGGCACTAAAAATAAATTCGGCTACGCTGTAACAAGAGAGACAAGCTTCCTAACCATTTATATAAGCCTAAAGTTACAATGCATGGAGATCTCAAGAGTATAATATACAAGTTCATACTTTAATTCTATTGTGTTAACGTAAAAGTTGGAAAATTAAAAAAACTAATGAACTAACTAAAAGTTAATTTATATAAACTAAGTTTATAATGAAATTTTATTTTGAAAAGACTTGGTGGAGATTAGCATATGATAAGTGGAATTATAATAAAAGAACCCCTTCCGTTAAAATTAAAGCATTTAATTTATTAATTGGTATGCTCTTTTTATACTAATTTGATCGGCTAATCCTAAAACTAAGCAAGTGCGTACAATGTGGGTAGCCTCGGAACAATGTGGTTTTGTTTGGTTATACGTTACAAATAGAATTACTGGAAAAAAAGTGCAGAAACTTATCTACGTGAGTTCAAACAGATGTTTAATTTTTATTATATAGCAGTAATTATATAATTTTAGATATATAATTTAATTTTTTCGTTTGTTCCTCCTCCTGCATTAGCAAAACAAATTAATAAAAATTATAATACACCTTTGTTAGTTCAAGTTGTTGAGCGCGTGCTAAACAACTGACTTTTCGTTTATAAAGCTATTGGTTAGATTTAAACAATTTATGCCCAAGGATGCTTGAGGTAGAATAGAACCCCTATAGTTTTCATATATCTTTTAATAGATCATGACTCCATTAATGTTATAATTAATCCACTTTTTTTAATAATTAAATTCACATTGCATATATGTTCAGTTTAAATGCCGGTGCATTCGCACTTTCGAGTCATAAAGATGTGTAAATTTGTGTTAACTGTTGTCAAATGAACGATTGGGTAGCTAAATCTCTTCTAAAAAATCCACTCCGCTTGAGCCACTTAATTAGGTTTAAAGCTTTTTTTTCGAATTTAAAAGCTGATTGGAAATTATTACCTTAATTAAAAAAATGCATAAAATGGGTTAATTATAGAAATTAAAAGCCAGATATATACATGTTCGAATAACTTTCTTTGTTTTTCGATGTTTCTTTGGGACTATGGCTATTATTGTATTCACCATATCTTACTACTTAATAACATACCATTTTCCTTCTTAAATGAATGGTCATAATTTCATAGGGTGGCAACAAAAAAAACACGACTTAATTAGAAGTTAAAAGACCTAAGCATAAAAGATAAAGTTAATATAGAGAACAGCCAAGGCCACTGGCACAACTACCACATAAACCCAATTTTAAATTGGTTACTGGCGCCCAAAATATGAACTTTGTTCCGAAAGATTTAATCGAGACAAGCGACATTAACTTTTTATGCACCAGACTTCCAAAACACTGGAGAAGTAATAAAATGTTACCAACTCCTTTTACAGTTATGTTACAAAAAAAAATTTATTTTTAGTAAAATAAACACAAGTTGATTATATGAATTGTTTTCATTGCTTATTATGTAGGTATACTCTAGAAAACCAATACCGGATGAAACTGAAGTGGAGGTGGTCCCTATCGATCAGTACGGCAATTTGGCCCCAGTCAAAAATAATAAGTCAAAGATGAGGAGCAATATCGCAATATTTGTTGATTTAAGGTTTACAGGGAGGTCTGGAAGGGGTAGACTTTACTAACTCAACATAATTTGTATCTTTTAAGCATATTATGAAACTAGGAAAATATTATGAACTTAAAATAATTATTAAAACGGATTTAATTCTAAGCGCTATTGTACCTAAGTGTATTAAAATAACGGTGGATGGTCCACGAAGACCACGTAAACGGAAGTATTCTACAGAGTTAAAAACGGGTAATGTGACTTATAAGTAGTAAACCTTAAAAAAAATGCGAGCGAAGCTTAAATATTAATGGAACATTAAAAAATGTATATGATAATTTGGATAAAAATTAATCGCACAACTTCATATAGATTAACTAAAAAAATGTCCTTTCTTATCTTTAATAAGACTTAAGCTAGTATAAA